GGTGTGAGTTTCAGGGAAATCGATGGTCAGACTCAAAATGTTCTGTACTTCTCGGATCACGATTGCGATTTAGAGAAAAGGAAAGGCTTTCCTGTATCTCTTCGCTGACTACGACGAGTCCTCACCAGACAAGTCACCAGATGAGTTGATTCCCGCAGAACTCTGTGCGAGCGCTCGATGGGAAATGTTGCTCAATGTTGGACTTGATTCTGGACGCTAAAGACTATGTCTTAGGGTGAATTATTTGCACTTTATTACTCCTTTTATTGTTACACACACAAGTATAATGAAACCAGAGATTCAGAAACACAACGAACTCTCGGGGACGAATTAATCCGTTTTATAGAGACACGAAGACACTATTTAGAGGCGAACATCAAAGAATATCTGTTTGATATTCTTGGTGAAAAATGTATTGATTTTCTGATGACTGAATGATCACCCTCGCTTCTTCTTTTTTCTCCTTTTAGTATCGATTGAACATACCTTCTCTTTCCTTTGCTATTTCACCGTCACTTAATACATGATTTTATCTGATCATTCCACTTTACCACTTATAAAATAAGACGATCCGATACAGATCAGTGTGACAAAGATGACCTCTAAATCTCAACTTTTTGTAATGTAAAAGGATACTTTGCAGGGTAATCTAAAAGTCTTAATTTATTCCCTGATTTTAGAAGCCATTCCAATGAAAAAAACGGCAATTTTGACTTCTCATCGACCTTTTGAAGCTCTTCAAACTCCATGTGACACTCATTGAATTGCGGAATCACACATGGGTGCGCCTGTGAGTCCTGAAATGCCTAGAGCTCGACAATTAAATACCAATTACGGTGTGATTAGTGAATTGAGTTGCTCAGGGATAATGAGGGCAGGTATAGTGTTTCGGCAGGAGTGAAAAATTGGATTTCCCGCAAATTTGTTGAATCCACACGTCTATGGAATGGATGGCAGCCAAATGGAAATTCATGCTGTGCGAGAGGATTTCGCTGAGCAAGCAAAGGAAACACTATCAATTAATTATCACCTAATCGCATTTACGATATGGTGGCATACAAATGAGGTAATATTTTATGTTTGAGGATCTATCCACCCTCGGCAGGGGAACCTATTCGAGTCAATTTAGCTAAGTACCTGTGTGCAGAGAAGCATTTTCCCACTGTCGCATTAATTAGGCGATTATTGGGCTTCGCGGGCTTTGATTTTCCCACGTAGCATATATTCAATTCTCTTTCAAATATTGTATAAATTTCCACCCCGTCGAAGGAAAAACAAAACACAAAAAGCTTGTGTGGTTGAGTTTGGAAATTTTCTGCTGGAGGTTCCATTCGTCAACTGTCTCTCTGGTGTCGCGGAGCTTTTCAGCTGAGCGACGATATGACTGTGAATTTCCAGAGAAATGGCAAATTAAACATCTGAAGAAGAAATGATGAAGCCTCGAGGAAAATTCCATAATGAGAATTCATAGAAATTCCACGAGACAATATATGTATTTCTGTGCCAACAATGAAAGGAAGAAATCTGTCATGAATTTTTTTAGATAAGAAATCCATCTTGGCAATTCAATTATACAAATCTCCATCAAATTTGTGCGCTATCGTCATGGCGAAGGAGCCTGTTCGCCCACAAACACCCCTAGAAAACAAAAAGAAAAAACCACCCGACAAATTCGAGGGATTTCCCAATTCCAATGTATTACACTCGCGGGCATAATTTTGCCACCGGAATCGTAACGCAAATGTAGGAAATAAATTCATTATAAAATAGATTTCAATTAGGCCACAGAACAATAAAGCTCCACCGCTCGCGTGTCCGCAAATTCAATTAGAGCCCCACGCCAGGGCATTTTCGGAGGTGTGTGTGAGTGTTCAGGGTGGGAAAGATTCACGGCATTTGGCGAAAAAACAATTATTTAATTTTCCAAGAGCCACGGCAAAAATAGTAACTAAAGCCACACCATCCGCATGTTTCTGATACATTTATGTTGGTAAATATAACATCCCATTGACTATCATTTAATTATTTACATTCATTCGCCATCAAATGAATCAACTTGTCAGCGTGGTTTGCATTAATGTATTGTAATAAAAGTATTTGCGGCTCCGTGAATCTTATTGATGTTGTCAATCGATTAATTCTGTGGTTTCATGAGGTTTTTTTCTTTCTCTTTGCAATGCAAAGTCAAATTCCTATAGTTTGCAGCATAAAATTTTGTAACTAATTAAGAACTAAAATTGAATTTAAACAATTTGAATATATATCCTTTGAAAATTGGATGTTAAGCTGTGTGACTTATCTTTCAAAGCAGTTTTCAATTCCAACATATTCTTAATGATGCCAGTGAAGAGGAATAATGACTTTTTAATGAGTTGCAGTAAAGTATAAAATTCCACCTGGGGGAATTGATCATAAAACCTCTGCGACTGTTGGCAATTCGCTAGTGTTTCCGTGCTCCTTTTCCAGCTAATCGATATAAGGAAAGCAAACGAAATCCCAACCAGAAGTGACTGTTGATGGGCTCCAATTTATGGGGACATCGAAAGGAAATATGCTCAAATGCGAAAACTGTCGTCAATTGTTCACCGGCTCTGAGCGGTGAAATGACGAGTGAATTTGTGGTGATTTTTCTCTTCACTTTTGTCGTCACGCATTTTCATGATTTACAGCATCGTCTAAATTGAAAATTATCCCTGACTTTATCACTTTGTGTGTGCGCCATTGAGCAAGCGGAAAATAGTTGAGGACTCCATAAATTGCATTCGCAGCCACGAGGCGAAGTCTGTCGGTCAGGAACTTTCATATCCACGACAAATAATTGGCATGGTTTAGGGGATCAATTTTGGCGGCCGTTGAGCCGCTCTTGTGGTTTTCGCCCATGGATGAAACAAGGCCGGAGGAGTTCACGTTTTGGCCCGAGGACTAAAATGGCATCAATTTGAATTTATCGCCACTATTTATGACCACAATTTATGCCCTGCTCCGCGTGCAGTTAATTGTCACTCCTATGTTAATAATTATTCCGCGCGGAGATTCTGTCCTGTGTGTGTGTGCTGAAAAATACCCCATCAATCCGTGCCGGAGAATCATCATGGGAATCCGGCCAAATGGAAAGCCAATGCCCATCCAAAGTGCCAATATATTCAAATGCGGAGCTCCCAATTGAAACTTTCGCCCATTTTGCTCATTGGGAAATGAATCTGGCTACCGAAACTTTTGCTCTTTAATTAGTAACTTTCTTGAGATAGCTTTTACTCGATGCGAAATTGTGTTCTCTCACTTCTTCACCGGCTAAACCACTGCTCCAAATACAGAGAAACCCTTTGAAACACGAACCGGAGCGAGCAGTCAATAGAGCCGGGATGAAAAAGGGTGTGGAAAAACCTTTGCGGAACATGATGAAAATGTGCAGAAATATGTTCCAAAATGCAATTTAGTAATGCAACATTTCTATAGCTACAACTCAAATGTTTTCGCGCACAAAAAGAATTTCCGCAAAATTATTTCAGGGAAGTTTTCACGGTATTTGATAGAAATCAATCATATTTGTATGAATTTAGCAGATTTTTGAAGATTATCTGATAGCCCAAAATGCCAATGTTTCACTTTCATAGCATGTAAAAATCATTTTGCATTCTCGCAAAAGTTCCAAAATAAAAAAAAACAACATATATTAAGTGATTAAATTTGTTAGAGAGAGGTTTTGGGTCTCACATTCATCTGCAAATCGGATCAGGCACATTTTGAAGCAGAGCAGCTTTTCCACAAGCCAATCTTGGTGTGCGCTTATCATATGTTTTGCAATTACAATGCAGTATTATTTGCACTCTTTATTATTATTGTGAGCAATAAAATTATGGAGTGAAATATGTATGAATTTATTCACAATTCCTAATTATTTCCGAGTTGAAACATGGGAAATTATTGCCACAAATAATAATAATACATAAGCAGCCATTTTTGAGCTTTCAGCAAAGAGAATTTTAGCTCTTGTTCTCTCTCTCTCGCGCGCTGGAGGAGAGTTTCACTCCTTGGTCGCGGAAGACATGGAAGGAATTACCTAGCGCTCTCGAGGGCTTCCTGGCGATAGTGTCACAGCGACTTGATGCCATCTGACAATGAGATGCACTTGCAAATTGCCAAGAGTCCCTGCAGAACAATTGACGTGCACTTTGTGTGACACAGAAGCTTCCTTCGCCCAGGATTTCTTCTACACCAATCCAGGGGAACTTCAACCACAGTCGCGCTGAGTGGCGGCAATTTGCCCGAGACGCCCTTCCGGGCTCCGGATGAACAGATCGATGCCGAGGGCGTGGAGCTCTCGAGTGTCCTCCGGGCGATGTGTGCAAAAAAGGCAAAACCCAAAGAGGGGACAGGAAGCTTGATGGTGTATCTCTGGGGATGGGCAGAGCTGCCACCCATCCAAATTGGTATTGATTGTGGTTGCTGTTGGCAATTCCCGCCGCCACAGTGCATCTGAAATATTGCTGGCGTTAATTAAATGGGCCCGAAGTGTGGGTTGAGCACTTGAGGAAGCTCGAGCGCACTTTTGCCCAAAGTTGCCTCGGCAAAATCTGTGCACTCACCCTTCCTTGCCATCTAATTGACTTTTTAATTAAATTTTCGAGAGAAATTTACGACACCGGAAAGGCCGAATCGATCCCAGTTGCAGAGCAATAATAATTGAGCAACCACAGCACAATGAGGCGTGCTCTGTGGCAAAGCAAAATGGAGTCCACCTGTTCTCATTCCCACCCATCCCACGCGCTCCAGCAAATGGTCAAATAATCAGGAATTAGGGTGGGAGCTTACGTAAATTCAGCCCCAAATACCACCACGAGGAGACGACGAGCCACACCAGACGAGCACGATTAATTGACGTGTAATCTTCCAGTCTCTCTCTCTCTCGCTACATTGTTGCATCCAAAGGAGAAATGTGAGATCCCTCAAGATGCCAAAGAAGTAGATTTGGAGGTAATCTAGATGGCAGATTTGCTGCTGTGCGAATTAGAAGCCAATTTATTGCAGATTCACGCTCACAAAACGGCCTATCCCTTCTGGCTAGGCGGTCCCTTCGACTGCTGCGGCATGTAGTAGTAGTGCGGAGGCGCCATGGCGTAGTTGTAGCACTCAGGACACACTCCAGGCACACCAGGATTCCCTTGAGAGCCGTGCATGCCGGGCATTCCGGGTTCTCCGCGATCACCAGCTCTGCCCGGAGAGCCGGGCATCCCACGATGACCCTCAACACCCTGCGGACCCATCACACCGTCTGCCCCACGCTCTCCTCTCTCACCCTGCTCACCGCGCTCGCCCTGCTCCCCACGAGCACCCGTCTCGCCAGGCGGACCTTGCGGCCCAGGCAAACCTGGCATGCCGGCAAAGCCCCGCTCGCCCCGAGCTCCAGCAAATCCACGCTCGCCCTGAGGACCCGGTTGACCCTGTCGCCCCTCTCGAGACACACCCGGCTCGCCAGGTGGACCAGGTGGCCCTGGAGGCCCAGTGGTGGTCACTGCGATCTCAATAAGAGTCTCCCTGATGAGAGTACCACAAATCTCTCTGATCCGCGCCTCATCCAGGGCGCCGAAGTACATTCCCGGAGCTCCTGGTGGACCTGGGAAGCCGATATCTCCGCGATCTCCCTTCTCGCCCTTGCTTCCGTTCAATCCCGGAATGCCGGCAACGATTGACGGCCGCCCAGCTCCGGCGACGCCCAGGAAATCCACCTCCGAAGGACCCTGCAAGGAGCAAGCTTGTGATGTGCGCTGGGCTTAGTGGTGGAGCTCCTTACCGGAGGTCCTGGAAGTCCACGTTCGCCCTTCTCCCCCGTGAAACCTCTAGCGCCTTGAATGCCCAGTCCAGGAGAGCCAGGCTGTCCGGGCTGGCCAGGAGATCCCGGCAGACCAGGCAGGCCTCGAAGCCCTGCCACTCCAGGCAAGCCCTGAAGTCCGTCAGATCCGCTTGGTCCCGGAGGTCCTTGAGGACAGAGAATGGGACAATCGCGAGTCTGCACACCGCTCGGCCCACTCAAATATGACACATTCTGTGCCACTGGCAATTCAGCGCAATTCTGCCGCTCAGCTCTCAGAGGATCACAGCTCAGCACCATCCATTGAAGGTCAATCTACGAACCACAGAGAGGTCTTAGCGGGAAAAGCGAGTGAAGGAGGAGAAGTGAGGGCAATGAATACTGGCATGAGATATTCGATGACTCGCCTGATGACACATTAATGGAATGATGATTTATGGTGATGGAACTTACAGGAGGTGTCGACTGAAATGACAGAGATGGAGATGGTGTGAAATTTCCTGAGTGCATCCCACATGGGATTCAAAGTGAAAACTCACTGGCGCTGTTGCTGGATATTCCACGAGTCGGGCGACACTCAAGTGCCCTCCGGTGGCTTCCACTGGGCCTCTAGGCTGCAGCGGATTGGCAAATTGTCCATAAATGCCGCGCACAGGCTGACAATCCACCCAGAGAGTGGCCCTGTCGTAGCCCACGCCCAGAGTCACTTTGTGCCAAGATTCATCAAAGAGCTGCAAAGGGAAGGCAACTTCTCATACATGATGTACAACAGCTCTTCCCCCTGAGAAATCCCTCACCTCGTGATGCCTGAACGTCACCATCTGTAGATCCCCGTCCACATTGGGCAGCGCCAAGTGCAGCAACTCCCGCCCCGGATCCAGAGTCACACTCAGCTGGGACTGCTCATAAGAATCCGTGACGTGGAAGAGATACCATGGCAGGACAAGTTCCTCGCGCGCCCGGAATGTGCACTCGAAGGAGAATTGATGTGGGAATCCACGTGGGAAGGCGTCAGTCGCTCTCAGGGTGAGATTTGACTCTCGCTCGAGGCGATAGGCTGTCTGAATGTGACTCGAGCCTACAACTGTTGACACACCTTCATAGTATGTCTCCGAGCGATCAAGCCGGAATTCCCGGATGAAGTCGAATGTGTTGAGATCGGCATCGCCAGGACGCCATCGACCACAAGGGCTGTAATCCTCGTATAAATCCTCTGAAAACACACAAAATCACAAGGAAGATATGACATTCGTGCGAACGTCCAGAGACAGTCGGAGGACAGTGAGAGGACAATATGTTTGCTTGTCTCATTTATTGCACCATCTAAGTGCATTCTTCCCGCCTTTTACCAATAATTTCCCTTCACACACTATTCACTAGTTTTTTTACAGAGTAATATTGAGAGCTATTGAGATGAAAATTCCAACATCAAAGAATCTCCATACTTACGAGCTTTTACAGGGATGCCGAGAGTTAATAGGATGGCAAGTGCAGGGAGGATTTCAAAGGCTTTCAGCAACATTTTGCACAACCCGCGCAATTACACTCTCCCAAAACTGGTCACTATTTGCACAGCTTCGCCACTTCACTTCAGACGAACGACGAGATTAAACTCTCGATGACGCCTGTTCAGGCCTTTTATCGTGGAGATCCGAACATGTGGTGTTCGCATTAAGATGTTTGACGAAACAAGTCCAGCGCGCACGAGATCGAATTTCAACATATAATTTGTCCGCCTAATAGTTTTAGCATATTCGTCCCAACATGGCCTTTCCCATGGCCTTCTGCGTGACCCACTCGAAAGCCAAGATCTATTCATAGAGGAATTTTTGGTTTGGACAGTCTCTGAGGGTGGAAATGAGAAAGTGCATTAGGTTAATTGCAATTCCTCCCTTCCCATCGTTTGGAGCTTAAATTATTCGCTTTGGTAATTCACCCCAACTCTCACCCTCGCCCAGAAACTGATAAGGGCTCTTTATACACTCTTGATTGCCAGAAACTCTGATGAATTCCCGCTGCCAGTGTTTTATTTCCCTCCAATGGTGTATGAAAGTTTTCTCCCATTTCTCTCCTCCGGACCATCTGTCTCGCTGGTCATGGGCTTTCTCTCCTCGCCCAGCAACCCAGCAGAATCGTTACATTTTATTGTGATGAAAATGCTCCTCACACATCTTTTCAATGATTACCGCCACACAAGACAGAGAGAGATATTTTCCTTTTTCGCCCCATCTCATCGTCATACAAATTAATTTTCTAGCTGGCAATTTTCCTCTCCACTTTTCCGTTAAATTGCACAAAGGTAGAAATAAAGCACATAAAGATGATGTTTCTCAATATGGCACTTGAATGTTTGCCTTTGGCGTGAGAAAAAAATGCTCCGGTGTCTGGCAAAGCCATTAGTCAGATTTGCAAGAGACTAATACAAAGTGTATTAAAGACCACCAGTCATCCCTATATAGTCAGTGCTATTGATAATAATTTCCCAAGAGAAAGAGAAAAAACACACAGCAAATTAATTTACCCATTTCAGCACAATTCCACCCCTGATAAAATAATTGAATTTTCATATTTTCTCCTCTGTTGTACATCTTCAACTTCACAAAAGAACTTCGCAGCAGAAAAAAAATTAATGAAGCAGTTCAAGTACACATGGAAAATACAATTTTCCCACCCACAAAAACACACACACACACATTGAGGAATTTCCGAAAGTGATACAAACTCACCCCATGTAAAAAAAAATGAGAGAAAGAGGAGAAAGAGACGATGAATTGCGCCACCCTGACAGTCATAGAGAGGCAAAGAGATGCAAATGAAATTTAGGGGTGCCATCAAAAGAGGCTCATTTGCGGAATAATTGCAAAATTGAATTTGCCCGCGAAAGAAATCCGCAAATTTATATCTTCTCCCAGCCAATTATCTGATTTACAGTACGTATATATCATTTGCCAGCGCGCTTTCGTGCGCACATCCTGCTGATGACGCAGGAAAAATGGTGTGAAGTGACTCTTGAGAAAAGGATTAAATAACTTCAGGGGGAAATTGCAAAGAAATTTACTTTGAAGCTGGGAAATTGATTAAATCTCTTAATTTAAAGCATCTCAACTTCACGCGTGGAGTTTTTTTTGGCTTCATAAGGAGCTTTTAAAGCACACAAGTGAGATTTTCCAGTAGAATAATCGGATTCTAAACTAATTTTCCCGTGAATTCAGAGAAATTAATAATTTTAAAGAATTCTCTTTCATAACAATGGAAGTGACAACGTGAAAAAAATACTAAATCGATGCTTTATGAATACAAATGTATAAAAAACTCTATTACATTTTGCAGACTTGCAATATTTCCAACTTCTTTCTTCTCAAGCTGATCAGTTTTGTCAACAAAATACTTCTTTCTCGACGGAAATTCATAGACATTTCCCCGAAAGCTTCTCTTCCGATCTCTCTCTCTCTCTCTTCTTATCTCCTGACTTTCGCTGTAATTCGTGGGCTGTTTTCATTGCTCGTCTCGTATGAATTCCCACTTAATTGGGCTTCATTCATAATTGTGAATTTCCCCCGAAGACGTAAATTCGGCATAATCAATTGAATGAAATCGAACTACGTGAGCAAATCACTCATGCAAAAGTGAATTTTTTTGCCACACCAAAATTATGATAACAAGAATTTCGAGGAGCCGAAGAATTTTCACCCAGCCAAAGTTAATTCAATTACAAATTCTCCACCCCAACTTTGACACCATTTTCCACGGTGTGACGTTGGCACATGGAAATTTCCCCACCCGGAAAATTCACTGTCGCCTTGTTTTCAAAAGCGGCAATTCCTGGACAAGACAGCCGAGATTCGTGGAGGCAAAAAACGCTCAATCGATTGTAAAGATGGCAAAATGACGGAAGATCCTATACAAATTTTCACCACTCGCTGAGTGATGAAAAGTTGCAAAAATTCTCCATTTTTATTCCTTTCTTCGAATAAGGAAGGAATGAAAAATTCCTATATCCACACTGATGGGAGGAAAAACTTTTGTACCGCGCGCTCAACACTCAACGGAAATTAGATTATCCGGATGTAATGAAATTTTTTTCTCCCAACATTCATGTGCAAATTCACCACCGCCCCCGCTCAACAGGAGCGCCCCCGCATGACAATAATTCCTGCGATCGAGAGTGCGACGAGAACTGTGAGGATTCAATTTGATTGCAATACGTGAAGTCATGTATTGAACTTGAGGGAGCCAATTGGCAATCAAACACGCGGAGGGAGTTTTCCGCTCTCTCGTGGGAAACTTTATATGCCAAAGATATGAATATCAGCATTAATCCGCCCTCAGTCAAGATTTTTCTTTCCACCCTCTGCGGCGAATTTCCCTCGTGATTTGTGGGCGAATGGTGAATGCTAATGAAGCTTGAGGGGCTCTGTTGCTCTGCCCACAACACGGAAAATCGCTGCTGATATTACGGTGGATGACAGGAACTTTCTCGTGTGCTGGAAAGCATATTGGCCTCTGATTTAATATAGGCAAAGTGGGCACTTTTCAGCACATTTAGGCTGTCATTCGTGGGAAATCACAGATCAACTATTTATTAGCCACTTATCTGGCACAAGAACTTAAGAATAAATGTAACCAATAAATAATCAAACATTTTCATTTCTTTCATTGCTGTAGTGAAAATGTAATCTTTGTCGATTGAATGTAAAGTTTTACTCAAAAATTATAATAAATCTCTTAAGTTTCCATCCGATATTTCTGCAAAAATCTACTTAAAAATGATTTTTTAACATTTTTCCGACCATAACTTAAAAATATAACATAATAATATAATTAAATATAATATAAAACTACTGATTTCGAGTCAAAATCCCTTATAAAGTTTTCAAAATAACCATTTTTCAGGCACAAATGACTGTTTTTGAGGTTATGTTCGGGTTCAATACAATTTGCAGTGTTTCTTGCCATCGAAGGGTCAGAATAGAGATGATTAATTCCAATGATTGGCGATTTCCCTGACTGGAGCATAAGAATTGATGTGCTAGAATGCGAATTATTCACTAAACCTGTTCGGAATTCGTTACATAATCTAGAAAAGGATTATTATAATTTTTTCTGCGTGAAAATTGAGGGAAAACTAAATAATTGGGATAGTTTGTCAGTAAAATAAGAACTCAGGAAAGGAATATTGTAAGCTTTTAAATATTTCCACTTCCCAAGACTTCCGCTGAGCTGTACACCACTTCTGGCTTATTAACTTCATCTTGTTTTTCGAGTGTAGAAAGAAAGAGTAGATTTATGAACTTATGTCTTAAAAGATTGTCTACATTTCCAAGAAAATTCATGAGCTTTAAACGAGTCAATTTCTCACAAGAGGTGAACATATTCATCAATTGGTGGACAATTTATGATCTGCAAAAAGTTTATTTTCTGCTTTATTTACCTCGAGGGTTTTCTGAGCTTCCTACAGACTTTAAAACTGTATTTTCATGACTGAAAAATCGGCCTGATCTCTTATCGCGACCAGAAAACAGTATTTCATCATCTCGAGCACTCGAAACAGATGCAAAAGAATTGCAAAAAGGCGGAAAATTTGCTGAAAATATGGATGAAGAATTAATCTTACCAAATCACCCCGATAAGATTAACAACACTCAAATTCATCATCATGAATTATTTAAATTTACCATGGAAGAAAACCACAAGATTAGATGAAGACAAATAGATTAAGCTCTGCATGTTGTGAATTCTCAAGCCATTGATGTTGTTTTAAGCTCAAATATGCAAACTCCTTTTGCAGAATTGCTCACTATCTCGCATGTGAAGCAGTCCATGAGTAATTCCATCCCGTGGCGCGTCTTTGCAGATTGATTTTCTCACCTATTTATAATGGGGTAATTGACAAACCGGAAAGGTGTCTCATTCTGCCTGAGTGTGTGTGTGTGTATGGCGAGAAGCCAATTGAAGAGTTTCACCTTTTCCGCCTTTGAGCCGAACAAATTCCAGTCACGCACCCACATTTCCAATGACACAGGCACTTTTCTTCCTTCCGCTGAAATTTTTCTCCCGCTTGTGCTTTTGGGCCAGGATGAATAAAAAGCAGTGGAAGTGAAAAACACACACACACACACACGTGCGCGCGCGAAGGAAAGTATTTGAGAGGCGCAAAGAAGCTTTTCGTGGTTTAAGAGCTTTTCTCTCAAACACTTTTCGAAGTGAATGGGAAAGGGCGAGGGGGTGGGGGGTGGGGGTGTAAAAGGGAAAAAGTGGAAAGTTTCCACTCTTCTCTGTGGCTTCGAATGCGGAAAATACAAAAGCGTTCGTGAGTTGGTAAATAAAATTAAAAACTTTCAATCTACCAAAAATCTGCATAGGAAAGTGCGAAAATTCTCGTAATCTGTTGATATATTTGCAGAGTGTCGAGCTCTAATCAAAGTCATCACATGCAATTGGCGTGACAATTGAATTTGCCAGAGCCAAAAGGTGAATATCGTATCCCTTTTGCTCTCTATCAAGGGATAAATGAATTTTCATGTCATGCCAAAGCATTTCATTTAATTTTTCTCCCCTCCGGCCATGATTGTGAATTAAATTTGCAGCACGTCAATTAGTGTAATTTCATTTAAATCCCTTTCAATTTAATGCCATTAGATTTGAGTCAATGAGTTGGGAATTGTGTGCCGAAGAGGACTTCACGGTGATTGGGCGATGAAGCTTAGCACGACGCCCGCAAGAGAGCTTAATCACACTCCAGTCGGAGATAAAATTTCACGAAAGAGTGAGCGGAAAACCTGAAAATTAAATCAAATTCAATTTGGTGACGTCAGACGGTGGCTGCGGAATGTTGAGCAAGACTTTCCGCCAGGAGAGGCACTAAATGAGGATTTCTCGCCACCAAAATTGGCGTCTGTCACTTCACACTTGCCGCACACCAATTCACTGGACGTGATTCTAGCTGAGAACTTGGGTGAATCACCTCACAGTTCGACACTGAAGACGCAAAAAGCTCAGAGTTGGAGCTTCCCATAGTTAAATTGCAAGCCTAACAGACTGTATGGAAGAATATATCTTGAAAACACTAGGAAAGTCGATAAAGTTGTGATCTTTCCATGATTTGTACTGAACAATTTCTCACACAATAAAACAAAAATTCATATGAATATCTTAAAACTTTTACAGATTTTTACAATAATGAGCTCTCCTTTGCTGAGAAGATGAAATGTTGCCAAAATCCTATATCTTAAAACTAATCTAGCGCCTTATCAACTCACTTCTCCAGGTGAAATGTAGAACGTGCTTCTGGAGTTAATTGAATTTGTGTCAACTGGCAAATCGATTCGGCAAATTCATCCTTCGCATTCCTTTGGCAAATGCTTTGCATGCACTTCATCCTCCACAACGGATAATCTTCATAGGAAGAGAAGGAAGAAAAATAGTGTAACGCTCTAATTGGCGTGATAATTTCCGCGTGCGGAAAATGCGCGGCGCACTGGGACTCTATGTCCAAGCATGATTTGGGTGCGAAGAGAGTGGAATTTAATTTGCACATTATTCGCCTCGGCGATTGTGAGTGAAATTTGACCAGAACTGCAGTGGTTTTGGCTGTGCAGACAAATGATTGAATTGAAATGAGGTTTTTCAATTAAATTTTAATGTAGTTTTGCTCGATGCATTTCAAACAGTGCAATCGACCGCAGACATGCCGGTCAGAATAACCAGGAAAAATGGTGGAAAATTGTATTAGTGAGTGCAGAAAATTAAAATGATTATCAAAACGGATTAATTTTGAATTCATAGTTCAATTCTCTCTAGCGCTGATGACGCCACTGGTGGGAATCTCCGGAAAGATTCCACGTAGTTTTCCATATAAAACCCCGAGTGACAGTTTTCTACTGAGGATTTTTGCAAGTTAATAAATTCCCAGTGAATTTCTTCCTTATATCGCTGCTTTTTTGTCATCCACAAGACTCTTTTCAACTTCCGGTAAGTCTCTATTTATAGCATATCTTACAATATTTTTCCTTTGTACAAAAAACTTACGTGAAATATGATGAGAAATTTTCCACGTCGTCCTTTACTTTGGCGGGATTTCCGTGTGAATCCTCAGTCCGTGCATGTCCTTTATCTGCTCCTTCAATGTCTCCGTTATCAGTCGATGCTGCTTCACTGTCGACAATCCCTGGAAGTCTTTTGATCTCACGAAAATCTCAAACATCGCTCCGCAGCCTCCGGAAATGTCCGTCACGGCGATTTCCTCAGCTGCCGGGAACTTCTCACTCAAGCTCCTCCTCAGGTCCTTGTCTGTGTACTTAGATGCGCCCTGACCACTGCTTCCTGACCACATCCGCGAGAGTAACTGCGAAAAACAAAGAGTGTCTCAGTGATAGCGGCACAAGACGCTATGTTGTGGTTTTGATGGGAAATCTTCAATGATTTCTACTGTATATCGCGTGAAATACTCACAGAAGTGTACTTCTGACCATTCCTTGCCAGAATTCTCTTCATTTCCGCTCCAAATCACTGTTTTTCACACGTGAAATTACACAACAAGAGGGCAGCGGTTTTGAGGTTAGGTTGCAGAGAATGCCATTTTTAGTGCTGTTGAATGGTTTCTGCTCAAAGCTCGCCGAGAAGCTCAAATTCAAAATTGTAAAAAATTGGGAGTTGTGAAAGCTCACAGGGTAACCAGAAAACCCAGGAAATATTACCGAAAAACCATCGCGGCAGGTGTTTTTTTATCCTTTCCTCTCTCTTTCTTCACCTCCAAAGCGACACTTCATTACGCATTCGCGGGAGGCAAAAGAATATAATAAAAAAAAGTGGTGCACTTTTTTCGGTACATATAAAGAAGAAAAAGCATTTGTGGCAGACAAAAGGAGTGTAATTGCATGCAAAGCGATAAAAAATGAGAACAATTTCAACATGTTTCCACAACTCCACACACGAATGCCCGCAAATGCAAACAATCCAACACAGAAGAGTGTCTATTTACCAAGCCCAGTGTTTTATGTACAAACTCAGCCGCGGGTTGTGTGAGTTGGGAATGAGGTGAATTGTGTGCAGAACGGACGTGGCGCAGGCGGCAGATGGTTTATTCAGAAGATCTCTCCAGCGACAGGACAATGTTGCTCTTCGCTTGAAGTTTCAAGAAGCTTGAAGAAATGCGCAGACCGATTTGTGACAAGACAAAACTATTTGGCGAAGAACAACAGTGTGAATTTCCAGACCAACTTGACCTTTACTAATCATGAATTGATTAGCATTTCTGTGCGAAATTCTAAGAGTCAAAAGAGGTCAATTTAGAATTTTAAACAAAATAGCTTTGTTTGCTAAATAAAGCCGGCCTTTTTGAGGCGCGCAACACGACTGAACACCATAATTTATTAACATTCAAGAAATTCTACAATTAAGCTCTATTTCTTCTAAACACCTACTTGGGTAAATTCATTCTGACCTTAAACACTTTAACTACGCATCTGATGAAGTCATCCATTTGCAAATACTGGGCAGAATCTAAATCTAAATATTGTTTCTCGCGCACATTTCTTACAACTTTGTATGGAAAATCAATTTTCATGATGAAGTGAAAATCTCGAGTGTGTGTAAATTGAATGGCATAATTTACAGACACAACAATCATCATATTTTCAATGATGAACACAAAAAGTGTCAGCAGTGAAAATTGTGTCAAGTGTGTGGTCAAGAAAACAAGGCAAAATCAATTTACTTGCCAATTAATTGCACGCTTCTCGTGGCTCTCGTTATAATGTAAGGCAGAGAGAATCTGCGCGTCTCTCATTGTGTTATTAGAACTTGCAATTCACCGCCAGAGCTGTTTAAATAACAAGGAATGTGTTGAATATGATGAGAAGTTTTGCGAATGAGAACAAGTAGAAATAATTCAGCATTTTAATAATCGCGCTCTCACGTTTTCGCACAAACACAGCAACAAAGTGGCATGGATTGTTTACCCATTCTCTTCACGAGTCATTCCTCGCGAATTCTTTCTCTGATGAGTCTCTTATACTTTGTTTGATGATCAAGTGAGCGAGAGAAGGAGAGAGATGCCTTTGAGAAACTGTTGAGTGATTTGTGTGAATGAAAGTCATCATCCGATACATTGTTGCTCGCCTTTTTGTGGCCATTTACCGTCATATTGCCTCTGTGGTCTCTTGCGGAGGCGCAGAAGAGGGCAGTGGAAGTGACTCATGTAGAGCCAAACAACGAGTTTCTCAGATAGCAACCAGAGCCATAATATTGGGAATTTGAGCATGGATTGGAAGGCACAAAGCCGTGCAAAAAAGACAGACAACAAACCTTTTTCGAGAGATCTCTTGAAGCTTGAAAACGTGGAATGAGTTTCTTGTTTTGCCTCTCTTCACACGGGCTTCACTGGTGAAGTTTATTTATATTTGCAATCTTCAGCTATAAATGATTTTGATAGTTGCAAAAGGACAAAAACATTCACACGTAATCATACAGTTGAACTGTATAGATTCGTGTGGGTGGAGCGTCGAAAGGGGCGGAGCTAAAAAAAAACATCGCTTCTCTATTCATCGATTGTCAGACTAGGTGTCAAATGGTGCACTGTCGATTGACAAACATCCTGCTGTGATGCGCGCATTAAATGTAAACTTCAGCAGTGAAATCTACATTTGTTGACAAATATTTACACTGAAAATCATCATGCATAGCTGAAATTCATTTGCATTGTTGACTATGGATGATTCTCTCTGTTGAGCACAGCATACCGCCAGTGTGTTTGCCATATGCAAATGTTTTCACATGGAAAATGGAATTTTTCCCTCTTATGCGCTTTTTGTTCTCTCCTCAATTCTCCCCGATTTCTCAAGATGCTGTGTCGTCTCTCATCCCAAGGGAGAGAGAGAGGAACATTGACTAAATCGTGAATAAAAAGTCAAGTCAATTGGATTACATAAAGTGAGAGAGAGCGTCAAAAAGGAGAGAATAGGAATGAGATGCATTTAGTTCAATGAACGTTTACACTAGTAAAACGTCTTTTGTCTCATCTTAACGCTGAAAATGGAGGGAATTATATATATATGGATCTTGAACAGTGCGGAACAAAAGATATTTTAATTTACTTAATTGCCAATGTTGGCAGAGAGACATGACAAAAATGAATTTTTTAATTTGTGTGAAAATTTCACAATTATCCCGTTTTTTTTTACTTCTTCGTCTCTCTCCAAATTTTGTGCCATCAAAAATACACACGAACACCTCCTCTTGAGTTCATAACCATTTTATAATACAAGAAGAAGAAGGAAAAAAAAAAATGCTCGCGAGTGTTTTGTATTTACGGTTGGCGTTTTTTTTGGCCATGCCAAAAGTTCAAAGCCCCAAAAATTCAATGAGATGAATGATACTGCGCTGTTCGCGTGGCCGCGGATTTTTTTCCCAAATGAAAACACTTCTCGCGGTGAGATGGCGAAGAAGAAGAAAAAAACAGTATTGTGAAACTGTTCAATACACTCCCAACCACAGAGGCTTGAAATATAATGGAAAAGTTTTCGCGACATTTCTCAATATTTACGAGAACAGCGTCTGTTGACATTTTGGGTGGTTGAATTAAATGTGCGCCAGCCGTTAAGAGTGTGCGCGTCATCAATTGCGACAAAAGGTGCAAAAAAAGTGTCACGTCAATTTTATTTTAACTTGATTTCTCATCGAGTCTCGAGAGAGCAAAACACTGACAAAATTGGCTCGCCACATTTGCACTATGGGCATGTTTTTATAATTAATGGGTATTTTGTGCATTTTCCCATGCTCGCCGCGCTTTGCGCGCTCACACAATTCGACTTTTGCCGTTTGCGGTGTGTTGAGTGTTTTTCTTGGAAGTGCTCGACGGCAGACACGCAGGCAGAAGCATTTGAGAAATGTCGAGGCAAATCGGGTACCATTTTGACCTGCCGTGTGCGGATTACCTTCGTTAGAAAAACCATAAGGGACTTTATGAGCCGACTGTGAAGTAATGCTTTTTGCCGCACAATTTCGTGGCAAGTCATAAAAAGCCAGGGTCTCTTTGAGGAGTTAAATGAGCTTTTCAAAATGCGTTAAAATTTAGTTTTCAAGGGCGTCAAATGTAATTAAGAGCCGACACTATTCTCGGATTAGGATCAGAAGTCATTAAACAGTCAGAAGAAATGTTCCAAAAGGAATTTTCTTTTCTAGCCATAGCTTTGGAAGAAGATAAAAATCAGAAAAGCTCTCATAAGACATCAAATGTCTTGAAAATTTTACGTCAATTCAAATTTTTCACTTAAATATGTTAAAGCTTATAGAAAAAGGGGAAAATATTAATAGGAGAAAGGAACATTTTAGCTATTTAATTGAATCTCAAAAATAATTTACAATAGTTAAACAGAACAGATAAAGAGCGTTTGAAAAGTACTCAAAATGAAAACTATGAAAAATCGACTTTTCATCGTTTGTCCATTTGACCTGCAGAGCTTTTAAATAAATCCTGCATTTTTCCATTAGCTCACAAGTCTGTCCTATATTTTCCACTGCTGTTTTTCTCTACTTTATTCATCACGTTGTCGGTCAAATTGATTGTAAACACTCTGGCAAATCATTAAATGGCCCCTCGAGGCGACTCGTGGTGTTGTGCTGTGCCATCAACTGCACAACAACCCACGCTTGAGTGTGTATGTGCGACAGAGAGGGCAAATAATATGGCATTTGAATCTCACGTGCACACGACGAGAGAACCTTTAGCTCTCTGTGTTGGCTTTTGTGGGAAAGGAATGCAGTGCATTTCCAAGAAGTAAAAGCTCACACGATCGTGAGATGGATGCAGTGGGTTGATGTGTGGGTGGAACGGAGATGGCGTGTATTTTGATATTTTGTTTGGGTTTTTAATGACGTGGCGCGAGTGTGTTTTGAAAGAGTGGAGAGAAAGAGAAAAAAGGCGCGCGCGTTATTCAACCGTTTTGTTTGGGTTGCATTGAAACGCTAATAGCATTGTAATGAATTTTTCCACTTGATATTTGCTGAAATCATTTGGAAAGACTGGATTTAATGGGGGAGGAGGAGGGGAAAAGCCAAATGTGTTATATAAGTTGATATGTAATTGAAGGAGAGATTTTTCTTCTCTCAAGCAAAATGCTACTCAGTTTACGCAATGGCGCTAATTTTATTAATGGGGGATGAGGCTTGATGGTGTGGATAAGGTGTAGAGTAAACGTGACATGGATGGGACTCATGGGCGTCAACATTTGTTGCTTTGTTGTGAATGGAAGAGAAATTGGAGCACAATTCTTTATGGACATGTATTTTTACCATTTTTATTGACTGTAATAATACCCTATCTGGGGCTTTGAAAAGTGGTGTCATGCGAGGTGGTGATAAGATTTGGCGTCGCCTTTTTAAAGAAAAAGTCTCGTGACTGTATATAAGAAAGGTTCGGCATTTCTCAGAATTCATCCTTGCTTTTGAGAAAGAAGTCTCACATCTCTCAATGTCTATATCGCTTTTTGTTTGAGCACTTCCTCCGAAGCATCTTTTCTCTTCTTCCCATCGTCTGACCCGAATGTTGTCTGTTTCTTTTTTGTCGTCGTCGTCTTCTTTTTTTTGGGGCGTATGTATGCAGAGGAACGAGAGATTAATCTGACATGCGTAACTGGCAGTGTGACTGTGTGTGTGAGGGGTAACCTTGAATATTTTTCGTACATATGCGAGAAGATATTAAACTAACACACCATCGTTGGGCCCATAAGACTAAAGTTGGGAGCCATATTGAGTGCTGTGTGGCATCTTAACTGCTTTGCGAATTCCCTTCTCTTTCGTGATGCGCTCGAATGGATGTTCTTCAACTGAGTCTTTTGTTGCACATCACACAAGGAAGCGTCGATAAACTGATGTACGCGCCTCCCTTAAAGAAAAGTCACATGAGTGACTCACGATGTCTTAAAGAAATGTAGTACAAATTATATGGTATACTGCGTGTGCACAGGCCCCGATATTTTGCCTCGTGATTTCTCTTTATACTCAATCCATTGAGTGGTTGTTTCGAGTTCCAATTTGGCCAATTGCCAAGTTGGGTGAGACACAATTTTGCCACTCTCTCGCTGTATTTTGTCTTCTTCCCCCGTGCAGCACCCCAAAAATATATTATGCAAACATTGCATTGGATTTCTCCTCACATATTGCTCAATATGTATGGAGATGAGAATTCATCTCGTTGTGCCTCATTTTGTCACTTGTCCCCTCATTTATCATCAGTTCTAGAAATATTTCACATTATACTGTTTGTTTGTAGACAGGAAAAAGAGGTGATGTTATGTATATGCGCTATATATATGTGGAATATATATATATATATATATACAGTGAGAAAATGGGTGCTCTTTTGGCGACTGTGTGTGTTGTGTTTTTATGTGAGTAATCAAAACAATAACAACACCACGTCATCTCATACCGCAGTCTTCAGAGACTTACCAATACCACTTGACGCCACATTGAGGGCATCGAATTACGTGAATGCCTCTCTCTCTATGTATTAGGTCGAAAGCCCCAGAATTTGGGGTTGCCTGAGCGCAGAGAAAATTCCCACAACACCACACACAGTCTGTTTACATAACAAAGAACAATGTGGCGGATGGGATATTTGATTTTACCCCATTCTATGCACATTTGCCGGTCATATTGATCACACAATCGAAGATGCTGATGTTTTGCCATGCCAAGGTTAGACATATGGATGGAAAAATCCACCCTTAAAGCTCCTCTCAGCCCCTCATCGGGCAACTCAGAGTGGGAAATTTAATCCAACCACTACACACGATTGAATGTTTATATATGGAGTCGGCCATTTTGCGTGCTTGACGGTGTGTGTGCGTTGAGGTATTTTTGGAGGGGAACAGAGTCAGTGGTGTGTTGTGAATTCAGTCGGTTAGAAGATCTTGTGACGGTTGGACCTCAACATAATCGGCTCCGCCTGTTACAACAAGAGCACTTAGGAGTAAATTGTCAGATTGTTGGTGTGTTGTTGGCATCAAAATTCATCATAGTTGAGATTGTTCGATACCAAAATTGCTCGCACAAGAGTCCACCACAAGAATAAGGGAGAGAATTGAAGTTTTCCAACACTAGTGCATTTATAGCTGTTTATTTCCGGATCAAAGACCGACCGATACTGTATTCAACATTTATAAGGCGTTCGGGGTGTGGTAGTGTGTCTGAGGGAATTGTTTTTGCTTTTGCCCCGTAAATCGACCGACATTGTGACGTGGTGTTAGTGCGCGTGTTTCTCGTTTAAAAGGAAAGAGAGACAGAACAACACTGAGTACACGATAGTGTGAGAGAGAGAGAGAGTTGCAGAAGACACTTTATAAATAACTTGACGATTTTTTGGGTAACTCAGTGTGTGAGAAAGATAGAACAGCAATTAAGGAGGAGCAAGTTAAAGCGGGATAAGTGATTGAAGACCTATAGCCGAGAAGAAGAAGAAGAAGTGTATTCATCGTTACTGGATGAACTAGAGGATAAGTCTGGCAGTTGTGTAGTTTGGAGAAAACAAGGATTTCCAAGAAAACATACAAACAGGAGGCAGCAAGCAGCATAGGTGAGGAAAAGCCGAAGATGCCCAGCAAGCAGGCGAATGATGTGTTGGCTGTTGAGGAATTAGTGCATGAAATTAAGGAGAACCTACGACTGAAGGCTCGACCGTCCCATCATCCCAATCGCAGCTCCAGACCATCGCCATATCACATCCCGTGTCGATCGTGGAGTGATGGCTGCAATGAGAAGCACCATCACCACACCACGGGCAAGAAGGATGTGGATCCTGCCAGCATCGATGACCCCTATGAATTGCTCCAGGCGCTCATTAAGAGCAACAATCTGGTTAAGGAGGCGGTGAGGCGTCTCCAGCTGAATCTCTCACCCAAGCAACGATACTTCTATGAGAGTGACGATGAGTCGAGATCACCGCTGCTGAGGATGTGTCACCTTGAGATATAAGGAGAATAGGCTCTCCACAATTTCACCCCACCTCTTTGGATCTATCATGTCACTTGGATGCAGGAAGGCGTTGATGTGTGTTATTTAAAATGTGCGTGTGTTAATTGCCCACGGAATCAGAGAATTGAGTGCTGTTGACTATTTGGGACCGCTTTTCTCCCCCTCCATTTCATGCTTACATTTGACAACATCCCACCAAGAAAAAAAAAACGACACAGAAGGCACATTTTGTGATGTCGAGACAGATTGTGGAGCGGCAGTTGATACCCAACATGATGGACAGAAGTGTGAAAAACGGGCATTGATGAAAACAAGTGATGGCGGAGTGTGAGTGTGGAGTGTTCAAGTCAAAATGGCCGTCATGAAGAATTGAAAACAACCGAGGCGTCCCGGAGGTATCGATTGGACGGTGGGTATGGTGTAGTGTCTGCTGAGAGGCTCAAAACAACCCTGGCGGTGTGCACAGCAGCAATATAATCAAGAAGGTGCGATTTGAGAACAGTTAGCTAATATTATTAATCATAGGAAGCGCCGTAGTGCGTGTGTAACAAAACAAATGAAACATAGGCGACAAATGTCACAAGACTAGAAGATGATGCAATAGGGAGGAAATGTCAAGTGGCGCACAGATACAAAATGGCAATCGTGGCTTTTTTTTTGTTGCAAAAGACGTGAATCACAAATCCGAATGAGCCCCATGAACAATATTGTACTATGTTTGTGCATGCATGACAGTCATTTACATCGCGTGACGTCAGCAACGGCGCACTGGAGGCGAACTTTTGTTTTGTAAATAAACACACACAAGTGCTTCAACCTTGTGTGTGTGTTGGCTCGCCATGCACACGAAACATAATAAAGTGTATGTAAGAGAAATGTCTGTGAAATGCCCAACAAGGGGTTTCCATTGCAAGATGACTTGAGACGGAAATGGAGAAAGAGAGATGGTTGAATTGCAAAACACACCATCGATTTATTCTTACCTGTTTTTGTTCACAGTGACGCCATTTCGGATGAAAATATGTCGGGCAATAAACTCTCTTCATCGCCGCGCTCTCTTGATATTTCACAAAATAAGCCTTTGCATCATCTTGTGTCCATTGTGAATGTTACAATATAGAGAGATGAAAGAAAGAAAAAAAACTCCATCGAATATTAGATTTTATAGGTGAAAAATTACTTTCCAAAAAATAAATCATACATAAATTATGGTCAATCATTGCGACTTTTCTTTACTCTTAAAAAATTTTAAAAACAAAAAGAAGAGAGAAATGTTATATGAAAAACAAAATCTGCTTTTGTGATATAGTTTTTATGTAATTATGAAGAAAAAAAAGGTATACTTATCGTCAAGTGAATGATGAACCCTATATATTTAAATGGTAACAAATGTATAAGTAACCATATTAAAGGATTAAACATCAATTTAATAAACTATAATGATGAGAGATGATGAGCACAAAGAAGTGTATATATATTTTTTAAAGAAAAAATAATGATCAGTCGCAAATAGTCAACAGCATGAATAGATTTCTGATTTATCAAAGCTATAAATGATGATAAATGAAATGATAAACTTTTGTCTTATAATTTTAGTTATCGGAAAAAAAACTATATTAATGAGAGAAAATCAGTATATGTAAATTTCCAAAAAACACAAGCATAGATGGAGAGTGAATGGTAATTATTTAATTACTAGAAAACTATTCAACTTATATATTTTAGCAATTAGATAGTCTCTTTTTGTAATATGAAATTTCAAATATTAAACACAATGTGAAGCAAACAACAAATCACATCTTGAGGATGAATTATTGAGATGAATATGACAGAGAAAGGTGGAATTTTTATTTCCATACGACTGCAAATATAAAAGAAAAAACAACAGTTTAATAAATTTTTTGATTTATACCGTTTTCCAAATCGCATCGCGTCCCTCATTATGGAAGATTTTTAAATGCGAAATGGTTGAAATTTTAGATGAGCGAAGGAGAAAAATGAATGATAGACTGCAATGAAAGAAAAAAAAAGAAATAAATTTTAGATTTAACCTAGAAATCAAAGTAAATTTGTAGGTAGGATTCGTATGAAAATGAGCAGTTTTTGGGGGAGTTTTGAGGAAAAGTACCAAGAATAACTTCAAGTATATATATATGGATTATTAAATCGGCTTAAAAAGGACACTTAAAACCTCAATACAGTTGAAAATATCACAAGAAGATATTCAGACTATGTGAAAAAAACCCTCATTTTTCTTTTAGTAATCGACTAAAGAATATATAATGAAAAATTTTACGCTTAACATTTAGATTTTGTCTTGGGTTTCATTCACCGAACCTCTTTGTCTAAATGGAGAAAAGAAAACCTTTTGAATTCTTTACTAAAAAATTGATAAATGGTAAAAATTTGAAGATAAATCACTAAATAGTAAATAAGATTTCAAATGATAATAAAAGAAAATGAAGAACTTTTAAATGTGTGTATTTTGTGTAATGCATGCGAACAATACAATTTTTTGAGAATGATTACAAAAAAACATCTATTAAAAATACCTATCATAATAATAATAATACTATAAAAAAAACAAATTTAGTGATTATATATGAATATATAATTGTATTGATAAAATGAAATCTTAAACAAATTGTACAATGTTTTAGCGGTAAATATTTCAAAGATAGATGTCTGAAGAAATTTTCACTCCCCATCCAAAAGAAGAAGAAGAAGAAGAGAAAAATTGAAGAATAAATGTAATTTTAAGTGGATAATAATGCAAATCATATTGGGAAAGTTTTGGCAAGTGAAAATCACGTGGAGTGATTAGGATGGAAATGAATAAGAATGTTCCTTTGTACCTAATTAAAATTAATCTAACAATAATAAATGATAATGAAATGATGGTAGATTTTGAAAGATTTAATGATTTACAGGGTGACAAATAGACATTTTAGGAAGCATACGCAAATTTCTGTATAGGACAAAGAATAATTTCCCTGTTTTATTAACAAAATGAAAGGAGAATATATATATTAGTTTATTTTAATATTATTTCACTCTCACATATGAGAAATTGATACACACATTCTTAAGTATTTAAGAATACTTTCTAAGCTTTATTTTCTCTCAACTTCTGCTTAATGTTTTCTTTGAATGATTGTAGATTTTTATATTGATGAACTAACTACTTTCTCACTTAATAAATTACATCGCTTCCCCAATATTATAAAAACAACAACAACAACAATATAATGAAATGTGGTAGAAGTATAGTGAAAATATTTAAATACTACAATATAACAGTTTCTTCAGTAACAGAACAACAAAACAAGACATTAATTAATGAACACGTCCAATATTAAACAACATTTTTCGCAGTTGAAAAAAAAATATAAAATACAAAGAAGATTTAATGTGGGGGGAAGAAAAAAACAACCAGAAATATTGCAATAAAGTTAAAGGTGATGCCAATCAAGTTTTCGTCACTGTGTGTGTTGGTTAAAAATTTGAATCTAGCGTGTTTGCGTGCCGCGAAGGAGGAAAAATACTAATAGAGAGGTTTTATTATATTACATTTTGAAGCAAATATAGAAGCATTTTTTTAGCCCTGTTTTCAACTCTTCTCTTGTTTTGCAGAAAGAAGAAAACAGAGATTCATATTTTTCCCCTCGTATGTGTGTGATTTTTCTCTCTGTATATGCATATAGAAGAAAAGAGACGTGAGAGAGAGAGAGAGAGAAGTACACAACAGAGGCACAAAGTGAATCAATAAGGAAAACTTTTCTCATATTACTTGCTAATTGGCGTTTGGCAGAAATTTATGTTTGGCAAAAGAGTAGAAGAAGGGAAATTCAACACGCTATTCACGCTTACAGACGACGTGTGGTTTTGATTGTAAATAAGCGATTTGGATGTGGTGAGAAAATGAAAATAAAAATTCTCAACCAGACTGGGTTTTTTCTCACATGAAAAAAAAACATAGGGAGGAAAATATATCGATTTCGAGAAGTGGCGAACCTAAAATGTAACTCACATACACTAATGTACCTACAGTAAAATAGCTATTGGAGGAAAAAGAAGAAGAAAAAAATAATACAATATTGTCTTTCTGTGTGTAGAGAAGAGATAAAGAAACATAGTGAGAGAGAAAGTGAAAGAGAGACGATTTGGTTAGAGATATCCTGCATAACAAGAATAGTGAATGATTTAAAACAAAATAATTGTAATTTAGCGAATGAAGAAAAAAAGGAAACAAATAACAAATTTAGAAAGTTCTCTTCATTTTCACCTTATTTCCTTAGTAATCGTGCATGTTTTAATGCATATTTAATTATTATTTACTCTTTTCATTCAAATATACGATTATCACGTTATTGTAGTGTTTGTCATTTTTTTCTTTCTTGAAAGAATGCAAAACAGTTGAATGAGAGATAATGAGAGAAAAACAATGAATTCTTTTCGATAAAATATGTCTGGATGAGGCACACCCACAATATATAGGAATGATATGCGAAAGGAGAAGTTATAAAGAAATTGTAATATTGAAATAATTGAACTGTATTATTTAGTGATAAAGAGAAATACATACATTAATATGGAGAAAAAAACAATTGAAGAAAACTATTAAACACAGTTCTCTAAAGTGGTAAAAAAAAAACTAGTCTTTCATTCCATCGTTGTTGCCTAGCAAACATTGGTCACAGATAATCTGTCCTCTCCAACAATACCAAGGTTCAGTTCAGCAATCAATTGGCAATCCTCCCCTCTTGACACACACAATAAATATTGTCTTATCTCCCCATTTTGACTCTCTTATGGACTGTCGAGGAAAATTTCTCATCAGTTTTCCACTCAACTGAGGAGTGTTCGCGCATTCTGTACGTAATTTCTCTGTGCCTTTTTTTCTCCGTGAAGAAAACGCGCCATGGCCTTCCAAATGGGACCCCAAACTCACGCCATCCCAATGGAGATGTACCGTGAGAACCGCGAGCGCGTGATGAAGGCACTGAAGACGGCCACCAAGGGCCTGAAGGAGGGCTCAATGGTGTTGCTGCAGGGTGGCCAGGACAAGAGTCTCTACGACACCGACGTGGACTATGTCTTTCGACAGGTGATGGGGGAATTCCGGGGGGGGCTTTTTCGCTTGACATGCTCACGAGAGAACTTCTCAGGAATCATATTTCACGTACCTCTTCGGCGTCACTGAACCTGGATGTTACGGTTGCGTGGACGTGTCTTCGTGTCGGAGTTTCCTCTTTGTGCCGCGCCTCCCTGAGGAATATGCCGTGTGGATGGGACGTCTGCTGACCAAGGAAGACTTTCGCGCAAAGTACAAGGTTGACGAGGTGCACTATGCCGATGAGGTAAGTAATTTCACTCTGATCCACACTTGTACACTGGAATCTATCCTCAATTCGCTTCATATTAAAAAGAACATGAACGTGACAAGAACATGATAATCATAAAGGTTTAAAAGATCAGAAGAGTCGAAAGACTTTGGTCAAGGGGAAGATAATCTGGTTTCTCATGTTATATTATGTTATATACTCACGTTTTCATGTTATATTTTATGATTTTCTTCCACTAAAATACCATATACTGTAATTTTAGGCGTGAGAATTTCTACTTCAAAATATTATTTAGTTTTAAATCTGACACATAACCTAGAAAAATATATCAAAATTAGGACTTGGATAAAGAATTATTTTCAGAGAATAAAATAATCAAGAGAAAATCCAAGCTATGGAACAAATATTGCATAAATTGCAACACTTTCTTAATCTCTTACTGATCTGTACACCAGTTCTGACCACATTATCTCCCCCTTGACTTTGACATATCCACAATACGATGGAGGTAGTTGAATGACTTTCTGTATACTTTAGGATTTAGGGAAGAGATTTTAAAATAACATCAAACTCTTCATAAATTCGCTGAAATTACACAGCAAAATAATAAACATCTTCTGCCAAACTCTTCTTCACCTTCACAAATATCATTGAGACCATCGAGTCCATTGACCGGAAGAATAATTCGTTAAGAACACATTAAAAGATGTGATCCCAATTCTCGCGCCCCGACAAAATATCTTTTGAAAGCCACATAAAAACTTTATTGTTCTCACAGTGGCTGCGTGGGGATCAATTGGGCTCAGTGTGTTGAAGCTGAGGCGGAAGCCAGTGGAGCGAAGAGTTTCCGAGGGGGTCAATAGACATCCAGTGTCTATGAACAAATTTATTGTTAATTGGCCACGGTCTCTGAAATTTGAAGGTTAAATAGAAATCTCACAGTTCTTTGCCCCTCTTCTTGTCAATTTAATGTATGTAGAAAGATTTGTTGGGAGATTTGACAAAGTTGCTCTTCAGAAAACATTGTCATTATGAGGCATTAATTCAAGTGTCTCGCGCACTCACACAATGCAAATGGATGAGAATTGAAATGCAAATATTTGCAAATATATTATTTTGCAACACTTTTGCTGGTGTGACAAATAGAAAACAAATTGGTTTTGCTTACTCGCAACCAACATCAACAATAACGTGCGCAGTTGTATTTGGCATTCGACGATGATGAGAATTAGAGATGAGAAAAAGTTATTTCCTCAATTTTCTCTCCCCCAAACAACTTGCAGTAATATGCAAAAACGGTCTGTGAGAAATTCAATATTCAGCGCAATGTGCAATTTTCGCTTGAAAGAAGAAGAAAAAGAAAAAAAAATCACCTTTTCAACAGGTCTCGACTTAATATTGTATGTTTCTCAATGGAAAATCACATTGTAAACATCTTTATATATATTAAATAGTAATATGAAGTGAATTAAAATGATGTCTTCTCATATCGCAACCTTCTTTTCCCTCCATATATATTTTTTTCTGTATAATTTCAGATAAACAACGTGATTGCGTCAAGAAATCCGCCTGTTATTTATGTTTTGGTAAGTTTTATTGTCTATAGATATTTCCTCTTGGAATTATATATACTGTGTGTGCCTCTTTTGCCATTTGTTTTTGTTTATTCGATTTTGCCACGACGTATGAGTCAAGCTACAGTTCCATGAACTGAGTTGTATTATTTTGAGGCGTCACTCTGGGTTGGAGAAGCAGGAACCGCAAAATTTTTCTGAACTTGCCACACATCAAATGATGAATTGTGTGTTCGTGTTTGTGTGTGTGTGTGCTTGTGAAATGTGTGGATTTTCTTGGAAAGGCAAAATAACACAAGAGTGAAAAACAAATGAACTAAAAATTATTTGCGATGTGGCGAAAGAGAAAGAAGAAGAAGAAAAAAATTGAAGAGGCAAAATTTGTAAAGCGAATCTAATAAAGAGTTTTGCCTTTTGGTAGCGATTTTTATGTACATGTGTTAACTAAAGTTCACGAAGCTTTCACCAGACGATTCATGTTGTTTTCTTGTGCCTGAATGTCTCGCGCTTGTTTCATCTCTCTTGGGCACAAAGACATGTTACTCCTTTGGCTTCGTGCAAAATGTGAAAGAGAGATGCTATTTCTGTGTTTTATTTTGCTCACTGGGGTGATGAGAGAGAGAGAGAGAGAAAAGAAAAAGAAGAGAAACAGTTTTTGCTATAAATCGTTCTTTGTGTATCATTTTGCGTGGCAAAACACGAGGTGAAAACATTGCTGAGTTTATGCCTATGACCGCAATTGTTTGAAAATCAATTCCACGGGGTGGAAAAGTGGTTGTCGGCGAGGGGAAAAGTCAACTTAGCTCAGGGGATTTATGTGGGATAATTCAACCGGAAAATTGTGGATGAGAGAAGTCGCGCGTCACCTTGCGTCTGAGAATGTTGCGATGGGTTTGGTCTATAAATAAACATTACAATTCTCTTGAGACTATTTTCATTAATTATATGTATATAGTTTGTTGGGGGGAAAAATGAGAATATTTCCGGCACATAATGGGTCACTCTAAGCATACAATATTCAGGGAGTCATTGGATAAATGATTGAAGCATAGTATTGACGATTTAAAGTGAGTGCACTGATTGATCGTCATCAAACAAGGAACTGATTACGTATCTCAAATATCCTGGAAACTTTACAACACGAGCTCTGTGCCTCGATGTAGTCATGAATTAATTATATTCAATTAGGGTTGTGACATTTGAATGTAAGTTATTCGGCTTCCTCTGAATATATTGGCAATCTAAATAAATAACAATTCATTCTTTGAAACCATGCAAAATTTCGGAGTAAAGAAGCAATTTTCCCCATTTTCGAGGATGGCTATAAAAGAATATCATCTACAGATCACTCCGCATACATGAATAAAAGCGTCATATGTTGAAATTGTAACAATTTCGTACAAGTATTGTTCACTTCTTAAGCTTTTCTGTGGATCTTTCATGTTTTCTCTAATAACTGGATAAATTACTTCTGTCACAATATTTTCCACTCACTGTGGCTGATCATGTGAAGAAGCAGAAGACGTGAGCATAGGAAAAAATCCCAGTGACATTCTGTAATCAATTTCTATTTATAATATGACAAATTCATAGTGGGTCACTTTTAATCACTTTACTTCGGCTCAGCGCGACGTACAAAGTCCAAACCAAAGTCAAACAGTCCTGAGAGACTTTCAGACGATATTTTGTATTGTGAAATTTTTATATTACACAAAATACTAAATGCTCTGTGAGTAAGAAATTCCCATAGAATTTTTTTCCGGGGGAAATATTCCATCAGGGTTATGAATCATTTTCCACTGGCCCCTCAGAAAAAAAGAGAAGCTTTATACTCCAGAGAGTGGAAAAAACATGCCATAAATTTCCATGGTGAGTCAAGATGAGGAAGAAAAAGAGGTGGCAAAAGTGGGGAATGAGTAGAATTTTTGGGGCGCACTTTGGCGCCTTTGCTATACAAATATTTACATGATGAAATCCCAATGGCAATTTCACCAATTTTTCACGCTATTTCTCGCGCTCGGATTTTCACTATTTCACTTTGTGCTGTTGTCTCGGAATTCTCTATTTCTCTCTCTCATTGTATAATTTTTTTTTTGTTCGCATCTTTTATGTAAAGATTTTGTATAAATTCTCAAGTGATTTTGCATGCAGTAAAAAAAAACTGTCTCGAATATTGAGGGAGAGACAAAATAGTCTCGCTATTCAATGAATTTTTGCCAAATTAGACAGTCAAATAAACTGGAAATTTTACATACAAAATACACAGAAAGTCTCTAGCAAGTTGAAGGGGGGAAAGAGAGGCTAAAACACCTCTCATGAATAATAGAGTTTCACGATGGGTGGCAAAAAGAGGCACCATTTGTATTGAATGTGGGTATTTTTCTTCTATCTCGCCTCGCGGTGTGTTTTTTTTTATGTAGCCTTATAGAAGAGATAAAGAAAAATACATACACACACGCAGTTCAACAGTTTCGACCCAAATATCAAAATAAAAACATTGCGCAATGCCGTGTCTTATGCATCGATCATGGACTAGAAATACTCATTGCGCGTAAAACCATGAATGACGTACGCGCTTTGAGATTTTGTACCTTTTCTTCTTTGGCTGAACTCTGGGGAGCAGATAATCCTCAGTGAGATTAAGACGACATCACGTGCGTCTGGTTTTGATGTTCTGTAATGGTGTCTTTCCTCATTTCCACGAAATATCCTCATTTCACCCATTTTATTGTCAACAACTCGCAGTCATTAGGAAATTTTTTTGTGCTGCTTTTGCTGAGAAAAAAAAATCAAACAAGACACAATCCGAAAAGAGATTATGTATTTCGCAATGCTATTCATGTTGCAGAGTTGGAAATATTACAGATAGAGGATTAAACAAATCATTATTTGCGTAAAGAGTTGTTTCTGTAATATTATTCTTGCATAAAATGCACAATATGACTTGTCAATGGTAAAAGTGTGAAAGAGAGCAGTTTAAGCAGATGCTGTTGAATGTTTCGAATGAAAGAAATGCTTCAGTGGAATTGTTTTTCATCTTCTATAATTCTGTTCAACTGCATCTCTTTTGTTCAGCATGAATCATCCACATGATCTGCACAGGTTCTGGAGCTTTTTCAACTCATAAATCGCATGATTCATGCCAACATGTTGATTGGTAGAAACACGTCTGCGCGTCACGAGATTAGATTAGATTAAAAGAGTGGGTCTGCAGTCTTACGTTTGAGTCCAGAAGCACTCAATTCATCTAATCTGTCGTCTATAAATTCCTTTCGCATCATCCTTCATTAACTCTGTCTCCAGGACAGTGTGTAGAAATAAAATCCGATTTATTTGAACCAATGAAAACCAGCGTTAAGTGGAGCAAAATTGCGCGAAAATTTATTTTGCGCATTACAATTCACCATAGCTTTAGCATTAGCAATCTTCACCTTGATGGAATTGTTTTTGCGCTCGCCTTGCAAAAATAGGACACTTTTCTCAATTCCATAGCGAAGATTGATCCTCAGCTGGAGGGGACTTTTGAAGGACGCATGAGGATTTTCGTGCTCCAAATTTCCCAGCGTCATCCTGAGCCAAAGGCTTCCGGGGCTTTTGTGTTGTTGTTTATTCCATGGATTTTTTTTTCTGCCAAATCATCTTTAGCCTCTGTGCCAATATTCCATGTTCTATTATGGCATGAACTCATTTTCACGACCACACTTTATGGCTATTTATTTACTTATATTGTTCTGTGACGCTTTTTTCCCCCACTGATTTTCCATCTCACTCTGTCGGCATCTTATCACATCCCAGAATATATAACTTAATGTGGTTCTGTCGGGGGAAAATTGCGTCGATATCGATTGTGGGCAATTTGCGTCTCTTCTCCTTTGGGGCCTTTTTTTCTCAATGGAAATTCGCCATGCCATGTGAATTATGTGGCGATCTGGTGTGCATTTTTTGCGCTCCAAAATATATGCTCACTCAATTGCTTTTCTAATTGAATTTCAGTGACTTGCAAATGTGTTTCTTTCTTCCCTTCTTCGTTTTCCTTCCGCTCTCTTTTCTCCACTCTGCGACGAATTTTGTGTTTGTGTGTGTGTGTTTGACTCTGTCGACGAAGGCTTTTCTTTTCGACAGAGCCCAGAAGTTCTCAAATAAGCGTGTCAAGAGCAAATAAGTTGAGAAGCTCATCTCGATTGAGGGCTTTTCAATTGGGCGAACGCGAGAATGAATGAAGTGTGAATGTGGTGTGAAAATTGCGCTCTGCAGGTGTGTGTCTTGTGCTTTCTCAATGGAGTAAAGACACACCTGGATTTGGGTCACCAAGTCCCTCAAATTCCATAGAAATTGCGCGCATAATTGCAGAAAAAAATCGCCCAATGACACTCATCGCCTTGCGCGATAGATTATTATGCAAAAAGAGTGAGACGGAGAAGAAGGAGGAAAAAAATCAGAGCAGAGATTAGCGAAAGACCTCCAGAAGCATTAAATCATATTCCATGATTTTCAATACAAACATTTCACCATGAGCGCGATTTAGTGTCAAGTTTGGATAGTGCAAAAGACATGCAATATATTTCCCATACAGCACAATGTGCATCGATAGGAAGATGCATATTCATTCGCGTGGTATTTTATATTGTTAGCTTTATGGAGATGCTTTCCCTTGAGTGCTAAAATTATACTTCCTGGAATGGTGATATTGATTTGGCTATTTGCAAATTGCGGTGCACCGAAAACAGGGAAGTGCTTTTCGGGGATGAGCATGTTTCCAGGAAATTCAGACAAGCTTTATAAAATCATCATCAACATCACTATCATGAACTCCTCTCATGTGCAGATTCTACTGAACGCATCGAAAAGCATTGAAACATTTCGCTGGGTGAATGGAAAACTTTAAATTACAACGAGTTCAAGAGTCTTTGATTACATTTGATCCAAACAAGCTCTAAAAAAATCACCTTTTCATACTTCACATGAAATTTTCTTGAAGGTATTGAAGTGAAAAAATTAAAAAAAGATATGACAAATATTATATTCATTCAAATGGCTCTGAATATTTTAGGAAAATCCTGAATATCTAACATGATATGGTTATCATCTGGAAATTTTTTAACGAGTAATAGAACAAAGAATTTTGCAAAAATACGTAAAACGAAAACTAAATAAATTAACCTTTCAAGGTTTTCGAATTCACTCGTCGATTTAATGGTTGGAATTTTTAAATGATTTCAAATAAAGTATTTTTGTCTCGTATAATAAATATTTTTAGATAAATATTTAGATAAATATATATTTTGGAAGCCTCTTTTTCTGAAGTTTTAAATAAAAAAAGGCACTGAGTAATTTTACGTTCATATCTTATAAGATAAAATGTCAAATTGATCATTGGATTAAAGTCATTTCACCTTAATTTCTCTGTAAGATTTGGAAAATTCCACACAAAATGACTCTTGGACATTATATTTTGGAATGAAAATAGATTCAGAAGAATATAATTGAAAAAAATTCTTCAATTTTTTGACATCCTTAGAAATTGTGAACTTGGCTTCAATTGTATCTGAATGTAAATATTCTACATTATTTACAATGTTGCAAAGTCCTGTGAATTTGTCACTCATTCGTTAAATTAATGAGACATTCTGGTAATGAAGGGACTGTCATTGTGATATTTGAGCAATTTACAAATGAAAACCATGAAAATAACAATGTTCGTTACTGCAATTTGCTCTTGATTTACGTCGTTAGTTTGCTAATAGGAAGTGGCTTTTATGCATGCACGCAAATTGTGTTTGAAAGGTTGAAAGGTCCAAAATATGTGCTCTTTCCACGAGATATTGCCTCAATTGAAATGACTTACAAGTGTGAATTTACGACCGATTTCCGGAAAAATCAAGCACAGAATCACTGAAACGCGCGTTGATTCATGCATAGCGATAAGAAAGAATATGTTGTGATAATATACCTTTTAATCTCTCTCTCTATATAACATATAGACCATGTTTTCTTTTTGGGAACTCGCGCGGTGTGATGTTTATTTTTCTGCTCAGCCCGCTGAGAGACCTAAATAACATCTATGCGTGTGTGTTTATTTTGAATGTGTTCGGCGCGCGCTTTTGCCCAAAAACTGGCGTCTATGGAAAAATTTCTCACGCGCCTCTCTGGATCTGAGGCTCGATTGGGGCGTGCTAAAAATAAGTGCGCGGCTAGCAAGTGAGATTTATTAATGGGCAACTTGAACTTTGGAGAGCCTCGATTACAAGAAAAGAAGAAGGAATAAAAGGAGAAAAGAGGCGTTGTCAAGAAGTGTGTTGTCTGTTGAACTCTGACCTCTTTTTTTGTGATCTCGTGGGCACTTTTTGTTGCTGTTGTTTGGCAACAAAAGAAATTTCAATTAATTGAAAGTGCTCTGCTCTATATTTTTCTTCGCGAAATTTTTTCATGTTTTCTCGTGTGCGTTTTTTTTGTGTATTGTGTGCAAATTGCGCGATTGAAAAAGTCGCTGACTCGCGCTATGTTCGCGGAGAGAATTTTTCGTTGAAAATTGCGCTCGCCGCACTTCTTTTCCTTTCTTCTGTTTCTTTTTTTCTGGCCTGTTTGTGTGTGTGTGTGGGAAAAAAATGAATAATTGTTTCGTAAACACTTTTATCGTTGAATATTTGTCTGAGACTCTCTTGAGCAATTTACAGCCCGAGAGACTTTGTGCAAAGAGAAAATTCATGCCCATATAATGAGGGGGGAGAAAAACTATAACAAATTTTCCCAGGTAGAAATTCTGTCATTCTCTTTCTCTCTATGCCACAATCTTGCCAAGTACCTTGTTTACCTGAGCTCTCAAGGTTTATCGCCTGGATCAGTGCGAATGCTATTTTCAGCATGATTATTGTTTGCTGTGTGTTGATGATAAAATGGGGCGTGAATTGATTTTATAAGTGGGGAAAATTGTATGTTATTGCTTTTCCTTTGTCTCATCTGAGTGTGATTTTCTGGGAAAAATCACTCAATTACCATAGCTAATGCTTCTCTTCTCCTCCTCTTGCCTTGCAGAAGGGAAAAAACTCCGATAGTCAATTGATTGCTCAACCGGCTGATTTTGAGGGAATTGATAAGTAAGAAGTCTTAAATCATCCCGATAAGCATATCTTTCGGTCTGAATAACCTCAAATTTCTCCCCAAAATCCATTCCAGATTCACCGTGGATTACGATGCCCTGTTTCCCGTCATTGCTGAATGGTAAATACAATTTTTAACACATTTTATCACAATTTTTTACAATATTTAACTAACGGTCATTTTGAATATGCCACAAAAACCGCCAGAAGTTATGCAAAACACCGCGATAAATGGATGTGGAAAGTGTGGAACTTTAGTAGTTGTCAAAATATTGTCGATTTCACGAGTCAGAAAAACTATCCAAAATGCGCAATAAAAACGCAATAATTTCATAGTTTCGCACCCGAAAGTGATAAATCATGTCTCGGTGTATCATAAATCAGTTGCGCTACTTAAATGTGGTGCGAAGATGCAGCGTGATGACGATTGGAAGTGCCTCGAGGGGAGTGTCATCCTCCTCCACACGGGATGACAAAACGGGCTCCATGAGGCACACCACAATCCTCGTGCAACAGGGGGCGAGCATTCAGGAGCTGCCTGTGATTGTGCGCCGAGCGGGACGACGGGAATTTGTGGCGTACTGCTCGAATACAGTGCCACCGAAGCGTCAGGAAGAATCTGTCCAGGAGATTCAGGTTCAGACGCCGCCCATGGAGGTGCTCAGCAGTATTGAGAGATGCCTGACATGTAATGGTGTTCTGGCACTGATGAACAACTTGCCGGCTGAGGATTTCAGCCCAGACATCTGCGCCTTCGCACTGGAGAAACTCTTCCGGACAGAAACAGTGTTCACTTTGAGAAATGTGGAGCAATCTAGAGTGTTTCTGCGATTGGTGGGGAGATTACTGGAGCGTGGAGACACTCAATTGATCCTGAGTGTCATGGAGAGGCTGAAGAATCTGCTGGACCTGAGTCAGACCATTGAAGCCTTCAGCAATGAGCTGCTGATGAGGAACACGGATAATCACTTGTCCGTGGAGGAGATTTGCGAGGCGATTGAGTTGTGCGTGTCTTGTGGCCAGCGTGAGGCTGCTGAGAAGTTCTGGACGGGATTGGCGGAGCGCAGCCGGGAGATTGACGTGCAGAACCTGGCCAGAGTCTATAGAATTGCGCCGATGCTGAAAGTCACTCATCGGCTGCTAATCTCGCTGCTCGACCGGCGGATCGGTGAGTGCTGGAGTGGACTGCAAGCGCCAGCTGTTGTGGCTATCCTCGCGTCTCTGCAGAAGTGCCAATCGCCTCCCTTTCGCACCATGCAGAGTCTCTCCAGGTGGCTCAGCACGAACATCCATGCCATCGACGAGGCACTGTTGGAGGCGATTGTGGCCTCACTGACGCATCTCCAGTACACTGATGGTCAGCTCGAGCGCTCCCTGGAGCGCTATGTGAAGGCGAGGGGTGTGAAAATCCAACGACAGACGCTGATTGTGGCACTGCTGAACTTCTGTGCGGCCTTCCGGATCCGCAATTTCCACATCCTGAACGGCTGCAGTGAGTACTTCGTGATGAATGCGTCGCTGGTGGAGCCGAAGCACCTCAGGGCCATCGTGGCGCCCTTTGGCCAGCTAAACTACCAGCCCATCAATGGGATGCGCTTCTGGCAAGCCCTGGAGGCGATGATGGAGCGGAACTTTGGCCGAATGGCGCCCGGCGATGTGATCTCAATCGCCCTCTCGTGTGTCTACCTCGAGATGTTCCCGCTGAACTTCGTGAAGAGGATCTTCAATCCCTACTTCCTGGACGTGATGCACCAGGCGTCGCGGCAGGAGATTGTGGCGCACCATCGAATGCAGCTGAAGCTCTTTGACACGGCAATGGCGCTGGAGTGTGCGGAATACGATGGACCCTGGCTGCCCAGGGATCACGCTGCCCGCTCAATCTGGCAGGATGGGCGCATCAAGAGGATGCTGAATCAGATCAGTCAACATCTGGAGAACATCGCCGGCGGCTATGATCGCTATTCAACGTGTGTTTGCCTGGCGCAATTGCCACTCACCGAACTCCATGTCATCGATGTGCTTCTGCATCCCGCCGGCTTAGGTGGCGCCTGGAAGCTGCGTCCGCGCTCCGAGAGGAACATCCACACGGCAGTCCTGGTGCACCTGCCGGAGCACTTCAACTCCACCGGGGAGTGTCTGAGTGGCGCGCAAAGCATGAGGATTAGACACTTTCGCAAGATGGGACTGAAAGTCGTCACGCTCAACTATGATACGCTATCGAGGCTGAAGATTCATCCTAAGGAACTCAATGCGTATCTCGTGGAGAGGATGAAGAATTCCCTGCCCGCCTTTCCTGCCTGAGAGTCGTGACTTTGTTCAGCACACAATTTGTTGTCATGTAGAGAAAGAAAAACCAAGAGACTTAGCAATAGACAGAGTTAAGTGCAGATCACGACAGTTGTTTTTTTTATTGTCGTGATAACTGAAAATGAAAATTTCGCCCGGAAACAGCGAGGCTGAAAGTCTGTTTTCTCGGTATAAAAGAGCCGCGCTTCCCCACAGACAATGCTAATTGCTGAAGAGGCGGAAAAGTATCCACAACCAGACACACAAGGATGAAGATCTTCCCACTGTTTCTCGCGGCTGCGCTCTTCGCGGCGGCTGCTCTGCTGGACGGCGTCACTGGAGAGTGCACATTACTTGGGGTTCCGATTGAAACTTCTAATGAAGTATTGCTTACAACTGCGTGTCTAACACTTACGGGATTAAATCCAGATAACTTGGAGTGCTGCAAAACTGCTCTTAGGGATTGCTGTGGCGTTGTCGGCAACTTTACCAATCTCGCCGATTGCTGCGATTTGCTGCCTTGCATGTTGCCAGAGACACTTCCTTAAGCTGGGAAATTAATCTAAATAAAGTCCTTTTCTCTATTTGTGTTTGAAAATATATTGTGTTCAGATTTCTAAAGTCTTCTTTGCCTTCCCGAACAAATTCCTTCAGATATTTCAGTGTCTTGAAGATAAAGAAAAAATCCTACTGATTCTCCTCGTCAATTCATTCCTTTCTTCATCCGCGTTTCTTCTCTTTTCCAGTCGCGTCACCAAATCCCCGAAGGAGATCGAAGTGTTGCGCTACGTCTGCAAAGTGTCTTCCGATGCCCACAAGAAGGTCATGCGATATGTGAAGTGAGTATTCAGCGTCCCAAACATCCCCAGTCTCTGCAGATTCGTGTCGATTCTCATTTTCCAGGGCGGGAGTGTCTGAGTTCGAGGCCGAAGCCGTCTTCCTGGAGCATTCTTATCGCGTCGGCGGCTGCCGCCACGTGTCGTACACGTGCATCTGCGGCTCCGGCGACAACTCCGCCATCCTGCACTACGGCCACGCCGGAGCGCCCAACGACAAGGTGCTGCGCGACGGAGACATGTGCCTATTCGACATGGGCGCCAACTATGGCGGCTACGCGGCCGACATCACGTGCTCCTTCCCGGCCAGCGGCCGCTTCACGGCCGACCAGAAGATGGTGTACGAGGCTGTGCTGGCGGCCAGGAATGCCGTGATCGCCGCCGCGCGTCCCGGCGTGTCCTGGGTGGAGATGCACCGCCTGGCCAACAAGACGATGCTGCAGCAACTCGTGCTGGGCGGCGTGCTGAAGGGCGACGTGGAGGAGATGATGCGCGCTGGGATGAACGGCGTGTTCCAGCCTCACGGCCTGGGTCATCTCATTGGGCTGGATGTGCACGATGTGGGTGGGTATCTGGAGCACTGCCCGCCGCGTCCCACTGAGCCGGGCTTCAAGAGCCTGCGCTTCGCCAGACCTCTGCAGGCGGGCATGTACGTGACCGTGGAGCCGGGCTGCTACTTCATCGACATCCTCCTGGATCGCGCACTGAAGGATCCGCAGCAGAGTCGCTTCCTCGTGCCCGAAGTCCTTGCCCGATTCCGCGGCTTTGGCGGCGTGCGCATCGAAGATGATGTTCTGATCACTGAAAATGGATGTGAAAACTTCACCGTCGTGCCAAGAACGTGAGTTTTCTGGTCTGCAAATCCCATTTATTACAACACAACTAATTAAAACACTCTTGTCTTGTGCAGTGTTGCAGAGATCGAGGCCTGGATGTCCTCCAAGTGAGCATTCCCGGGAGATTTTCCCATCTTGGCGAACAAATTGTGCCGTGTGCAAGAATTTAAATATACACATTGGATGAATTATTGGTCAAGAAATTCATCACCACGCCCAGATTCTCCATAGCCGTGCGCTTTAGATCGACATAATTGAACTCCTTGCGATTCTCCTGAACGGCGGTGCGCAGGATTTTGCCTTCCTTGCGCAAATCCGTGAGTTTCTCCTCAAGATGAGCAATTTGCCGGTAAGTTTCATTGCTTCGCAGGCTGTCTTTGATCTCACGTGAGCGCTTCTGCGCCTCCTCGAGGACACCTTCGGTCACACGCTTCTTATTCCTGAGTTCCTCCAGGCGACTTGTGAGTTCTGACATCTTCTCGGCGGCTTCTTCGCGCAGAGACTGCAAAAATGAGGGTGGAAATCAGTGAAAATCATCAACCCCGAGACAAGACAGAACAATTTCTCACATCCAAGTTGGAGAATCTCGCAATCTCTCGAGACAACTCCAGATCCTCCTTCTTCAGGCTGTCATGCTGATCCTGAGTCCTCTTCTCGAGGATCTGCAGCTGTCTCAGCTGAATGCTGAGCTTCTTGTACTCCTTCAGCAGTCCTCCTTGGGATGTCAGATCATTTCTCTCCCCGAAAATATCACCGCGCGCCAAACCCTTCAGGCTGATCCCTTGCAAAGTCATCTGCTCAATGGCGAAGGCGATTTGATTCTTCAGCGTCTCAATTTCTGCAAGAGAGAAAAACACCAAAGAAAAGCTACATTTTCCCGCCGGATTTTGCAGATCTCCTTCGACTGCTCACTCTGCTTCTGCTGCGCCATGGCTTGAGGAAAAGTGTCCAGGAAGGCCGTCATGGTCTCATCGCGTCTCTTCAGCTCTCGATACTTTGCGTGTCTCTCGCTGTTGCCCTCCTCGAGATCGTGCTCCACTTGCAGCAGCAGCTCTCGCCTCTCACCCAGCTGATCCTCCGTAAGCTTCAGCTGACGCGAAAGACTGGTCAGCGCCTGATTGTTGCTCCTGACTTCGGCAATCAGCTTCTCCCTCTCTTGCGCTGGCGACAGTCGCGTTGCCTCCTCGTCGCGCAGATTCGCTCTCTTGGCCAGCAGAGTCGCCAGCTTGCTCTGCTGCCGGAAAGCCTCCAGGCGGGGCTGTGACGAGGACAGCGTGGCCATCATGCGATCTCTCTGCTTCGTCACACTCTCGATCTCATCGTGCAGACTCGCCGTCTTCGTCTTCAGCTCCTCAGACAGCTGCTGAAGCTCGTGGTACTGCTTCTGCTCCGCCGGCGCCAGAGCATAAATCATCTCCGTGACTTTGTGGCGCTCGCGCGCGATGTCTTCCTCCAGACGCCTGTTACCCTCCTCGCGCGCCTGGCGCTGGGTGAACAGCCCCTCCAGCTGCGTCTGCACGGACTCGTTGCGCTCCCGCAGTCCCGACGCCTCGCTCTGCATCTGCTGGCGCGAGAAGCCCGAGCTGTAGCCGTCCAGGGCGAGATTCATGTCCGTGAGCTGCGCCTGGAGAGTGGACAGCTCCTTGGCGGCCTCCTTAATGCGCTTCTCGTACACCTTCCTCGCGGACTGATCCCGTTCCAGGGCTTTCTTCTCGCGCGTCAGCTTGTCGGCTTCTTGTGTGATTTCCTGGATCTTCATCTGCAGCACTCCTTGCCAGTACCGACGATCCTTCACTTGGCGCTGCCCTGTGGCCGTGCCCACGCGACCAGTTGCTGTCGGGAGACCACTCAGACCATGCTGCGTGATGGGGCGCTCCATCATGGCGGCGCCAGCGACTCCGAGAGCTGTAAAAGACACATTCGCACTCAAAAAACAGTCAATTAGACCGGAAGCACTGGACTCACCCAGGGCGCTTCCGGTTCTCTGGCCACTGGCAGTCGGTGGAGCGGCGGTCAATCTGCTGGCAGTGCCCGTACGGATGGACGATGGGGGTCTTCCGGTGCCTCCTCTGTGGCCAAAGAGCAGTCAAAGGTAGACACAAGTTCTCTAAGCACTCCACTATCCCACTCACCTGAGGTTCGTCCCTGGGCGCAGGGGCCCCAGAGGGGCTCCCGTGGCGAGAACACTCGACGGAGGACGTGAAAACTCATCCATTTCCGCGGGAAAATCAATAATTTTGTGTCTGTTAACCGTTTCCTGAGCAACTGCTAGAAAAACGTGGAAACCATTAACAGATGGCTCTGGCGGATGATTGTGCGAGAGAGAGATGACTAGAGGAGACTGGAAGGCATCATCGTTGATTCTTGCACGCTGGGGCTTCAGTTGTTTGTTGCATCTCGAGCTATTCGTTTGCAAACAACTCTTACATCTTGGTGCATTTTCCAACAACCTGAAGGCCACTTCCTGGCCAGGAGAAGTATTACAGGGTGCAGAAGACCGCACCCAGAGGCGATTGGTGGTGAAATAGAACGGAAGAAGAGTGTTTTCTCGGTGGAAAAGTGCATTTCTTGAGAGACTTGAAGAACTTGTCACTGCTTTTGTCTGTCAGCGTCACAGTCTAATTTTAAAACAGCAATCGTGGAGCGGCGTCTGGAGGTGTGGCGAGGGACAGAGCGGTCCCGGAGCGTCAGCAGGATGAATGGGATGTCGGAGATGGACGATGACGACGTGGTGTTCTGGAGTCCCATGAAGAGATTCGCATCCATCAGGAAGTTGGTGCAGTTCAACAGTGAGTATAAAAAAATCTCCTTTACTTTGCGCTCCCGGAGTGCACCAGTCCGCGGGTGCAATTGGGGCCAATTGGGCGTGGGTGGACAAGTTACCAGAGGGGGGCTCCACACTCTGGCGCGACCGCGAAATGCGTTCACGGACAGAAAGGTGAAGGCGCGAGCAGGTGTGGAAACAGAGCCAAAAGCCCACTCGCAAGAGTTCAGCAGATAAAGAAGCAGATGTTCCATTGTTCTCTGCGTCTTCGAGACTCTGTCTCGAGACAATTCCACTCTCAATTCATCACTCGCAATGTCCGGAAGACTTGGCGAGGAGTTTCTGGCATGAGTTCAGAACATTCACATTGGGCAAGTGCGTGAAATTTGGGTGGAAAAACGAAAGACTTCTACGGAAATGGTTTTGGCGCCAATTTTCCCCACTGTGGAAACTGGGGTGGAAATGCTTTTAGACAGAGTTGCTTTTTTCCAGATTAATGCTTAACATGTCGAGAGATTTCACCAGGCGAAGTAGAAATAAAATTATCAAGCATGAGAGCGCATTTTGTGATAAGAAAAAATACTTTTGCGTCTCGTGCAAAATTTCTGAGGAAATATAAGTAATTTGAATGGAAAAGATGCAATTTAAGGCTTTGGAGTAATAATTGAGTTGTTAAATGTGATTTTAGCAACATAATTTGATGGAATGTTTAGGCGAATATCGTGTGAAATTCTCATAAAAGTGTAAACAAACACTTAGTTTGTTTTAAAAACACCTTTAAACATTTTAAATAACATATTTCGTGACCTCCAAATTTTATATTGCACAGGGATTTTTTTTAATTACTGCGAAAATTCATGAAATAAAAAATCCTTTATGTTTGACATCCTTTGTTCAAACTATTCCTTTGACATTTTCAAGGCACTCTTTGATGCCTATAACATACATTTCCCGGATATGTCCTGAATTTCCACTCTAAAATCTAAGAGTAATTAAATGAAAAAGTTCCTGTTCATCACTTTTTGCGTCTATATTCCATTCATTTTATTTAATTTCATATTAACTTTGATGACATTGAAAAGGAGAGTCTCCATTTAATTTAATGTGCATCTGAGAGACTCTTTGATGAGGGAAAAACCAAACCTTGACCTTTTGTGCTGTCGAGATTCAATGTCGGAGAGAGAATTTTGTGGGCAATAGAAATGCGTCTTTGATGCCTTGATGTCCGTCTGGGTGGACACACACGGAAGAAATGTGGTGGTTTTATTTCAGACTCTCCTGCTTTTCCTGTGTTCTTCACCTTGTCAACCAGATGTTCCTTCTGCCCACTCAACAGCACACCTGGTAAGTCTCTTGCCACCCTTCGAGAGTGTCGTGAGGGTTGTGCGATGAGTGGCACGGGAAGAAACATGTTGTACAGTTTATATCGCCTTTCAAAAGACTGTCTCACTAGGGAAAGGACTCCATTGTGCACGCAGGAGTTGAATCACACTGGACATCATTTTCCCATGGTGAAGATTAGTGGCTTTTTTCCCCGTGAGATGCCTTGATACTCCCCTTTTTTTCACTGTGATTTCAACTCAATATTTACCCACAGCCTAATTATGTTAATTGTTGTGTAATTATCCAAGTATTTCTTCACATACCCGTGATCTTTTTTTTTCTCTCTCCTCCATTCTTTTTGTTTTGCAAGTTAAACACAGAGAGTCGTGTGTTTATTCTATGACTCAATTGATCAATTCTGCCCAGAGGCTGAGCGTATGTGTGCAGTTTTTAATCATGTGTCTAGATGAAAATTGATCGTGATGTGATCGCATGCGATCATGATGGAAATTTCCCTTTCGCGCGCTCGCGCGGCACAGACAGGAAAAGAAGGAGAGTTGGTGAAATAATGCGGCATTCGTGGAAAGTGTCAACTAAACGATGGCAAGAAGTGGTCAAATGTGCCTGAAAGATCATCGGGACTTGAGGGGGAGGCACGAATTGTACAACCTTCGGCGTCAATTGGCAGCAATTTCCATTTTGTACAAAACAATTGGCGCAAATTAGGTGGTTCTTTGGCTTAGTGATGGGGGGAAGAATGATCACAGATTGTCCGGGATTTGGTGCTGGTGAATTGTTTGATGTTGATCAACTGATCTGCAAACTTGTATTCCCAAACAGGTAAGTGAGTGCCAAGTCTTTGCATAGGTAAATTTGATGTTAAATGTAATAAAGAAAAATTCTCCAAAAATTGAGAATAAATGGGTGAAAGGCGTGGCATTTGAGTAGGCGTGGCTTCTGAAATCTCTTCACAACATACGTTTATTAGCGAAAAGTCTAATTAGACATAACCTTTGAGAGAATTCCCACATTTTCCGGCCAGCATAGCAGTGAAGCATGTGTGGAAGGACGGAAACGGGGCGGGAAGGTCCCCTGGTCTGGGTTGCATGGAAATTAGCAGATGAGAATCGCACAGAAATTGCAATGTTTGAAACATTGTGAATGATCACGACCTCAATTTTATAACAAAAACGCGCGCCCGCTTAAGAAGTCGTTGATCGCGATCAACAAATTGACAGCAATTTTCTCTCACCATTTTCCGGCATTTTCCATCCAATTGTCTTCTACCATTCCTCTTGGTTCGGCGCTAATTGCTCCGTGATTTATTGATCTCGTGTGTCCATAGCGCGAGGGGGCAAATCATTCTCCACACGAAGGCACATATTGTGTCTAAGCTGCTGATGGTTTTTTTTTTATTACTGGGTCGGGTTAATTGGTTTTCACCCAAAATATTCTCCGCTTGTGGACATTGATATGAAGTCTGTGGCAAATATGGTTGTTAAGTGTGTGTATGAAGTTTTATTATTTGACTTTTGATTTATGAATATTGCCTCGAGGTGCTGGATAAGTCCAATTATTCTCAATTTGTGGTGCTGTAAACATGCATTGGAGTGAGAGTGAAGAGATGTCAAATGTGTGTGAAACAAATCAGTGAAAGCTGATTTGACGGCAATTTCACCCGTCAAATGTCAGGCAACTGTCAGGCAAATGTCAGGATGCGAAGATTTACTGAATTGTAGGACCTTTTGAGTGTAATTAGCAGCCCTTTTGTGTGGTTATATTTAAATTGAGGTGAAACCCTAATCATGTATTGGCTGATCTTTCTCTTTCTGCCAATACGAATGCAAAATTGAAGAAACTCAAAGAGTTGAAGAAATAAATCAACCGTTAGAATACTTAAGTAATATTGTTCATGGATTTATTTTTTCAACTGTGTTCCCCATCTTGGAGGCCACAACAAAAGGCATCTTTCTTTCTTTTTTTTGGACAAAAAAAACACTCGTCAGCAGTATAGAAAATTCCGTCAATTCCTTTTTTTCGTATAACTTCGATCTGTTCCTCTCTTTTTTCTCTGTTGGTAATCTTTTGTATGTCTCTGAGTGGGGGGGAAAATTTCTAAGCGTGTGCTTCGGCCATGGATTTTTCAGTTTGTGAAGCCACTCTGCCATTATTTCAGTTTAGCGTGTGACTCGGACTGACTTTGTTGCTCTCCTCGCACTCTCTCTGGGGCTGAGTTTTGGATGAAGAATCTGACTCGCAATCTTTCACAAAGAGTGAAAGTTTTTGGATGGCAAAAATTCAAATTTATTCAAAATCAATCGATCTTCTCTCGAGCGTTATCTTGATCGTTGTTTTTTTCGGTTTTTTTTTTGGTGATGATGGTTGTTTTGGTTTCGGAACCGGTGGACTTTAAGTGATCGTGACATCTTCGTCTGTGATCGAAGATCATCGGGTTTGTGATCGCTTTTTTGTGCGTGTGAATATCTTTGCAGCTGCCGCAAGAGCGCAACTTCTCACATTCTCTCTGCACACGAGAGAACACTGAGAGTGAGTTCAGTGCAAAGGCGCGATATGAATTGCTGATGGTTGGAAAGAGAGATTCCTGTACTGCGCCAAGTGCGCATGAGCGTGAAGAATCGTCATGAATGTGTGTTTCGTCACTTATTGCCATGGCGTATGGCGTCGTGATGTGTAGAGTAAACTCCATACACACTGGCCTCTCTCTCATCATTCGTTTGTCTCTCTCTCATTTGCCGTTTCATTGTTGCTTTGCTCTCTCGCCACTCTGGCTTCTCTCACTTTGATGTTGAGGCTTTTTGATTGTAAAGTGAGAGCGATAAAGAGGGCCTCAGCACGCCATCCTTCTTCTCTTACGACGAAAGAGAGAGAGAGAGCGTGAGCGATGGAAAAATAAGAAATAATAGTGAGAGAGATTTGGTGAGAATAAAATATGGCGGTTGTGTGTGAAAACGCGTCTCGTATTGTTGGCTTTTCTGCGGGAAAAATTCAGGGATTTTTCGGCCAGAAGATTGTGAAAAAGTGCTGAAGACGTTGTAAGAAGTGCTTCGCAACAAATTGGCTCAAGTGAATGAGTTAACTAAAGCGGCTTAAACGGGTTTTTTTTATACACTTTTTCTAACATGAACAGTGATTTCGGTCGTAATTCGCCTCCATCGAAGGTGTGTGTGGAGTTTTCAAACAGAAGAATATCAATATCCTCCGTCTTTTGCACACAAAATCACACATTTTTTCAAGAGAGTGTTTGTAATTTAAGAAATATCGATAGACTTTTTGGGTATAGTTGATAAAGTAGTGAAGATTTGTGTGGCAGAAAAATGAAATTTTTTACCACAGGACAATGGAATTGTAATTATTTAATGACATCTTCCACTTCCTGTCGACTTTTGGGTGTGCCTATGAGCTTATCTCGTGTCTATTTGATTTATTTCTCAGTGATTTCCCGAAGGAACCCAAATGTAGAGTGGCTTTTTGGTTATTCAAATTAATTCCACTCAGTTTTTTTTTACATTTCTTTCTCTCCCTTCCATGTCAATCGATTTGTGTTTGTTTCTTTTCACACACAAAAATTGTTCGGTTGAGGATGTTTTGTTAAGGACCTTTCGGGGTGAGTCATCGACGTGAGGAAACAGAGGGAGAGTCTGGCAATTGTGGGTGGAACAGCATCACCCTTCAAGAATGATTCAAAAGATCGGCGTTCGCCATGGGGAATGCCGAGTATGAATAGAGTCGTTATTCTTAGAGCCTCTGGAGATGCATGTACGAGAGAGGAAGTGTAGAAGAGCAAATTGATAGCCATCTTTCTCTCGCTTCATTTGTTCACCCAATAAAAGCATAACGACAGCATAGAGTGAAGAAAGGGGGGACGAAAGAATATCACGCTGTTCTATATTTTATTTTTCCGTCTGTAGAGAAATTGTAAAGCTCTTGAGAGTTTTGGAAAATCACCAATTTTATGGTAGAAATCACGATGAATTTGATCCCAAAATGTCCATGGGGAAATTTTTCTTAATTCATCAAATGGAATTTATTGCTTTTTATTGATGTAATTGTGTAAGAATTGCAAGTGTTTTCAGTTGGAATTGAGCTTCAGGAATTGGAGAAAATTTATTGACAAGACAAAGTAAAAATTCACCCATTTTCCAAACACTAAGAATTGCTTTCTATTCATTTGAATGCTGACATTGAAAAATTGCAAATCAATATTTGTGGCTAGTGGAGATTTTTCCAATTTTCTTTGACATTGAGTATACAAGCTTGTATTTCCGAAGGGAAAAATGGGTTTGTTTATAAACAAGAGCTCAAATGCGCTTGAGTCATTCGGTGTGTTTCTCTCTCTTGGGAAATGTCTCTATTTCCCCAATAATTTTATTTTTTCCGTGATATTTCATCAGGATGGCGTATTTTTAATATGAAATGTAGATTTGAGAAGACTTTTGGGTGGGAAGTGTTTGTTGACAAATATTTGAAATGATAAATTAGATTGAGAGAGAGAGAGAGAGAAAAAATGCGGCGTGGAATTAGAAAATACACAGTGGAAAACTGATGTTTTCTCTCTGGATCTTATCTAAATTATACCTATATTAATTGATAATATTTACAATGAACAGTGGAGCGGAAATTGTGGTGGATTTTCATCTTTTGCGCTCAATGAAGATGTTCAGCAGTGGGACCGCTTTTTATTGGAATAAATCATGTGTAATTTAATGTAATGCGTTACACTAATTCAATTCAATTATTATTTCCATTGCGCGCATTCTATGCTGTTGGGATTTATGTGGTTACTTATTTTTTGGGGGAGATTCGAGGGTGTGGAGAAGAGGAAGAATCTCTTAAAATATTACCATGATTTTGCCTGGGATATACAATAAATAACGCGCGGGAAACGACGTGTCATAAATTTTAATGCCCTCTTCAGAGCCACAGAGTGAGAAGCTAAAATGACTGCGTTACAATGATTTTTACCTCTTTTGCTTCACAACAAACCCAGTCGTGTGTTTTTTTTTCTCTCTACTCTCTGCACTCCATATTATATTTGTTAATGTCTTCTGCATTGGCAACTGCATCCTGTGGTGCTGTTGAATAAAAATTGCTGACAATTCCTTCTGATTGAAGTGTATAGAATGGAAAAAATATTGTATTGCATGCTAATTTGGCATAATGTGCAATTTTACTGCACTTTTGCAGGGAAGTTTCACGGTGAGAGTCAATTGAATTTCAAATTGATGCCAATTGGGAAACACTTTCTCATTTTTTTTTTACTGTTATTGTGGCTAAGAGAGATCAACAGTGATTGCCACGTTGGAGATCACTTTATAACCTTAGCACAGACGATCTTCTCTAAATCCAAGAGTTTTCGTGTAATTTGTAGTGCTATTTTACTCTGAATCATTCGAATTATTTGTCCTTTCTTCTCTTGGCTCTGTTTATGTGTCTTAAATTGTTTGGAGATTCGCCGAGGACCTCTTACTTTGCTCTCACTGCCTTGCTGAAAGCATTCTCTCGCCCATTCGTTCACTGGCGATCGTCTTGAGAGGCACAAGAATAATTTCACGTTCATATTTCGCTTAAAGTTAATATGATTGAACGATCGTTTTGATGATGTTGCGTGTTGCGTTTGCAGCCGTTTTGTCCAGTGATCGAAAGCGACTTTTTGTGTTGTCTCCGCAGCTGTCTATCTGTTTTTGGTGATCCCTGAAGAAGTCTCTCTCCAGCTCTCGCCACGCATGATAAATGGCAGTTAGATTACAATAACAAATCAAGTCTATAGAGTTTTGTGTTTTTCCTATTAGTTGTGGTGTCTTATCTGAAATTTCAACTGGGACTGCGCCTCTGCGATCACTGATCTCTTCTCACTCTCAATCGTCAAACATGTTTCGTGGCCCCGAAGATTGCGATCGTGCAAGAAGTGAAATGATTGCTCGCTATATGCAGTTTGTGTGGTGGACAGAAAAAGAGAAGGAGTTCAGTTATGTCTCGTGTGTGTGTTTGGATGGATGGATATTAAATCAGAGAGACTCGCGAGGCGCTTTTTACGCATAAGACAGAAAGTGAAATTAATGGAGAGACTCTCTGTTGCTCTTTTTTTCCATCACGCCCGCCGCGGAGTGTTTGTCACACACAAAAGGCGCGCATTTCAAATTCACAAAACACACACGCAAATGGGGAAATGGAGAGGAGAGACGGAAAGAAATGGTTATTAATTAAGGAGAAAGACGAGTGGTGAGATTAGATTGGGAATTGGGTGTTTTTTTTCTTCTTCTCTGGTTAATGTGCGTCTGGACGGAATGGAAGAAAATGTCTCATGGCGGCGACAGTGAGTGAAAATATTAAAAACAGATGGTCTCTGTCACACTCTGTCGTGCTCCAATTACCATTTCTCTTATGGTCGAAACAATCAGCCGACAATTTGTGACCCATTCGAGAGTGGCAACTTTTCATCATCATTTTTCTCCCAAATTCCGAAAAGAGTTGCGTGTTTTGGGGAGAGAGAAAAATAAAACAAATCGTCCACACTCACAAAAACAGTCCAAACAACCATCGATATATATTATTTTCATGAATTGCTTCTCTTTGACACCTAAATTGATCCATAAAATTGTCGGCTGGGTTTATTGTCTTTTGTCTGGGCGCATGGTGAAGAGGTAAGAAAACACCCGAAGATCGTTCACTTTCACCTTCAATTTCCCACAAGTGGGGAATATTTGTAAGGTGTGTTTTTTTCTGCTGTTCAATACTTCAACCATCAGCTGAGGTGTTAAGAAATGTATAATTGTTATTTTGCTCTCTCTCTCTCTCTCTTCTGATATTCGCAATTGGTGATTTTGTGTGTAAGAACGCAGAGTAAAAAAATATTGCTCAAAACATTCCTAAAACTCATAATATTTTGTTCATATACACAGATTTGTGGCAATAATAATCGAAAAATGGTAGTGACGACGAAGCTTCAAAAATTCTAAAGTCTCAAAGCAACAGAATATAGTAACTTGTGGTTGTGAATTTACAAAAAAAAACAGTGTATGTGTCTCAACCCCTTTTTGCTACAAAGACAAACCCATCCAGATTTAATGTGACAATCCTTTATGCTCTACAATTGATCTTCCCTCTTGCGCTGGTGACTCAAGAGGCAGGAAGAGACCAAAAACCCGACAGTGTTGTTTGTGCTCAAGACAGTGAATTTGCAGTCGAAAGAAAAAAATGTTCCAGTGCATCATTCAGCAGCGAAATGGGTGGATTCATGCGCCAAACCCTGAAATGCGTGATGTGTTTCCAGGTATTTTGTTCATTTTCAAGGTTGACAAATATATGTATTTCCCCCGGGTATTTGCAATGCATCCCACACGAGGGTGTCCTTGAAAAACATGAACAGTCATCAAAGGACTTTTCATGATGTGAAATTTAATATTTCATTATTGTGCAAAATTTTGTTTGATTTACAAACTCGTCATTTGCGATTTTTAATTAATGCTGAACGCAGTGAAAAGTGACAAATGCCTTTGTCCTTTTGACAAAATGCTGATGCGTAGATGATTTCTGGGAACATTCAAAAAGGTGCAAATTTTCACAGCTCAACGAATCGTCAGTGCATTGTGAATAATTAGTGAATTTTCAAAATGTACAACAAAATTAAGTTAATTGCATTCCGGAAAGTTATATTGCGCTTTGATGAAGACACACATGAAAGCTACATACTTATCAATGCAGTCTCTATTAATCAAGGTTAGACACTATTGTAGAAAATATTTGCTGAATTTTGTGTGTTTGAATTTTACAAAATTCTGTGAATATTTTCTTCTCGGGTCTTCTGAAAATTTATTTTCCGCAATTCACATAATAGAAGAGAATGTGAGATCCACTAGGAGGAATGCAATTCCATATTCCTTGCAGAAGTTCAGCAAGAGAAGACAAGAAAATGCTTCAATTTTCCATGAAGACTTTGCAAATCACATGAGTTCATGTAGAACAAAATCTTGGGAATATTTCTTGTCTTCACGTTGGAAGTGTGAAAACAATGCAAATATTGTGTCTCTAGATGCATCTTCCAATTGACCTTTACCTTGATGGCGTAGGATTAAGATTGATTAGAGGAGATATTGTAAATGAAATGAAAATTCGGTTGAGTGACTGTTGTGAAGTAATTTCTGCCGTAATTGCATCTTGTTGACTCACCTTGACAGATGATTATTGGATTCACTCTGAATCCTGTGTGTGGTTTCGCTGGTTTTCCACCATTGAGACAATTGGCAAAGCGATATCATTGATAATCACTTGGGCGTGTAATTTGATTTTGTATTTGCGAATCACTGGCAATCAATAGATAAGAAGCCAATATTGCTGATGGTACTCTAAGGCATGGTTTATTTACCAATTAAGTGATTAGATGCGTATGCATACTTTGTAAATATGTGCGCACAAGCTCCTGCCGAAGTTCAATGTCAAGTTCACACAGTTGCTGGTGGTTTTTCAAGAGTGTGCAGAGAGAGATTGTTGACAGTATCGATGGGCGATTGTGGGTGGATTTTCCCCCATAACAATCGAGTAGAAATTTATTGATGATGCAACTGAGTTGCAATGAACAATTTTCAATTTCCGCTAGAATGAGAAAATGAATGTCGAGAGATGTCAGGAAATTTCTTTCATTCCTCCCATGTGACATTCATCTCGGGCGTCCTCTAATGAGGATGACGCGCTCCTCAGATGAAGACATTATACCTATTTGTCTGGCTATATTTGTAGCACTTTGTCTTAGGGGATTTTTTTTCCACTGCTCATCGCCTAAAGTGTGTAATGAAGAGAAAGAAAGAAATAATAGAAGAGAACGAGATGATGTATGTTTTTGTGTGGGCGTGAAGAGGAAAATTGTTGGTTGACGAGGGAAAAACGATGTTATTGTTGTATAGAAGAAAAAGAAAGCAAAGAGGCAAATGCTCGCGTGTCTCCTTTTTCCCCGTCTTCTTGTTATTCAATGGATTCCAAAGGAGGCGAACATTTGGAATATTTTCCATGAGGGAAAAGCGCATTTTCGCCTCTGTTTGGCAACTATAAATAGTATCATGTGCGGAGAGCAAACAATATCACAAATAACCACCCAAAAGTGTCCGGATGCTGATTTACGGGTCTTAGCAAGATTACTCACTACATATGTACATTCCTCTCATTCGCCCTGAAGCACTTCCAAAGCGCACACAAATTCGACATGGCATGAGCAATTGCTGCCGAATTGTTGGTGTGTGCAGAGTTTTGTGTTTTGTGATATTAGACGAAAATAGATGAAGAGAGAGTCACGATTTTGGTTGGGTGGGAAGAAAAGGAAGAGCAGACTTAAAGATGCACACCATCTTGAGGCAATTAATCGGAGATTGAGTTCTGAGAAAAGGGTTTGCACATCTGATAGGCAGATGAGATGCGATATGCAGCAGATCATGACATGATTAAGTGAGACTTCCAAGAAATCCCCGAAGCTTCACTGGTCAAAAATCTCATTTCAATGCATAGAAATTTGATGAAATGCCGAAACTTGTAGGAAAATCATACTTTTGTGTAAAATGTTAAATATTTAATGAAAATTGCGTGTTATCGCTGTGTTTTTGGTGTCATTTTAACTAATTAGTCTCTACACTCTTCTTTATTAGCACACCATTTCATTAGTGAATGAGAGAATACATTTTGCTTGCTTCGCATTTTACACAATGAAAAAGAAAAAAAATCGGACTCTTTCTCCAAAGACAAACACAAACTATTATCCGCAGTTTATCAGTTGAATGAAGGCTGTTGTTTAGTTGAATTTCATACAAAATCCATGCAATGGGATTTTGATTGCACTGCTTTATGTGTAGGACTATGAGAATGTTTCATGAGAAAATGCTCTTGAATACATAGAGGGATAATCACGTCAATGGATGGTCCTGAAAATGACGAATATTGTGAGTTTTCAAGGGTATCCTAGATGAGGATGTCCTTCAGGCCACAAAGACAAAGAGTACATCAACGCTTTGTGTGATTTATGCAGTTGCAATTTAATTTAAAATTTGTGCAACTGTTTAAAGCGTCCCCTCTCTCTTCTGAGGGGGAGGGAGATGGTAAATGTATGCTTTTAGATGTGCCTTGTTTAATGCCAATTTTCCTGCCTTGTTTCACAAGTACTGTGCGTGGGTGAAGTTGATTGAGTGCCGGGATTAGTGTGGTCAACTGGAGAAACTCTATATAGCATTAAATGATCCCAAAGAGATGTCCATAATTGCATTCTCTCTGCACTGAAGAAGACAAGGAGCAAAACATAGTGCGTAATTTACATGATACCAAGTTTCATGCCAAAGAGAAGGCCTTGTGCGTTGCAGGAAATGCAACTGTCGCTGTTCTTTCTCGAATTCAGGGGAGAGAATTGTATTTGGGGAGGTAAATGACACAGAAGATGGGCGCAAAATGATTCACAAATATGGGTGTGTCAACAAATAAAAGAAGTGTAGATGGGAAGTGGCTGGAAAGGTAGGGTGAGGAGGAGGAGGAGGAGGAGGAGGAGGAGGAACAAGGTGAACTTTCATGAGAGTGACAAGCCAGGAGTGAAAATGTTGTTGTTTTATTTTTAAAATGATGAAGAAAAAATCCACCCTCTGTTCTACAATCACGGGATTGGCATGTCTATTTATAATTTGAAGAGAGGGTGTGTGTGTGTATGCAAAATGCCAACTTTCCTCGTTGGTGAGTTTTAATTCCTGCACGAGTCTCGCCATTAAATGCAAATTACTTGCAATTCAGTGCCTCAGACGGCTTTTTTGCCAATTCACTGAGCCTATGAAAAGGGGTGAATTTGCCAAAAGGGGGCTTTTGGTGCTTGATTTTGCACTTTATTGGCTCTGCTGAGGGTCGTTAGGGTGTTTAAAGCTAAACACAGCTATCTTTTATAGAAGAATTGATAAACTAAAACACTATTAGGAAGATCAAAATATTAAGCAAATGTATTCGTATAATTAAAACACTCAGTCAATTTTATTTATCTTGAGAATTGTTACAAATGTATGGAATTAGCGACAAACAGGTAGTGTGAAATCCTATTTTAGTCCTTAATGCATTGGCAAAAGGTTTGTTGCATGTAAAATGAGAGGAAACATTTTAGCAGCTTTCGTGGAAATAGGATTCAATTTTGACTATTGCATGTGCATTCATCCATTTTTCACGGTCAACAAGTAGAAATGATGATTGTTTACGTGCATTCGGTGGTCCAAAATCAATAAACATTGACCGTGATTCAACGTGGGGGCTGTCTAATTAATTCCCAACAAATGAAACTTTATTGCATTTGGTGGCAAATAAATGCATTCAATATAAAATGCACCTATGAAAATTTCAATATTCATGCTTCACCGCAGTTATGGTGAAATTTATGACAATTTATTCAATGAAATCAGGCAATTGCCAACTGTGTAAATGGAGTGTGGGTTGTAATGTTGCCAAAGGAAAAGAAAAAAAGAGAGAAATAATCGTGAGAAAATCTCTCTGAGGTGTACAAAAAGTGAGAGTTGGGATTATTTAATTTGCGCCCAGCAATGATGATGATGGTAATGAGATATTTTTGTGAGGATCGGACAGAATGAGGAAACTCTAAGCCACGAGACGAGACTAATCGATATTGGTTTGGAAGTTGTTGGGTGACAATGCGATTGTCCTTTCCTCGTCGCTTCGCCCTTCCAGACAGTTATGGCATGGGGGGCACAATGGGTGAATTTCAATGCGATGGAATAAATAAACACATTGGCAGAGGCACGGAAAATTTATGTCTGCACGTCTGACAAGCGGCGTGATTCCGCGGAAACACGAAGAGAGCGCATCAGAGGCGTTCTTAAATCCACTGCATTCAATTGCATTGCCCACACGGGACTTGGTCAGACAATTAGGCATTCAATCCGGAGAGTGTCAATCCTTTTCCTCGAACATTCGCTTCTCTGCTCTGCACAGTCAAGCGGTGGGTTTTTTTTTCCTCGCGGCAATTTCGGTGGATTTAATTGAATGATGTCACGAGAGGGAATTCAATTAATTAATTGACCGGGTTGTTTTTTTTCTCTACTTTGCAGATATTAGATTGCAGCTGAACGAGCAGCTGAGGTGTTTGGACGTGAGGGTGGAGGCGCAAGTGTCGCTGATCCAGGAATTGCAGGACTTCTTCCGGAGGCGCAGCGAAGTGGAGCTGGATTACAGCAAGAATATGGACAAATTGGCAAAGAGTCTTCTATTAAGGCACAAAGAACAGAAGCAGAAGTGCGTTTCTCTATTTCACTTTCTTCATTCTCATTGTTCTTATTAATTACTTCCTGATTGCTTCAGGCGCGAGCAATGGCCTCTGTTCTCCTCCTACGCGTGCTGGCAGCAAATGATCAATCACACGAAGAGTCTGTCGAAGGATCACGCCATCCTATCTGATGTGTACTCCAACCATCTCGTGACACGCTTTCAGTCAGTCATCGATGACATTCAGCGCATCTACAAGCGCTGCCGTGAGATCGGCTATGAGACGCACGAGGAGATCTTGAGGGTGCTGCAGGAGCTTCACACCACCATGAAGACATATCACAGCTATCAGACTGAATGCAAGGCGGCCGAGGCGAAACTGCGTACAGCGGAGAATCAGCGGACAAAGCTCCAGCAGACAATTCCCAAGGAGAAGCTCGAGAGGAGCAAGAAGTACAGACTGATCGAGAAGGAGGTGCTCAAGAGGCGCAATAAGTACACAGATGCGCGTCTCAAGGCGCTCAAGGCCAAGAATGAATATCAACTATGCCTTGAGGCATCCAACACCACCATTCACAAGTACTTTGTTGAGGATTTGAGTGATCTCATTGATGTGAGTACACTTTCACAGTATAGATTCACATTTCCGGCTGACAATTTGTGTTGAGAAGAGGAATTTTCCTTAGTTTGGGGAGTAGAAGTGATGAAATTTGCTATGACTGAAGGTATCATCATACTGCAAATTAATTATATTAATCCACTAATTAACTCATCAAGTCATATTTCACCTTCACAAAGAGAACCACCTATCGATTCTCCAATTACGCTAAAGCATCGCGCAGTATTTCCATAGAGATATTCTGGAGAGGTTTCAGTGTAAAACAGCTAGAAAGATGCAAAAAGGATTTAAAGATTAGATCTGCAAAAGAGCTTACAATGCAGTGAAGTGCTTTTATAGCTATCATGTGAAAAATACTATAATGCAGCTCTGAGATTTGCTGTTGGTATTAAAAACATAATATTCTGCTGTTTGCAATACTCGAGAGGAGGAAAACACCACATTTTCCTTGTTCCGAAAACCCTTCATAGACCTTGAAGCTTCATTAAGTAATTATATAGCCACTTATGCAAGGCATTCAAGGTTCCATTTGGCAAATATTACTGAGAAGACATCCTAATAATTAGTGACAAACGTAATATTGCAATTGAGTGACTCCAAGAAATTTCAATATTGCAAATTGCATTTATTGTTGTGAATTGATTAGAAAAGGAGAACCTTGAACTTGATGTTAAATTGAAAATTGATAATGTGGTGATTGCCCACTGGGGTAGTTTATCACATTAAAAATAATCGGTAATTGGGTAAATGGCACCAGGAAGCGCAGCATCCGCTTGTTGGGGGAAAAAGGGTGGGTAGCATTGCATGCAATTTGTACCTGCCGGCTATTTTTACTCCTCTTCTCTCTATATCACTTTTAATTATCTACTCGAGTGCGCCCTTCCGGACGTGAGAGATATATAGAGAAAGAGAGAGAGCCTTTTACACAGCACAGCGTGGGGTGTGATTGAGTAACTGAGAACATCAGGGGTTGAAGATTTTATTGTGAAGCGCCAGAAGTTTGCACTCTGATTAATTTGTGGTCTTTCTTTGTCGGCCGCTGCACAGTGTATGGACTTGGGCTTTCACTCGGTGGTATCCCGGGCATTGCTAATGCACGTAACAGCTGATCAGGGCAGATGTCGATCAATGCTGACCAATGCCGAGAATTTGTCACACATCGTGCACTCAATGGATAGTCGGGCGGACAAGCAGAAATTCCTGGAGCAGCATCATGGTGCTTTCATGATACCTAAGAGATTAGAATTTCAAGGGCAACATCTGGTGGAGGTGAGTAAACAAGCATATATGTGGGAAGCTTTCTGTTTGATGGGGAAGTTTTGTGTGGCAGAGCGAGCCTGGAGAGACGCACACACACCGGTTGCATATATGCTTCAACCCGGTAGAGAAGCATTGTCTGTGCTGATATATATATCTATATGTTCACTATGGAAACGCGCTATTGAAAGTTTTCAAGGGTAATTTTATAGAACTCCGCAGAAGCTGTGTGTGCGGTGGAGTGGGTTGGGTAAATGCTCCTCAAATGTATATTCTCTGTATTATTGCCTCTCGATATAATGTCAAAGTAGGGATATTAAATTCCTTATCAAATTTATTTCTCGTTCTCTATCATGCACAATGATGCGGAATCTGAAATGTATTTTCAAGGTTGCATTAGAGCCAATATAATACAATAATCCTGATATTTTTCCCTTATTGCGCGAGCTAAGATGCATTTATTTAAATCCTCTCTCTCTCCACCCTTCTCTGTGTGTGCAATTGTGTTGCAGTCTATTGAGCCGGAACTGCAGAAGGCGCTGCATCAGGAGATGGAGGGAAGGTTGAAGCACTTGGAGCAGCGCGTGAGTAATCTTCGGACAGAGTCTGAGGAGATATGGAAGACGCTCGAAACAGCAGAGATTAATTTGCTTGAGATACTCAATACGAAGGACTTTGATTGTTCCACCAACTTTGGCGATTCCGCCATTCTTGCCGGCACTGGCAAGGAGCTCATGAAGCTGAAGACGGACAAGCAGGAGATTGAGGAGTTCTACATCTCAAAGATACGCGAATACATTCTCGGCACATCCAGAATTGCCAGATTGGACGCCAAGGCGGAATTTCTCAGATCATCCCTGACCAAAGATGGTGTCGCGCCCACGGGAATGCTCGTGATGGTGAAGACGACTGTGCCAAAGCGGAAGCGCATCGGACGCATGAACATCTCGGGGCAGCCGAAGTTGTTTGGTGGCTCTCTTGAGGAGTATCTCGAGGCGACCAACGAGGAGATTCCGCTCATCATGCGGAGCTGCATTCGCGTCATCAATCTCTATGGGTTGCACCATCAGGGCATCTTCCGCGTGTCCGGATCACAGGTGGAGATCTCCAACTTCCGCGAGGGCTTCGAGCGCGGCGATGATCCTCTGGCCGACACAACCGACGCCTCTGACATCAACTCCGTGTGCGGCGTGTTGAAGCTGTATTTGCGAGAGCTGCGAGAGCCGCTCTTCCCCATCATCTACTTCGACCACTTCGTCTCGCTGGCGCGTAAGTACTTTTGCTTCCGGTATTCAATGTGTGGGAGAAATTTGCAAGTCACGGGGTTGTTCGTGCAAATTGCCAATAGTGTCAAGAAAGGCAAGAATTTGTATAGAATATTTGGTGAATAATTTTTACACCCTGAAATTTTTACTCATCGTTTGTTGATTACTTTAATTCAGACTTCGGTCGCCGTATCAAGTTTGTCGCCTTTAGTATTTGCCACAAAAGACAAAGTGTAATAAATCACCATGTTTTCATTTTATTCACATGTTTACCTCTCTTATTCAGAGTGTGTGACGAACGAATTCACTATTTTTTTACACACTGTCAATAGCACAGTTTCCTTTTCCCGGAAAATACACAGCTTTCAAATAAATTAAAAATATAGGAGATGAGAAAATATTTTCCTAACAATGAAATATATTTAAAACGATGTGTTTTGTGGAGAAAAAAGGAATTTTTAAGGCTTCAAATCATTAACAACTTAATGCATTATTGCGTCTTGAGAAATGCATAAATGTGTAGGATTGACATTTCTGCGAACATCCCTGTTTCACCTTTTGCATCTCAAGGGAGCGACAAGAGAGGTTTTTGAAGGTCAGATAAATCCCCACAAATGCTGGAAAATTGCTTTCTATTCCTGCAAAATCTATTTACATAGTCATTTCCTTTCTCATCCGCACCATACAGAGTTGGAGTCCAAACAGGAGGTTGTGGCGGAAATCAGAGTGTTTCTGCAGAATTTGCCACGCTGTGTGGTCATCGTGATGCGCTATCTATTTGCATTTCTCAACCAGTGAGTTATTCACCTGTTTCTATGCAATATGCCCGAAAGGATTTTTCACTGGACATGCTCGTTTTTATTTGCAGTCTGTCTGAATATTCTGATGAAAATATGATGGACGCATACAATCTGGCCATATGCTTTGGGCCCACACTCATGCCGGCGCCAGAGGACAAGGATCAGGTGCAGTATCAGAATCAAGTGAATGAGCTGATAAAGAATATGATTGTGTACCATGAGGAGCTCTTCCCGAAGGATCTGGGTGGAACGCAGTATGAGAAGTACATTTCGCATGAACCATATATTGACATGTAAGTTTCACGAGTGGCTTCTCTCCTCTCTGGGAAAACTTTTAATAATATCTGGAAATCTTTGTCATTTTCAATAATGCAGTGAAGTTGGAGATTCACCCACAGAGCAAGTAACTGAGGATCCAGACTCTGAAGTTTATCCATCAGAAGATGGTATTTTGCGCGCAATAGTTGCGCTGCATGCATTTGCTCACAGTTGTTCGCATTTTTACAGAGTCTGACACATTGGAGGCAACAGTGCAGTTTGACTTCTCTGCGCGGTCGAATCGTGAATTGAGCTTGAAGAAAGGTGAGACGGTGATCCTGAGGAAGCAAGTGTCCAACGACTGGTGGCAAGGAACTGTGAATGGGAAGGAAGGACTTGTTCCAGACAAGTATATTTCGTTAAAAATCAAGTAAGTTTCCACGAGTTTCAATGTCAAATTGCGTTTACATTTTTGTGAATTTTTGTGTAGCAGAAGAAATTTGATGTTCTGTGAATTGAAGCCTTCGCGTTCAGGACTTTTGCTTTTCAAGCACTTTATTGACGTCCCTTTAAATATTGGCACTCAAAAATTTCCCAATGCTTTTCTTTAATGCACTTAATGAGCGTATTTTCTCGCAGAGACGAAGATCGTGATCGCGGGAGTGACAATATGAAGTCCTCCAGCTCTGAGGAGTCCGTGCGAAAGCGTCGCCCCAGTGGATCAATGGGTATGCCCAGTCAGTTGTCTGTCTTCTCCACTGCTGCTGCGGCCGCTGCTCCAGCTCTGGTGGTGCCAAAGCTCGTGGTGTCCACAGTCATTGACACCGAGCCGCCAGTTGAGGAGGCAAAGATTGCCAATCAGCAGATCGGCATCCCAATACCGGAGCCAAAGAATGACTTTCTGCAGTACGACAGCGTGGATGCGGTGAAGAACAAGTACAGCTATCACGAGGAGCCGCACTCCTTCGAGAACTCCATGGACTTCCTCGAGGACTTCAATCACTTTCAATTTGAGGTACTGGAAACGACAGTCTAGAGCCTCCTTATCTCATTCTAGTTGGATGCCTGAATCTTCTCCCTGTTGGCAAATGTTTTTTTATGTTATATATTATTTTACTATGTTTTATATTTTATATATATCTTTTTGTTCTCTTCTCGTCTCAAAAAGAGTGAAGTTGACGTACAATTTCCGCGGAGAGAGACAGAGAGAGTGGAAAAATGTGAGATTTTTTGTCATGTTTGCATTTGAGGGGATATTTTTTGTGTGCTCTGTTTTTTTAATAATCAATCTCAACTCTTAATAATGCTGAATTTGTGGTTATTTACTGCAAAATGTGCCACTTTCTCGCCTTTGTGAATCATCTTAATGGATGATTATTTGTAATTTGAATCTCAATAGTTTTGTCTTTTGCTCCCTCCGTTCAAAGAGGCGCCAAACACTCACGGAGAAAAGAGAGAGGGAGATTTGTTGTGTTTTCTTCGTATAACATGATGAAAAAACATTTACAAAGAAATGCAGTATTTAGCATGTAGAATAATATCTTATTACACAAGATTATCCGTTTTTTTTTTACAAATACTTTTTGGTATCTAAAAGAATAATTGAATAAAGCATGTCTTATTTTTTATTATGTATGGATTTTTAGTAAATTTTGAGTGTGAATTTTGTTGATTTTCTAGCATTGCAGAAGCGCTCTCTTATGTTTTTTTATTTGTTTGTTTTGTTTTTATTCGCAATTATCGTGCTATCTTTGCCGAAAAAGCTTCTGCCTTAGCGTCGCAATGTTTAGGTTTTTTTTCTCTATGTTTTGAGTTTAACACGTGATTTGCAGTGCAGATGCGATTTTGGGGGCGAAAGTGGGGAGCAATATTGAAGGTGAGAAGCTTTTTGAACCTTTCCCCCCTCCCTAATTTGTTGACAAAGTAGAGAATAAAGTGTTATCATTCATTCCGTTTGTTTTTTTTTGAGCAAAACGTTTGATATACTGACACGCAATAGTGTTTTGCAAAGGGATTTGAGATGCTTCTAGTGCTGTTTTCACTCTTGCATGAAGCTTTAATGGTAATTGCATGCTTTAAAAGTTTGCTAATATGAATTAATGTATGAATTTCACTGTAATTTTTAGCTTTATTCTGTAGAGAATAGCAGAAAATTAGTTAATTTAACTCCCACTCATTTACAAGCTTCGATCTCTCAAACATTCCAGTACAGTTTCAAGGTTTTCCCTGAGGATATTCTGGCAAATTGTTAATTTTCAATTAAAAAAAAATACTTCAACTAAATGTGAAGGGAAAATGTAATTTTCAATGTTTAGCACAGAATTTTTTTCAACACTTTTGCGCGTCAGTGAATATTTATCTCATGACTAATCAATTGTCGAAAAAGCTGGTGTTTCTCCTAACACTTCTCCCTCTCTTGCGCTCTCTCTCTCTCTCTCTCTTCATCCTTTAATGCACTAATTGCCTCCTCTTCACTAATCACACACTGAGACTGGGCAGTTCTTGAGTGCGTCTGGGGGCTGGACAACTAATCTCCTCATGGTTTCATCTTTGCAGGGCGACAAGAAGAGTGAACCCATCTATGCGGAGCCCAGCAAGCCGGCAATTCCAGTGAATCCCATGCCGTCAACTTCTGGCGCACAGTGCGATGTTGCCAATGGCGAGGAGGATGTGGAGGTGCGCCAGAAGGCAGCCGAGGATGCACAGATGGGCGTCCGCCACTCGGACACGGAGGTGCTGAAGCGCAAGGAGGACGGCGAGATGAAGCCGCCGCGCAAGCTTCACACGAAGAGCTTCAGTGTGTGCGAAGGTCGCGTGAGCAACATGTTCCAGCACAACAGGGAAATGTGGGAGAAGAGAGCCGAGCTGGGCTCACAGCACAGTCTCACGACACCGCGCATTCTGTCCAGGAATCGCATAGCGCCCGATCTGGTGATGGATCTGCCGATGACGGTGATTCATGGCGTGGAGGTGAAGCGCGAGGACTCCAGGGAGAGTCTGGAGGTGGACGGTGGGGAGGTGGATGTGTCATCGGCGGAGAGATTTGCCGCCCAGAATCAGTGCACACTGAAGAAGAATGAGCGATTTGCCGGCGAGCTGCCGTTTGAGGGTGTTCCGGGGAAGAAGGAAGTGAAGCTGCCCTTCCAGAAGGTGGAGAAGCCCAAGGCGGAGGTGAAGCCGCAGGAGAAGGAGCCGCCAGAGGAGGCGGTCAGCGAGAGTGGTGAGGTGAGCTTGCACATTACAGAAGAGGCACAGGAGGAGTCAGAAGCCGCCGCAGCGGCTGTCCAGAAGAGTCCAATTCCGGCACGAAACACCCAGAAATTCGTGTCCCAGTTCGCTGATCTCAAGCTCACAGGTGGATGTCTCAATCAGGGGGGCTCTGGGAGCTCTGAGGGTGCAAGTGGGAGTGGAAATCCACCTGCTTTGTCCTCTTTCAAGCCCGTCAAGCCAGTGAAGCCGCAGTTTCTCAAGAAAACTCTCTTGCTTCCACCAACAACACCCGAAATGGCCAGGAGAGCTCAGCCTGAGTAAGTTTATTAATTTCTTTCCACTGCGTTCTCAGCAACTCGTTATTTTCTTTAAAAAAAAATGAAAGAATTATGTTGAAAATAGTGATCAAAATTGATCTTTTCACATTCAAAACAAAACGAAGAGCAGCATCGAATTAGAAATAATAATGATAACCAAAGAATGAAAACACAGCAAAATAATTCACATTAAGACAAAGAAATAATTGTTTAATACTGGCCTCAAAAAAAAATACACGAAAATTCCACTATTTTCAACAAAGTTCTTCTTTCTCAATTGGTTGCATTTGAGTTGCATGCAATCTTCGTTGACAACTCTTGCTAATTCTACCGGAAAAATCTTCTCGTACATTTGAAATGGAACAACTTTTTAAAGGAATTTTTTGTCAACTCTGAAGAGTGAAAAAAGAGTATTTTGGTGCAGCAGTAAAATGCTAAAATTTGAATCCCACGATTAAAGAAAGAAAAGAAAAATGCGTTAAATCTATATGTTGTAAAAGGTAGTCAAAACTATAATTGTATTTCAACTGTATTCAAAATGGAAGCGATGAACAGACATAGACTGGCAAGAGTGAGGTTGAGGAGAGAAAGGAGACACAGTGTGAAACCAACCAAAAAGGAAAGACTGTCTATGAATTTTAGCGAAGCAAAACACAAAGATTGATGTTGTTAGCATTGGAAATGGCGGCAATGCAGAAAGACTCCACGTTGGTGCATTTCTTTCAGTTTTAACAGATTTTCAGGCAACAATCGCGTGACAGTCGTAGAAAATTCATGAGAATATCGCAGGACAGTCACACAGAGAAGAGAGTCATTTTCAGATCCTCTAAAACCTTATTATTTTGGAACAATGACTCACTAAGAACATCACAATTTGATGAGCATAAATATGATAGCTGGAGAAATATTAGAAGAGTATGTCTTAAGACATTCTTTAATCTATTGGGACTATGGAAGGATTTGTCCATTGCGTGTCTCCTTGGTGTCTCAGAACAAGTCACCAAAGTCACAATTTTGCATCAATTTTAAACACACTTTGGTCTGCTTTAGAATATTCATCTAATCGTTTCAAAGTCTGCTCAGGATATATTTGACCGCTTATCAATCACTTGACAATTTATTAATCATATTACTTCACTTATTTGGCATTATATGTCCTTTTGAGGGACACAGAGTTCTCCATTAGCGGAGATCTTCGTCGAGGCAGATTTCCTTTTACGGTGGCAGATTTGGAGTTTACCAACCAACCAATCATGGGGTTGGTTCTAAAGTCCAACTTTTATATGTGAGGACAGAGTGCGAAAGACAATTCCAGTGAAGCCTATGTTTCAGCTGGAACATTCAATAATAACCTCTTCACATGATATTTTTCGGTTTCCAACACGTGTAATCAAATGATGGAAGTCGTTGTGATGCAGCGATTAATTCTATCAATGAATAAAAATAGTGAAATATTCGAAATTTCGCTATTTTTCGGCCAGAATGGATGATTTATATGAGAAAAACTGGAATAAAACACTGATCTTTATTTCCGTTTTACTCCAATTAGCCCCAATTTCATCCAATTCTGACCTTAATTCATGTTGATTTTTCATTAATTTCACGATGGTTATTATTGAGACTTCATTTTTTCGCAATCTGCTGGTGTTTAAACATTTGCAATCGATTGGGTTTGAACACACGATTGTGACGCTGAGAGTCAAACGCGTTGACTACTCAGCCACAGTCGCCGCCTTAGCTTTTCTGTGCCGGAAGGAAATTTGAAAGGATTTATGCGGTTAATACAGTCTAAAATACTCGAAACAAAGCAGGAACAAGAATAATTCTATTGGAACCTCTTGAAATTGCATGAATTTATGCTGTTGAAAGAACAAAAAGGACGTTAAATTGATTCAAGAGAGAAAAAGAGTGATTTTTGCAAACATTTTTGCACTCCGCGTGTGATATCGATCTCGATGGTAAGAGTCTTTCTGTGGAGTCGCTTTTCATGGTTGTTAGAAACATTTTCTCAGTGTTACCCTTCCAAAAAAGAATTTAATATCTCAGTGAGTTGTTAAACGATGAGTTATTTCTGATCATTTGTATAGAAGAGGAAGAAATCTCGAGCGATGATCTCAGAATATTGACTTCAGTTATTTAGGGATATTTGTAAAAAGGAAAAAAATTATATTATAATAAAGAAAAGAATTACGAGAGGAGAAAAGAAGAAGAAGAAAAAAAACATGGAACGGCACAAAGATCGTGAAGTGAGAATCATGAACGCTTTACTTATGTAAAATAAAGAAAAAGGTGAGAAAAAATATAAACTTACTAAATAGAGAAAAGGAAAAAGTGAAATTTCTTCTGTTTGGAAAAGACATCATATGAATTTTTGTCGATAAATTATATATATTATATATAAAATCTTAGAAATTGGACCACAATTTTTTGAATGAGAAAAAAAATTGAAAATTATGTATAGAAAAAAATTTGAAATTAAGAGAATTTTGTAGATATGAATTTATTAATTTAAATGCGATATAAATTGAAATTTTCCGAGAGACTGATATATAGAAAATGCACAGAAAAGGTGAAGAAAATCAATTTGAATGAAACACAAAAGTAGAAAGGAACAAAACACCTCCTGAAAATGTTTTTTATTCCACTTTATCATCAATGCAAAAAAACGCATCACGTGAATTTTTGCACAAAGTAAACAAAACAAAAACTCCTAAAAGACTTTTTTTAAGAAAGGAAGAGAAATTGAGAAACTCGTGCCAATTTTTAAAATATTGGTGTCTCTCACGGGATTTTACTACTAGTTTTTTTTTGTCTTTCCTTTAAGGAATTTCCTTCTCAAAAAGAAAAGATATCAAATATTTAGATTTTCTAGTTAATAGAGAGAATTTTATAATAAGGAAAATATTAGAATGATTCAAAATTTATAGAATCTTCCTCTGAGAGTGATTTTTTATTACGATGAGTTATTTATTTATTTGACATTATATATTTCTTTCACATACCCAAGAAATAACTGTAGTCTTTTTGATGCATTTTGACAAATATATATATATATATATATATATATATATATATATCTAGATATGTATACTAACTGTGAAAACAAACTCTATTGACAGATGGAAACATCACAGTGAAACTCACTACACAAAACAAAAATATTCCTTATTAGTGGAAAGTGGGCGAGTTTTGGCGTTGACACATCGAAAAAATCCTTGAGGAATGTCGAGAATCATTGAAGCAAACTAGTTCGAAGCTTTCCCACTTTTCCCTACTGTAATTGTATATGTATGTAATGTCTTAAAGGATAATCAAAAGAAAAAAAGAAAGAAATAAAGTCTAATCGCATGTAAGGAAAAAAATGTGCTACATTTACAGGTAAAACTCAAGAACAGGTTGAAGGAGAGCAGAAAAATTGCATTTTGCAAGTGAGAGAATCGAAGCATGATAGCGAAATATGACACAATAACTTATCCAAAAAAAAATAAACAATTTACCAAATCAAAGAGATTTGATTAAAAAAAAATCACATACAATATCAATGTCCATAAAAAGGTAGAAAAAACTTACAAAAAAAAAATTTACTCTTGTATCCAATTTTATCAGTGTTCTTTACCAATGATGGCAAAAAAGATGAAGAATAGCAGAGGAAATCAAGTAAAATGATACTCAACTTTAGAGTAAATTGTGTGAGAGTTAATTTTGTGCGAAGGCGGATCAAAAAAAAATATATTTTAATAGTGTTGTTTGAGGATGAAAAAGAAAACAAAAAAATGCAAAAAAGAGGAAGCATGGATGTACGCACGGCCAAAAAGGCCAGTTCTCGATGTCTCCCGCCCTCCATTAAATCGCGTTTAGTGAGAAATTCCCCTTAATTGAATTAATTATGTTACATTTAAAATAATTTTATTGTAAGATTTATTTTGTAAAGAATCTATAATTACAATAAAAGTGTATATCGTCAACTGTTGAATTTTCATTCATCTACTTACTCATCAAGCACTGCAATTCTCCAGTTTCTTAACTCTGCACAAGTTAAAGTTCACTCAAAACCAGTGTAAATTCACACCACAACATAACTTCACTCCCTAACACTAGACTCATCTGTGCTGCATCTTGCAGAGCTTCGCCTCGTCAAGTGAAAAAGAAAGTCTGTGATATTCGGCATGTTTAGAAAAGCAAACTCTTTTATTGAAAATAAGCCCACGGAAAAACGTCAGAGAAAAGAGCTCACATTGTATAAAGTGGCGCTCTTCCGGTCATGTGAGACCCCGAAAAAAAGTCAAGAGAGATATAGGATGCTAAAATAAAATTGGTCCTCGACGCGCGCCGCCACTCCATTGCAGTCCGGCGGGGATCAAATGGCGAGCGGCTCCACCAGATCCCAGATGTCCCTGTCGGCGAAGTACATCACGCGCGGATTGGGGAAGCCGTTGAACGTGGTGGCAATGGTGAGAGTGTACGCGCCCATGTTGGGGAACACCAGGACGTCTCCGATGCCCAGCAGCGGCAGCACCATGTTGTCGCAGATCTTGTCGAAGCCATCGCACGACGGCCCCCAAATTGTGCACTTCACGTCGGGGCGCGTCTCTACCTCGCCGGCGGTGCGCGTGAGCACGTGCGGCGTCACCACCTGATGGTCGTACAGCACGCAATTGAAGGAGCCGTACACGCCCTCGTTCACGAAGTACTTCACGTGCGCCACCGTGCCGTCCGGGCCCAAGCGCTCGTTCTTCGAGTGCACCGTCACGGCCAGAGTGTAGGCCGAGGAGACGAAGAACCTACCAGGCTCCGCGATGATCTCCAGTCCCTCCTGCGCTGGGAAATAGTCATCGAGCGCAGCATTCACCACATCGGCAATCACGCCAATGTCCGTGCCAGTGTCACCCGGGAAGCCACCGCCGATGTCCAGCAGATGGAGGCGATAGCCCAGCGTCAGTGCATAGTCGAACAGCTCACGGGCCGCCGCGATGGCCTTCCGGAACACAGGCGGATCCTGGCAACCGCTGCCCACATGGAAGCTAATTCCCACCACGGCCAGGCCGAGATTCTTCGCATTGGCCAGCAGAAGAGGCGCCTCCAGCTTCGGATCTGCCCCAAACTTCTCACCCAGCGGACACTGAGCCTTCTTCGCGTCGCACCGGATGCGCAGCACGAGCCTGCAAAAGACAGACAAATAGTCTTGAAATCCTTCAACTCCCCATTTATTATTCATCACGAGAAGGAATAAAAAGAAAATGCCAGGAAAAGTGAGATCAAAACTACTGGTTGAACTGTAGATTCTAAATGACTGCTTAAAATGAGGCTGAAGTGCCAAGATGTTGAGGACAACTAAATGCCTATTTTTTAATACTGTTATCATTGAAAACAAAGAAGACTTTAGAGTCTAGACTGAATACTCTTCAATTGCCATTCACTACAAGTCCGTGAAAAATAGTTCATAACAGTTGAGTCCGTTGAGTCACTCCTAATGTGAGAAAACCATCAGAATCACCTGCAAATCACATGTCTCACAATAAAGCCTTGGAGGAAGTTGCAAAGCTGACAATATTAAAGTCTTTAGCCCACAATAGAGAGTTTTTCACGGAAATCGAGTGATTAGACATCAAAAAAGAACCCCAGACGAAACGTCTTGTTGTCAAGAGAGCTCTCTCTCTCTGTGTCTCTTTCAATGGGGAGGGCAAAAACCAGCTGACAGACCGCGCGCGCTTATCTCGCGTCGCCTGATAACTATTATACACTATATTGTGAAGAAAAGAAAAAAAAATACCCTTAGCCAACACATTTTCCCACAATAAGACCACAAGACAACTTACTGAGCGCTCGGATAGATGCTGTGAATCTTCTCCAGCTCCACCGTGGTGTCGAATGTCATGAGACTCGTGTTGGTGGCCGCGGCGTGACGAATGTGCGTGATGGCCTTGCACGGATTGGCAAAGATGATCCTATCCGGTGTCACACCGTGCTTCAGCACAGCATTGATTTCCGCCCGCGATGCACAATCGAATCCCGTGCCCAATTTCGCCAGTAATCGCACAACATTCTCATCGCTGTTGCACTTCACGGCGTAGTACGGCTTGATGCGTGGCATTTTCTCACGCCACACGTCCAACTTCCTCGCCACGTCACTCAAATTGCATAGATAGAGCGCCTCATCCTGGCCGGCGTCCATCTCCTCGTAGATCTTCTGGCGGAACACCGCCTCCTCGTCCAAATGGCCCTCGAAGGGCACAACCTCAGTGTTGATCTGCAGCTTCATGGCAATTTTATCTCTCTGTCTGTCTTTATGTCTTTCTGTCTATCTGTTGCCGTGAAACTCTTGTCCAGTTGGCTAAGCAAGCACACAAATCCGTGTCGCGTGTCGTCCAAAAATCTTCCTGCTCTCGCACAGAATCTGTCGAGAGTTTTGTGTCTCTCTCTGTCCTTTCGCAAACCAAATGTATATATCGGAGTCCAAGAGTCACCCGAAAGGCACTCTTACCACGGTGGTTCGCCGTTCAATTTGAGCTGCCACGTGATGAAGAACAGGCCAGAGCCCTCAACTAAGAAGGGCAACTGACCCTTCAAAGAAACCTAGAAGAGAAAAACCAATCAATCAGCATCAAATCAAGAACAATCCGGTTCAAATTGGCTCTCAATTAGCACAGGAAGAAGAAGAGTCAATTTCAACATATTGTTTATGCGAGAAGTATTATTTACTCCGTTCATAATTTCAACACGATAATGCGCGCCAAAAGATAAATAATAATAAATAATACCCGACAGACTGCAATTTCATCAATGGATCGAACAATGTGCGAGTTGTTTTAATAAGCATCAATTTGACCCTCCAAAGAGATCCGCACAGCTCAAGTGAACACTCAAAACTGCCTGAATTCATGACCAAACTCAAAAGACTTGTTGACACAATTCTTCCCTAAGCAAATCAACAACATCAAGAGACACATTCTATGAATCACTTATTGATTAACTGAGACATTTTTCTTGAAAACACAACAAAGAGAATTTTCATCATCTGAGAGAGGAAAAATTTGTTAATCATGATTAATTTCTCTGAAAATTCTCTTTTAAACACACTTTTACACAATATTAATGGATCTTCAATGTCTAATTGATTAATTTCTAACTCACTGAGGCCCTTCTTCAAAGTCTATCGAATAGAAAAAGATTGTTTCGCTGAAAATCTGTATGATTTTGTGTAGAAAATTTAATGAATTTCAACAATTAGTTAAGAGTTATTAGAAACTCAAGATTTCCTTCAATGTTTCATTAAACATTTGCTTTAAATTCAGTTACTAAATAATTTAAAGTTCTTACTTGGCATCAATTGAAGCCAAATAGTAAATTTATCCCACAATATTAATCTAATATTCGCCCATTTTAACATTTTTTTGTAAACCTTTATAAATTGCTATTTAATTACCACTTTCTCTTAAGTTAAAAAGAACATGCAGTACTAAAAATTTGTTTCTTTTCTCTAATCACCCCTCAATTAAAAAGCAGTTAAATTTCTCAGAAAACCATCAGGATTATTCACTGATTATGATTTATGAGAATTCTTCTTCCAGAATCTATGAACTTTCACCTAAAGCTTGATATTCCGTCAAGGAGAAAATTAGAACTAAGCTGATAATTGGTCAGTTCTGGCTATTTAAGGCAAATCACGTCGTAGAATTTCGCATTAAAGGTTTTTGTGTTATCTTAAACGGATACTCTTGAAGAACGGCATTAATACCTACGCTAATTAAAATATAAATTTTTCATACATCGCGAACACGAGCTTCCCCCTCCTGAATGAAAAACCTTATCAAAATACATTGTTATCGCATGCAAAAGATCTGAGTAAAAAAAGAGCTTTACACTCGTGTGGAAAAGTACGGAAAAGGCGCCTAATCAAATTTCTTATCATAACACACACACACATTTGCCAAAATTCATCTCCGCCTCGTCGTTGAGTGACAAAACACAGCCTAATTGACTCTCGAGCCGGTTTTTCTCTACCTGAATCCTTTCTGAGTCATTTCTAAGTGCCTTTAATTTCTTTGCAACTCGGTCAATCTTGGGCCGTTTCTCTAGCCACTCACCTGATCGGGAATTCTCGAAATTTTTGGTATTGTTGAGAAAAATATCCTCCCATCCAACACAACGTCCGGAAGCGCACCGAAGGAGCACAGAATGCTGTTCTGGCGTGTACAGTCCTGGCCAAAAGGTCCCGGCAAACTGAAATGAGATCACAGAGAGAGAGAGAGAGAACTTCTTGTCACGCTGCTGAACGAGGGCAAAAGGAGCAGTCCAAAGGCACTGAGAGCCGACGAGAGACTGTCGACGGGGAGAAATATCGAGTTGTGACCGGGACTGATAGTGAATTCCAGACCACCTGTGACGTCAATGGCACTCCAAGCCTGGCAACACACTTTCGGGCCTCGCTTTTGTCCACTTTTTGCCTCCGCCAGCATTTTTTCGAAAGGGCTTTTAAGTATAGAATCTCGTGGAAAATGAGTCAAGGCGCTTTTCATACTGTTGACGCGTGAAATTTCATATGAAGAATCACGTGAAAATACCCTAAAATTGCGCAAGATGTGTGGCATGATTCACAGCAATTCAGAGAATTGGGAGAAAATCTCCCGCCATTGCGCAGTTGCGCACACCCACCGCCTGAGGGCGACGGTGTGCAGCAAAGTGGTGCTCGCGTGATGGCCGCGAATGTCAACTTTCTCGCGAGAGATAACGAGATTTTTCGGGGAATTTCCATGCAAAAAGCGACCGGGAGAGGTGAAAAGTGAGCCATGTTCCGTCTGAATTATCACCTCAGGTGTCTCACGCATCTCTCCGCGTCCCTCCGCACGCAATACCGCGCGCCCATTGCCAGATATGCCGCGCAGAGTGCGGACAGCACGACTCCTCGTGCACCCGATAAAGGGGACAGCAAGAACCCTGATAAAGTCGTGCCCAAGATCACTTTGCTGGGTCCGGACGACTCAACGACCGTCGTGACGATGGAGGAGGCGCAGAAAATTTCCCGCAGACGGGATATGAGACTGGTAATGGTGGAGGATATGAATCCGAAGTCTCAGAGAGCCATTTACAGGTAATATCGAGGCTTCCAAGTCCCAGAGAACAGTCTCAGTCTCTCAGTGCCCTTCTTAGATAACACACAGTAATATTACTCACACACAGATTGATGACGAATGCTGAATTCAAGGAGGAGCAACTCAAGTCCCACGCTGGCAGTGATTCCGATGAGAAAAGCAAGAAAAAGTGAGTATATCCGCACTCACTTTGTCAAAGACACACCGTCGAAGCCCCTCCGAAGGCCAAAAGCGCGATATTTGTGGGTGAAATGGTGAAAATTGCAGAAATATCTGCAATGGTGGACCGGAAAGCCAAAAACACTCACGCCAAAAGAGACTGTTTCTGCGCAGAACCAATTGACATGTGGTGGCGCTGTCGCTGCAGAGGATGCAATGTGCCGAAGTGGCGCGATAATTTAAATGCGTCTCTCAATGTCTTTCTTTTCAGGGACGCAATAAAGGGTCAAAAACTCCTCCAAATCACCAACAAGATTGCCGATCACGATCTCCAGGCACGCGTGAAGAGTCTCATCAAGTGGCTGGAGAAGAACTACCGCGTGAGTGTAATAATATCCGGCGCCAGTCCCGATTCTGTTGCCACGGAGAAAATCTTCCGGGACATCGAGACAAGTACAAAATCCCTGGGGAAGATTGTCCAGAAGCGCTCAAAGGGCAGCGATATCAGGTTCCAACTCCATCCCACGCCGACAGACTCAGAGAAAGCCGCCAAGGTGTCATGACTAGCCTTCCTGCTGATCAAATACTCAGCCTGGTCAATCATTGCCTACAACTTCTTCATCCGCTGACACTAAACTTAGCTTTAAACCTCGCTTTATTCGGCATTTTCTCTGGGCTCGTCTATAAACAACTCTTGTAACAATTAAATAGTTTGGGATAATAAGGCTCAGTGTGCGCTATTCCAGCTGGCAGGGCATCACGGTGCACCGTCTCTCCTGCACACGCTGCGGACACACGGCGCCGGGCGTGGGATTGAGGACATACCTAGTGCGCTGCTGCACTGAGTGACTGCCACAGGAGGGCCTGCACGGCGACCAGGCGCTCCACACTGAGTAGTTGCACAGCTCAGGACGCGTTGGGCCCCAGGAAGGATTCAGATCCTGCTGCGGATTGCAAGCACCCTCGCAGCGCTCGTACCGCGTCAACTTCCGCGGGCACGGCTTCCCACCATTCAGTGGCTGCCTCAGCACGCGTCGCGTCTTCACCCTGAAGCCCGATCCGCACGTGACATTGCACAATCCACGCTCCCAATGTGACACCTTGCAATCCCTGGTCACTTCGCCGCGCGTCTGATCCCTGATTGGGATCCTATCGATGGCACGGTACATCTGAGGCTCCTCCTGGATGTCATGCGATGGCTTGCATGCCGTCATGCACTCCTCGCGCGACTCGAAGTTATTCTCATTGCCATTGCAGCCCAAGTAGGCAAAGATCGCGCACTCGCCGCGCCTGAAGTCGTAAAACCAGCGATTCGTGACCGTCTTGCAGGTTCCAGCAGTCGGCGGCAGGAGACAAATGGCCGGCACATCATCACACGCCGGCTGATCTCGGCCACAGACAACAACTTCCAGCAACTGCTCGCCAAAGCACGGATCTCCGGGCTCAAAGCAGAGAATTGAGTCACAAGGCTTCTCCTCCTCCTCAGCCTCAGGCTCCTCCATCTCATCCTCATCCATGTCCTCATCCGCCGGCTCCTCGTCCAGTGGATCCACAGGCGGCCTGCGATTGAAGAACTCTATCGCCTTGTTGTACACATCGTTGGGATCGATGCCGCGCCGAATGGGATAGCGATACCTCATTCTTCTGCCCAGGCCGCAGGACGTGTTGCAGGGACTCCACTGCGTCCAAGGCGTGAGCTTGCACTCCCTATTCTCACGATCGAAACCCCTACCCGCTCCCGGACGCCCTGGCCTCTTGGGGAAGTTGTAGCCATTGTCCTCTTCCTGCTCTTCCTCCTCCTCATCATCACTGCCCGGCACTCTTCCGTACGGCGGCACAGGACTCTCATCGATGTCCCCCGAGCAATTCCTGCCGAAGCACTCCTCCGTTTGCTCCAAATGAGGCGGATTCGGTGACGCCTTCTGACACTTCTTCATGGCACTCCTCACCACGTAAGCTCTGGTGCGCGTTCTCACACCTCTGCCGCATCCCTTGCTGCACTCCGACCACTCTGACCAGTCGCTCAGTGCGCACTCTGGAAACACCTCGTTGTTCGCCTCCGGAGTGTCCGGCTGGAACTCCCCGCCGCCGCCCAGACGACAGTGTCTCTCAGATCCATAGCACGTTCCACTCTGCTGCAGCTTCTTGTTGCACCGATTCTGACTGGCCACGATGGGATTGGCATAGTTCCTCTGCCTGAATCTCTCCCCTTTTCCACACGACACCGAACAGGAGCTCCACGGACTCCACTGTGTCGTGTCACAGGCCCTGGAGCCTCCGTAACCGCCAAGATCCTCGCCAGACACCGCGGCTTCGCAGTTCTTGTCGTACAACCTCTGCCTGGAGATGTACACTCTCGCCATGGCCTTCATCTCGCCACCGGCGGGATCGTAGAACGGCGACCGCGGATCATTGGGGAAGTTGGATTTTATCCGTCTGATGACGTCACGCGGATTCGTGGGCTGATCCGGCGATGTGTAAGACGGTCCGCTGTCTGTTCCCGCATCCCAAGGATACAAGTTCAGCATTTTGTTCTCAATCCACGAACAATTCGCCAGACACAACTCCAATCCGGACAATCCCACAATCCAATCCGGCGAGGGATCAATCATGGACACCAGCGAGACGAGATGATGTCTGGCATCAACGCGAAAGACGGCAAAAGTCTTCCCCGTGACATTGGGATAAGATATGCCGCGTGCCTTGATAATCGTCCTTATATGATCACTCTGAGCCTTCAATTCACTCTCCAGCATTCGCGTGCTGCCGTGCTCCGCCACCTGACGCACACCCTCGCTCGCCTGCTGTCCATACTCCCAGAATCTGTAGTCCGCCGTGTGGGAAGCGCCAATGATGTCACTGAAGCGCGTCAGCCAGCCATTCGATGGGAAATCCTTCGGATGCGTGTGTCTGGACCACAATCCCTCGAATGTCACCTCGTACTTCGCCTCCTGACAGGCACAGCATGGATCCTCAATGATGGGCTGCACATCAATGCTGTCCTGCTCATCCTCACAGAACATCTTGCTCAGCGGCCCATCGTCCATGTACCACACATCGCGATGCTCTATCACCGTCGCCCGGAACACCACGCAGCCGCTGCCGGGCGGCGGCGCCGTCCAGAGAACCTAAAAGAAGAAATAAGCGGACTATTTTTAGCCAAATCGCCTTCATTAATCACAATCAAGCACGCTTCTATCATCTTTATTTGATCGTATCACACGAAATTGATGGCTTTCTTGGAATTGCGTCTGGCATTCCGCAATTTGAAAGCAGCAGTCGGAAAAGCCTTGATCGCACGTGTCCACAGCATCTTCCCAATATCTCTCTCTCCCTCTCTCTCTCTCTTTCACTCACCTGAATGTCCGATTTGGGCAGAGAACTCGTCTGTGTAACAACATTTGGACACTTATCGCTGAACTTTGCCAAAGTGTCGCCCTGCAGCTGAAACAGTCCAGCACTGCCGATGCCACCAATGTCCCTCAGCGGATCATAGGTCTCCTTCTCCACGGCCAGCATAAAGCCTGAGAACTTGTGTGTCACCGCCATGGAGCGAATGCCCGCTAAACTCACAGTGTACAACTCTCCTGGCGTGTATCTCTCCGGATTCCCCTGAATCCTGATGCGAAAGCGTCCATCGGCCGGCGATTTGTTGGCTCCTGAACCCTCAGGAATGCGATCACACTTCCCCGCAATACCCACAGGTATCAGCAGGGCAACTGTGATGAGAATTACTCCGTGGAAGAGCATCTTGTGTTTGCCTGCAGAGTTCAAAAAAGAATATAAATTAGGCAATTCAAATACTCTGAAGTCCTGAATCTCAACCGACAGTCCTATAATTGTCGTACATTTACTATCAAGATTGATTGGATCTCATTGCGACGCACTTATAAACTGTTATTCTGCGAATAAGGGTGTGATATTGTGCAATTTACTACGCCACTGAGCCTATCTTGCCAGAGTAAATCGTGCAAAGGATAAAATGATAACCAATTGACCTTTTTTTACACTCTCCGTCGCCACTTGGAGAGCAAATGTTTACGCGCTGAGAGAGATTCGCGAAGATTCCCCCAAAGAGAGAGAGAGAACGTGCGCGCTTTCTTTGGCGCCAAAACCCAAACTTTATGATGACTTCTATTGATTGAGAAAATCGCGCACACATGTCAACATAATGAATTAGCCATCCATCAATTGATTATTATTATTTCAGCTTCGCAGTATTGAGTGTGTGAGTTTTAAAAAATAACACACTAAATTACAATAATTGGAATTCACCAAAACAACACACTCTATTGCGATGACATGCACTTGACCTTTTCTCATCGTCTCACAGCCTCTCTCTCTCTCCAGGCCGCGAATGGCGTTGAGGCAGAGCGCATTAGAAGCTGCCCAGGAAATCGGGGAAGTGAACAGGAATGGCGTAATTGGCAATTCTGAGAGAAATTCTCGAGTAATATGACGATCGGAAGTGGTGAGACCCTCACCAGCTGCACTGCCAATGCGCCTTCGTAGCGTGAATTGAATTACAATGTGTGTCTCATGGCACAGAGCCACATAATCCCATTAGATGGTGAATCCCTCGTTTGTAATTTATCTCAATTGAATTGAATTGAAAATTGCAACAAGACACTCACTCTCGAGGCGATCCTCTCTGTGTCTTTTTGCTGGTCTTCCTCCTCACCAGCGCGCACACTGTATTCCCTGCCGTAGGGATGGCCAATCCCTGCTAGTCTCTCACACAGCCCGCAATCCGACGTGATTTTCTCCTCACACCACACAACTTCTTCACAACACACACACAACACACTCAATTCGGGATCTTCGTTCTGCCCTTGTGACCGATTCCCGCGAAAGTGCGATCGCAACTGAATTGGAGCGCCGAGTGCGATGCTAAATGGGGCTCTCTGTTGTACTGTCGTTAAACGACTCAATGAATATATTGTCCAGAGCTGCAATCAGAAGATGATAGAAAATGATGAGTAAGTCGGGAAGTTTCTGCAGCACACTAAAGAATCTCACCGATTTGTCGGTGTGATGTGAGGCGCAATCTAATCAGTCAGAGTTGGAATCGCTGTCGGAATAGGCCGCCAAGAGACCTAATCCACCAGCTGGAGTTGCTTTCTTCGCCTCAGGAGTAGTATTTTCCTTCCGGCGCACGAGATTTTGCATCTTCAGTCGATTTGGCGGTACTTTTATCTCTGCCCTTGACGTTTCGGGCTTCAATTGAGGCACCTTGGCGAGAACTATTGTCTCCACCACTTCCTCCTCAGCCACAACCTTCCCCGCTGAATTGCCAAAGTTCACCGTCTTGATGTACTCCTCGTCCAGACGCGCCAGACGCTCCTCCCTGTCCTTGGCCGTCTCCGTTGTGTCATATTGTTGAAGCATCTGCTCATAATCCACCGTCTGCTGTCGCCTGTTGAGATCCTTTAGCTCCTCCAGGGACTCCAGCAGCTCAATCTCATTCCTGGACTGCTGCGTGCGATTCTCCAGCAACTTCATCGGATTGTTGGCCTCCTCTTCCCTCAATTCCTCCTCCTCCTTCTTCGCCTGCTCCTCCGCCAGCTTCAGCGCCATGAAGTTCCTCGTGGCGCCCGCCTCAATCTCATAATCCGTATTCCTGGGATCCGTCTTGAATGAGATCTCCTGCAGGCAACGCGTGCACTTGATGTAGAACCTGTAAATCCGGATGCCGAGGTACGTCTCGTTCTCCACGTCCTCCTTGCGCGCATTGAACTTCTTCCCCTTGTAGATGTACTCCCCACACGTGACACACCGCATATTGAATGGGGCCATCAGTCGGACTGTGTACTGGCGATTCTTGGCCAGTTTCATCCGCGGAATCTTCGACGGATCGAAGTCCGGAGGGTAGTATTTCTGCCAGCAAAAGAAAACCACATTACACCGTGATTCTTCAATGATCCACATCCAAATCTCATTACTTACGTTCAACACTTTTCGCTCAGACATCTCCCTGGTCGCTCACTAACTTGAATCCCTGAGATAATACCAAAAAGTTGTGAAAAATCACGAGGACGAAGCCAAACGTCAGACGGCAAAACAAAAACACTGGCCGAGAGGTCGCTGGTGAATCGAGCTCAGCCGAAACGTGTCCGAAATGCGGTTTGTGTCTTGGCTAACCGAACAAAACGATGATTTCAAACTTTTTGTTTCCAGCAAGCATGAAACATCAAGAACACACTTGGGAAATGCCCAGAAAATCCGGGAAACCCTCTTTTTTCTGGCTAACTATGATTAAAGGACACATACAAATACAATTTCAAAATATGTGTTTTTGTATTTTCTCTAATTTCTAGCTCATATAAGGTGAATCGAGGAAAAAATGCACAGACGCGTGAAATATGCAATTCTCAGAGAAGCACGCTATTTTTTAATGTCGAAATTTTTCCTGCCCCAGCCGAAGACTGTCCAGAGCCTACTTAGAGCATCGCGAGTGATGTCAAAAGTTGCACCAAGACACACTGCATCCCGTCCACCATGTCGCCATATGCGATTTTCTTCCAGGGCCTGGCTAGAAGCGTTGGAAGCTGCTCGAAGCTGCAGCCAAAGATTGTCCAGTCAAAAGTTGCGTCTGAACAAGTCAAGTCAAGTTATCGCCGAAAAGAGGAGGCACTGAATTTGAATTCTCGCACCCCCCACCATCAATCCATCACTCCGAAACTTCCCCATGCAGCGAGCGAGAGAACAATATGGCAATTGCCGTGGACCAGAAGAGTGCCACTATAGGGATTTGTGCAAAGAAAGCTACTTGCTCACCAAAAAATTGACAGTTTGTCTCAAGCATCCAACGAGGTAAGAACTCACGTGTTGCTGCATTACAATTTCTCCCCCTTGTGTTGAACTGCTCTCTTCATCGCGGCGATAACACCAATTTCCCACCGTCTCATCGCCATTGCCAGAGTGTGTTTAGTGACGCGTCGCGACAATAATTCAGTGGCGCACAGTGGTGAACGGTGTCGATGATGTTTAGGGCATGAAGTTTTCCTCTTTCTGTGCGCTTCCTGAGACGTCTCCGCTATCGGCCCCCCATCGGACAGTTTTCCGCCGCGCGCGCCCTCTCTTCGTGATCAAGTGTATGCGTGCAAAACGTTTTTCAAACGTGGACGCTCACGTGTCGTCTCGCTCACACTAACGGTACTCGCTCGCACTGCAAATCACCACTATCGCCACGTCTCTGTCGCACTCATTGGCAATGGTGTGCCTGTGAAAGAGGGGAAATTTCATAATAGGAGTGGACTCTGCAAATCTCTCTCTCTGTCAAATCCCCATATCTCACTCTATGCGGGCTTCCGCCCCATTTTCCTCACGGAGGACAGCCGAGGGGACTATGAGGGAGTGCTGAGGAGCCTAACAAGAGCTCATAGGACCCCAATTAGCCGGGAAATCGGGGGGGAAAAGGCAAACATAGATTAAAGTGACGTCATGAGCATATCTCTCAGGTGTGAGAGTGAAAGAGTAGATACATTATCGCGAAAGGGGGACAGCGAGAGCTATATTTGGGGATCCTTCAGATCTTTTGGTCTAGTACAGAAATAAGACAATTCACATAGAGATTTTCCGAGATATTAGGAATATTATTGAAGTGTCGAAAGTCGCGATTATTCTATAATGAGTCTTATTCAACTTCTAAGCTTCAAATCATTGTCGAAATTTTCAGATTGAACTGTAGAAACTATAGAAGAGCGCAGAAAGCACACTTGCAGCACATGACGAAGCGCCTATTGCCTCGTTTTTGACTTGTCTATTTTGTATTTGCAGAGATAAATTTCTTGCACCGGGCGCGAGCGAGACGGACAGACAGAGATGGCAGAGGAGAGAGCAACGGAGACTCCGTCGCGGGAGGTGGCCAAGGATGCCGCCGCCGGCGAGGAGGAGGCACGCGCCGCGGGCGTGAATGTGCGAAAGGGGAGTCGCAAGAGGAAGCGACAGGCGAACATGAAGTGGAGCTTCAAGAGGCAGAAGTGCCAGGCGAACCAGGAGAATTGCCACCAGAATAGGAAGCACTTCAAGAACCGGCGACTGCAGGTGTTCCCGCCCATCTCGAAGTTCTTCCTGCCGGACAAGCGTCCGCGCAAGGAGCTGATTGTGCCGCCGACCAAGTTTCTGCTCGGCGGCAACATTTCCGATCCGCTGAATCTCAGTGGGCTGCAGAATGAGGGCATCAGTGCCAGCATGAACGCCGCGACGCCCAAGAGCTCGCCGATGACCACGCCGCCCAAGGTGGAGGTGATCATTCCGCCGAACATTCGGGATCCGCTGCATCTGCTGGATCCAGTGGACAGCATTGAGTACGAGAAGCAGCTGATTTCGCCCATGAAGCGGCGCTCGAAGCACAGGAACAGGAAGAAGCGGAAGCGCGTCGAGGACGAGCGACCGCCGATGGTGCAGGGCGCGCGCGAAGAGGTGGAAACGGCGGAGGATCAGCAGCCAGTGTCGGGAGACGAGCAGAAGCGCGCCAGCGAGCGCGAGAGGGCGGTGCGGGAGCTGAAGCTGGATCTGATGAGTGGCGAGGGGCGCAAGAGGCGCACGAGCGAGGGTCCGAGCAGTGGCGGCGGGAAGCCAAAACTGCGCCGCATGGACTCGATGGACAAGATCGTGAGTCCGGTGATTCCGCAGCCGGGCGCGTGGAAGAGGCCGCCGCGGCCCATTCCTGCCGGGCCCCAGGGGGGCGCCGTGAGGAATCGCACGCGCACGCACTCGCAGTCGACGCAGGCGGATGAAGCGGAGGTGCAGAGTCCGCTGGAGGAGGTGAAGGAGCCGCTCAGGGAGGAGAAGAAGTGCGTGGAGCAGGCGGAGCCCGAAGTGGTACCGGTGAAGCCAGAGGCCAAAGAGGACGTGAAGAAGCCCAGATTCAAGGGGAAGGACGAGAAGTTCCAGTACGGCAACTACGACAGATACTACGGCTACCGGAATCTCAATGAGATGATGGATGTGCGGCTGAAGGTGTTCATGCGGAATCCCTTTCTGTTCCAGAAGAAGGACGTCCTGGACATTGGCTGCAATGTGGGACATCTCACCATTGCCGTGGCGAAGAATCTCAATCCCAAGTCAGTGATGGGGATTGATATTGATGCGAAGCTGATTGAGCGCGCGCGGAAGAATCTCTCGCTGTACGTGAGGATTCCCAAGAGTCCCAAGGAGACCAGACAGCAGCAGGAGGAGGAGGAGAAAGTGGCCGAGGAGCAGCAGCAGCAGCTTTCGTCGGTGGTGAAGTGGAACAAGAAGCGCGTGAGGCATCATGATAGGAAGTCAGAGTACTTTCCCAGTTCCTTTCCGCTCTGCTATGGACCCGTGCCGGAGATGAGTGGTGCCGATGACAGGCACAGTGATTCACCCAGATTCCCGCGGAATGTCTTCTTCAGGACACTGAACTATGTGCTGAAGGATGAGAGTCTGCTCGGCGCTGACGCTCAACAGTATGACTTGATAATGTGCTTGAGTGTGACCAAGTGGATTCACTTGAATTTCGGCGATGCCGGACTGAAGATGGCCTTCAAGAGGATGTTCAGTCAGCTACGACCGGGCGGCAAGTTGATCCTGGAGGCGCAGAATTGGGCCAGTTACAAGAAGAAGAAGCGACTCACGGTGAGTCAATCCACACAACACAGTCGAAGAACGAAGTGACTAATTTCTTGTGGCTTTTTTTCGCATTGCAGGAGACAATCTTCAATAACTACAAGAGCATTGAGTTCTATCCCAACAAGTTCCACGAGTATCTCTTGAGTCCCGAGGTGGGATTTAGTCACAGCTATGCCCTGGGTGTGCCGAGGCATCTCAGCAAGGGATTCAGGCGTCCCATTCAGGTAAATTCCATTCAATTAAATTAACAAAACGATGCGTGCTAAAGTCACCCGAAATTTTTGTTCCTCTTCCAGTTGTACGTGAAGGGCGACTTCACGCCTAGTCAGGTGAGATGGAGCGACGCTCATCATCCGCAGACGCCATACACGCCTTATCGCGGCATCTACGCTGAGATGATGCTGCCGCCGCCGCGCCAGAATTCCGCGCACGGCCCGCCGTCGCAGAGTCTCTCGTCCACGTCGCAGTACTACAATCCGCTGGAGACGGACAGTTACCTGCCCAGCTATGACTCGGAGGTGCCGGGGCGGCGCTACTGCTTCGTGGCGTCGCCCGTGTACACGGGCGTGTGGTCGCCTCCGGCCAGTGGACGCAACTCCACCTCGCAGACGCCCATCTACGGCGGCGGCAGCACGCGCGAGTGCGAGACGGAGGACGGCTACGGCCGGCGCCACGTCTATCCGCCGGGCATGAGCACACGCAGCGTGAATGAGGACGCCGAGGGCGTGGAGCACGTGTACGCCATCGAGGATGGCAACAGCTGTGATAACTCCTCGTCGCCGCAGATCGCCAATCAGCCGTCGGACGCGGAGGAGGAGTCGCAGCCGCCGTTCGGCCAGTCGCCGCAGTAGAGAGAGTGGCGCGCGCGCCGAGGAGAGCAAAGTGTACAAATTTTCTGGCCACCCCTTTTAGCATAATGCATTTCTACGCCTGAGCTTTGAGGACAAGCAATGTTGATGAGAGTGAGTGCTGAAAATAAAGCTTCCCAGCTTCATGGAATTCAAACAGTTTTTTTTTATTCCTCAATGCTCTGGGCCGCACAATAGCCCATAATCCTGTAATTCCTTAACAGTGGCGCAAATTCTCACCGAGCTGGGGATGCAGGAGGGCTCATCTGGAAGTCCATTTTGGCGCTCCCGCGAGAGTGCGACTCGCGGCCAAGTTCACAGCGCTGTCGCGCGGCCATTGGGCGGAAGAAGAAGAAGAAAAGAGTGCTGAGCGTGCGTAGGACAGGGCAGAATCGCATCCCCGAGAGAGATATGTTGAATATTTGTGTGTGGTATATAAAAATCATGAGCGAATGAGGTGGATCAGAAGCAGAGTTGAGCTGCCACTGAGCGCGAGTGTCCAAGTGAGAAAAAAGTTGTTGGCTGATGTCTTTGAGCCTCAAACATGGTGAAAGCAGTGTCGCAAGCTGTGAAAATTAGGATATACAGTATATCAAATCATGACGGGACATGAAGAGTAAGTTCTATGTGTGTGTGTGTGTGCACACTTGTGGGGGGTGGCGCCCCCGGTCGTCCATTGAGCCTCCGCTGGTGTGCGCGAAGGGTGCAGCGCGGAGTTTGGGGGTCCATTGGACCGCGCGCGCGAGTCCCGATGGACAATTGTGCTTTGCCAATGTATCCATCTCGCCAAGTGTGTGCATTGTGGCCGATGTATCGATGACATCGCGCCGCAAATTGACACCAATTAGCTCCTCCACACCGAGCGAATCTCGCATCAGTGGGCAAATCGATTGGCAGGAATTCGATTGACTCTCCACCATCTCCATCTCGCCCATCACACACATCTCACGCACGAGAGACAAAGTGTGACACCCAGCGCCATGACACTCGCATTTTTAGTCCATTCTCGGCTCTCCTGCCGCCCCAACGTCTGCGCCCCGCGGCGCCCCCGCACGGTGGCCCCCCGCGCAGGGTGGCAGAGCCGTGGCATGGGCAGAATTTTCTGAATGAAGCGTGTCTGGGAAGAGATTCATAGATAAATTTGTACAAATAGTGTGGCAATCAATGAATTTTCCTACTCTATTCATCGTTTCACCAACACACTTGCCAGCGCCAGAATCTCGCGAGAGAGGACAGGGTGTCACTTCTTGGCCCATACAAGTGGGCATGAGCGAGAGGCAGCGCGCCTGAGGCCACGAGTGCAACAGAGAGAGACAGAGGGAGGTGAGAGAACCACCCAATATGGGGCGCTTGACGTAGGAGTATTCGTGAGAGAGAGAAAGCGAGAGAGACTAAGAGCGAGGATGTGTCAAGGAAGTTAGAAAAATTCGTTGAAAAACTCGCAAATATTCCCTAAATATTGAGGCTGTAAAAATGCTGAAGGGATGGAAAAGGGATGTGCTGAAAGCCAAAAGGGCAGTGAAAAATTCCGGATGGAATCTATAGCGAAGGTCCGACGAATATACAGATTGTGACCGGAATTTTGAGACAAACATCCTTATAAAAAAATTTGTGGTTTAATACTATTCGAAATGAATAAGGAGATACAACAAGGAAGAAAATATGTGAATTTTACCATAATTATTAAAATACAAATAAATAATTAGTAAATTCTTGATAAAAAGGATTTACTGCAAACTTCATTCATGTTCATGCTTAAAAATTAGAGCCAGAATTGCAAGATTAATCCATTTTTGCAAGTAATTCTGTAGCTTCCAATGTGTTACTCTGCTTTTGACACATTCGATAAAAACAACTCTGGAGATTGTGTTAAAATTACACATTCAAGCAGTACAAATTGGTTTAACACATGTGAGCCAGAATTTTTTACACAATGTGTAACTCAGAGTCCACGGACGCTCAGAAATGCGGCCGCGGACTGTGCTTTGCGCTCTTTGGGGATCAACGAGCGCGCGCGTGTGTTGGTTGATCGGCGAGAGAGCAAATGTACAAAGAAAATTCAATACAATTCTCTCTCTCTCCTTCAATTCATTGATAATTCTCTCAATTGCACAATGGCTTCGCAGCCTCTCTCTCTTCTGCTCTCTCACTCTTCCTGGATGTGCTCATGGGTTCCCGAATGACGCATCCCGATGAGACGATGTGTGTTGACCTAATTTCCCCAGGAGGGGGACGCGCGTCCCGGAGTGGGGCGCAGTGCGGAGCTAATGAATGGGGAGGCGGCGATGAATGAAAATGTGGGAACGATAAGGCGCGAATGCACACACTCCTGTGTTGAATGGGACTGGCTCGATTGACAATTAAGGGCAGCTGATGTGGCGAAAGACAATGCACTTAATGTGGGTGCGCGGGCGAGATTGATGAACTTCCTCCTGGTCGATGGCTCAATGGACAGACGGAGGCTCTTGTGAGTTCCTTTGCGGAATTTTCACACACGCTTCTCTTGCAGTGACGACTACCTAGTTAGAGTACGTGCACAGGTGATGACCAGGGATGAGAGCACTGAGGGCTGGGTGCCGCTGCCCAGCGGCGGACTGGCGTACGTGTCCATCAGGAAGCGCGCCCGCCTGCCGCCCGAGGTCGGCGGCCATGAGTACATCATCTATGGCCAACGAATATCGGATCAAACCGTGAGTGAAGTGCAATTGACTTGTAAATTTTGAATTGATTTCAATGAAAAAAATGTCACTAATTTGAATTTAAAATGCCAGTCATTCCAAGAAGAGATGGTTTTCTTCTACTAATTGACCACTTTTCCACACACCCTTGCAGGTCATCCTCAGCTGTGTCATCAACCGAGATCTGCAATACTTTAAGGTCATGCCGACATTTCATCACTGGCGAGCGGGAAAGCAGCGCAACGGACTCACTTTTCAGACGGCCGCCGACGCGAGGGCGTTCGACAAGGGCATCATCAGGGCGTATGATGACTTAATAGACGGTGAGATCAGGATCTTCCTTTTTGCTGTCCACACAGCCCAAGTCAGATATTATCCTCTGAAGCACCTTATTCCCCCCTTTAGCTTCTCTCGGCTCACTTCCGCCCCTCGAAGACTAGGCGAAATGCGCAATTGAAATTGTTCTAATGTAGATCTTTGCTCTCTCTCTTGTTTTTCCTCCTTTGTTGCTTCACACAAAAAAAAATAACCAAATCAATCCAACTCATTGGATACCAAATCTCTTCTCCATCGGTAAGTCTAAATTGACAAAATTGAGAATGAAAAGAAAATGAAAAAAAAAATTTGCAAGAAAAATCACACCCAAATCTTCAGTGTTGTGTAGATTTTTTTTTTGTTTCTTTAGTTGAAAAATCCATTCTTTTTGGCCTGTTTTTCCACATGATTTTCTCAATAATGATTGTCATTTGTTTTTTATTTGGCTTTTGTCCCTTTTAACACACAGTCTTATAGTTCGACGGATGCTTTTGAAAACTCACTAAAAGTCGCGTCTTTGAGTGTCTTTCATTGACAAACTTTAAATGTCTTGTATCACTTGTGGAAATATTTAGTAGAAATCAGAATATTATCTTAGAAAATTCAATTTTGTTGCACCTTTTGTACTGGACAAGTTGTTAAAGTTGAAATTTGATAGGAGATAAGAAGATGAAAGAAATTAGACAGATTGATTGATTTTGATAGAAGTTTTCGAGGCATCGTCGAAATTTATTCATTTCAAACAACACACAGAACATTTTGCAAACATATAAAATAGCCAATAATATTGTGTCTAAGAGATTTTTCCACCTCTGTGTTTGCAGGAATGGACAATGACACGAAAACATCGCCGTGGAAACCATTTCTAAATAAATACGACTCAACAGTGGGTGAGGATGATGTGTTCATGACACTCGATCTGCCCCTGGAGCCATCGGAATCTCGATCCAACTCCAATTCGGAGGGGAGCCAAAGTGAGTTGTTGTTGTGTGTTGCAAAAAGAGAGATGTCATCGCCCGAGGAGACTCTCAACCACCCTTTTCCTTTTCTCTTCCTCTCTTCTCACCCGCCCAGAGAGCGATAAGCAAAATATCCATTACATATCGACGGAGAAGCCGCCCGCGTCTGAGCAGCACTCGCCAAATCCCAGCTTCAATCAGGAGGCGCCCGGCGGCATTGCGCCCGGCGACAACTACTCCTACGTGCAGCTCACGGCCGTGCACGAGTACAACTATCCAGTGGTGGAGGAGCCCGTGGGCGCCGTGATCAGCGCTCGGCGTGACTCCACGTGCAGTTTGAAGAAGAGAACGGCTCTGGACGCACCAGCGTCCGCTCTCAAGGATGTCCTGCCTGTGAAGACGAGGCTGCGCTGCCGGTGAGTCATCGCATTCACTGCGAATGAAGTGTGCGAAAGGAGACAGTCTTTCCCTTGGAACTTCCTGACTGTTTCTTGATGAGAACACAGGAAATTAGAATTTCTGTAATAATTGTGTTTGCAATTTTCCATGCTTTCTTTCTTTCTTACCAAATTGAATTGACCATTGAGAAGAGCGAAAAAAGCTATAGTAAATCCTAACTAGATTCATATTTTGATTCTTAAGTATAATCCCGTGGACTCCTTGACGAACGTTTAGAGCCCTGATTGTTGTTGTTCCGTGCACTGGCTGACGATCTCTCTCTCTCTCTCTCTGTCTGGATTTGCAGGTACTGCCAGGAGTTCTACACAGAGGAGTGGAATCGCAAGGGCGCGTGCGAGTACGCGCCGGACTGCTTCCGCGTGGGCCTGGACAATGTGTCGGGCATAGTTTGTGCACGCGGAATGCTGTATCACTGCATGAGCGATTCGGAGGGCGACATGCCGGCGCACCCGTGCGAGTGTGTGGCCGATTCGGGCTGCACGAAGCGCTGGCTGGGTCTGGCGCTGCTCTCGCTGCTGGTACCCTGCCTGTGGTGCTATCCACCGCTGCGCGCTTGCCACTGGCTCGGCATGTCCTGCGGCCTGTGCGGCGGCAAGCATCGGCCGCAGGACTGACAATGGGACGCCGCGCCGTGCTACAATCAGTACCAGACCATCTCGCTGGGCGCCGCGGCGCCCAAGCACGTGCGCTTCGCCGACGAGATGCAGAACTGGATCTGAGCAAATGAAACATTCCGCGCCGGAGGAACACTGGCTGCGCCGATGGAATAGGGCATCTTTTTTCGTGGTTTTTTTTTCTTCTTTTTGATGAGAAATCAGAGAAACCATAAAAACCGCCAAATTCCCGTGCTTTATTCCATGGTGCCGAGAGAAGAAAAAAAAACTGTTAAGTCACTGAGTAGAGATTGTCTTCTTGTCTCAAATGAACACATGTTAGGATGCAGAAGAGCGCGTGTTGAAAGCCAATCTGTACAAAACTGTGCGTGTGCATTTGCAGCCGTGGCGAGTGCGTGTGAGTCAATAATGGATGAGTGTTGGACAGCGCCATTTCCGCTCAGTGACCATTTTCCTTTTGTCTTTGGATTAATGTGTGGAAAATCTCACTGGGCGGCACAATGTTGAGTCTTCAGCACTTTTCCAATGTGACGCCCAATTCACACTCGCCAGGGTGGTTTTGAAATTCACGCGAAATCTATATAATTTATCCCCATTTATGTGAAAATGCCAGCATTAAACATCAAAATATTAAAGCTAAAAAGGCCTGAGTTTGTTTATTTCTCCTTTTGCAAAATGCATCACAAAGAAGATTATCGTGAGCATTCTTCGGTCAATCTTCCCTCAGATGTTGTTCTTTTTTGAAGTAAGATTGACCTGTTTTTTTTTCACTCAAATTCACCATAAATTTGATCATCTCTTGTGTTTTTGATAAAAACACGGGGCTCAGAGATGATTAAATTTGTCACTTTGAAAATATTTTATTGTTTAAATTATTTGATCAACAAAAAAATGCCTTTAGTTTTAGAGAAAAAGTTTAAAGGTGAGGATAAAAAAAACAAAAATCTATGAAGAAAAATAATCACTAAGTTGTAAGCGAGAGAGAGAAGGAAATATTTATGAAATAAAATATAAGTCATTAATATGAAGAAGAAGAAAAAAATTTATTGATGAAGATGAGAAAATCTTATATTATTCAACAACAAAAAAAGAGAAAAAATTTCAAGAGAAAAAAGGGAGGAAAAATTAGTGTTTGAATACAGAAAAAATATTAATAGAGAAAGATTGAAATCTAAGCATAAATGCCAAGTTTTTTCTTGTATATTCTATGAGAATAGCCACTATATATTTTAATATATAATTAATACTATTTATTGCCTCTTTAGTGTCTCGCAAAATCCCATTTTTCTAGAAAAAAAATGGTCAATCAAAAGGAAATAACAAAGAATGTAAGGAGGAAAGAAATGTGAAGAGAAATTGTAGTAGGTATTAGAAATCCCTTTTCCTCCTTCTCTTTTCGGTCAAGATCACAATAATGGCAAGAAAAAAGAGAAAACAAAATCAATGAATGGATAAATTTACGCTATTTTGGTATTTTCTTAGCTTTAAACCAACAAAAATGGAAAAAAAGAGAAGAAACCCTTTTTTTCGGGGATGAAGGAAAAGAAGTGTTGAATTTTTAGGATGAAAAATTGATGGTGAAAAAAAATTGTTTAATTAACCAAATTGACTTTTTAACAGCGCACAGTTTTTTAGAGTTTATATTTAATGTCATTATTAAATTATATAATCTTTATTTATTTGCTATAAAAAAAAAACAACAAAATATATAGACACAAAAGAGCGCCAATAGAGTCGATTTTTTTTTTCTAATTGTTGGTAGAAGAAAAAAATGACTCATGGCAAAGGAAAGTGAGTAGAAAATGTGTGTGAAAGGGCAAAAAATATCGCGATATTTACTTTCATCATTCATTCATTGTAATTGTATTGAATTTTACGTATAAAAACATTAATATATATATATATATATATATATATTTAATAGATTGTAATAAATGTGTAAAATAAATGAGATATAGTGTTTTTTGGGATTGTCGCCAAAGACTTTTTTCCTCATTTTTCTCTCTCACTTCGCAATCGTTTATTCACCCTTTTAAGTATAAAAAAGACAACAAACTCTTACATCAAATACTCTCTGCGTCTGTCACTACTTTTGTTCACAAGCACGCTGGAATCTCAGAGGTTGAAGCCACAGAAATCCACTTAGACGAGTGGATAGGAGGCCGCTGAGGCGATGCCGCAGTGATTCTCCTTGTTCCTGGCCATCTTCACGTAGCCCTTGTCACCCCAGGATGTGCCCCAGGAGTTCTTCACCAGCCAGTAGTCCTGGCCATCCTCATCCGTGCCATAGCCCACCGCCAGGACGCCGTGATCCAACTGATCTGGGCTGCACTCGGGATCGTAGTACACGCCGCTGGAGTAGAGCTGGAAGGACTCGTGGCTAGCATCAATGGCAACCGACACAGGCCCGACCGTGGCGATGGCCTTCATCAGCTTCTGCTCGTCACCCTGCGGAATGTCCGAGAAGCCCTTGTCCGTGGCACCGCGATTCTTCGGATTGTAGCGACACGTGTCATCCACACCCTCATATGGATACGACTTCTCCGTGTCAATGCCACCATTATCCTTGATGTACTGGAAGGCATAGTCCATCAGACCACCATTGCAGCCATCATTGCCATACGAGCCCGAGCAATCCACCAGATTCTGCTCGGACAGCGACACCAGCACGCCCGACTTCCGGAAATGCTGCCCCTCCAGCGCCCCCGTGGCGGAGAAGGACCAGCACGAACCGCAGTGTCCCTGATCCTTCACACCCGTCACGGCGCCTTTCGAACGCCAATCCACCGTTCCGGGAACCTCCACATTCGCCGGCTCGATGAACGTTACGCCCGCGTCGACGCGATGCTCAGTGATTTTGTTGCTGCAAAGAAGAGAATCTTCCTTAAGTTATTCCTGACAAGAAATTTGTGATCAAATTGAGGAAAAGATCACAGAAAAATGTTGATTTTAACGAGTTTTTGGAATTGATTGAAGAAAAGATCAATTAAATGTCATCAGGAAGATTTCCATACAGATCAACCTCTTTATTACACAATCAAAGTTCCTCGCCTTCCCCTAAATGTTGCCTTTATTCGATATTCGATCGTCCAAGAGAAAATAAACACTTTGCTTTCGATTGAGTTCCAATAAAATTTGTCAACTCTGCAGTCATTTATCTCTTTTCTACGTAATCAAATGTTTATTATTTTTTTGCTTGTTCTGTGAATCACATTTTCCTCATTTTTCCAATACAAACCGTGTCACATTGAACTTCCCCAAAAAGAAATGAGAATTGAAGAAAAAAAAACTGACTCATTAGCATTTTTTTTCTTCTGTCTCAGCAAATTCAGCCCGAAAATTAGCAAATTGGAACAAAGTTGATGAAATTAGTCCAAATTGAAATTTGCCAATAAACCACTCACTTGAATGCCGTCTTATTGTAGCCATTCAGCTTCCCAACGAACTCATGATGCAGCAAATCGGCGTACTTGTTCAGGCCCAGCTTGAACGTGACCTTTCCCTCGGCAAATCTCTGATTGTGACGCGCAATTTTGTGCTTGTTGTCTTTGAATATCTCAAAACGCATGCGATCTTCGTTCACATCTCTGTACTGCTTCTTGTGATGAGCCTAAAAACATAAGTGAGAGAGACAGTGAGAAGAACAAAGAGAAAAACGCGTCCAGTTGTGGCGAATGGTGATGAAAAAAAAAGAGATTCGATTCCGCGAAAGATGATGTAATATGAGTAGAATTATTGCTCTTTGACGCCTCTCGCTTTTCTCTCTTGCTTTTCCTTTGCAATTCTGTGCACTGATAAGGCCGGAGATCACATGAATCACTGCGTGCGCGTCTCTTGGATTGCGCGCCTGCTGGCTTTGTCCTTATCAGCAAGGCAGGGACGCCCAGAGAGGCGGAAATAGAACATGTTGTGACTCTTGCGCTCTGTGGAATTCCAGAGTCCTCTTGATTGGGCGTCATGTGAGTGAGAAATCTGGAGCACAATCAATGCTAATGCCTTCAAGATGTGACCACAAAAAAAATTGCAGTGACGTAGAATCAAAATAAAATCAAAAATTCTATTCTTTTTTATTTTTAATTCAGAGAAAATTTAATTAGAGACTTGTGACTAAGAAAAAAACCGGAAAAACACTGACATCGCCTTCGTCTCGGCTGATTTAGAGGTCAAATCAGCCGATTTAGTGCGACTTTTAGTGTTTTAAAGCAAATTTATCACTGATTTTCATACTACAAAACTGTTTTCTTACGTTATTGAAGAGTTTTTGACCAAAAAAGCCGAAAAATATACCGAAAAAAAACACTGTAAAAATAAAAGGTTATTGACTTGCATTAGTTCTTGCAAAATTCAAAAATTCCACACAAAATTGAGCATTAAACAGATTTCTGCTATCCAACACTACGCCACTGGTTGGGGCTTATCAGGAGGTTGTTTATATTGCAAAAGCTGAGATGAGTAGAAAACTGCCCACATTCACTAAATAAAGACCTTTATCTTTAGAAAGCTATTTGGGCGTAAATTCAAGGGTTATGTTTAACTTTTCCTATGAAAGTGTGGACAAAGAGTAAATATTTTCCCCTCCAAGCTTGATTTGTGCTGATTAGGAAATCATTATCTCTGGGGTGATTCACCAGACAAATTGCAAGGGGTTCGCGGAGGGTTTTTCTGCTCACCTTGAACGCCTTCCACTCCTCCATGGCCAGATCGAAGAAGGAAACAGCCTCCGAGGCGGCGATCACAGCCAAAAGGATCAAGCCCACGACCTTCATCTTTATTGTCTGTCACACTGAAAATGTGAGAAAGAAGCCTCTTATCAGTACAATTGCAGCCCCAAAACTGTCGTGAAATCGATAAGCTTCGCTCTGACAAGAAAAAAACAGACGCAATGAAAATGAAGAGCAACAAAGCAACTTTTTTCTTTTACAAAGTCTCTTTTCACTAAATTGATGATACGCAAATGAGGGATTCACACAAAGAGTGTGCCTAAATCGCCAATAAACAAGCTATTTTTGTTGTTTGTAGGGAACAGAGAAATTTGGCATTTAATATAATTGCGCAGCGCTTACAAAGGGAAATCCCACGAAAATTCACTTACCGAGTAAATTAACTTCACTGGAATAAACACACTTCAACTATTCGATCTTCAATGCGCGAATGCCAGAGTAATAATGAAGTGAAACTGAAGGAGTTTCTCAAGATCGGTCCGTTTTTAAATTGCTAATTTCTTTGTCACCACTTGACAGTTATCATATGACGCGCCATTTTGCAGATAACATTCGACGTGCGTCACTCGTTCCGGAATCACGCCGCCGCCGAATTTGCATCCCAGCATACCGATAACATCACGCCCAGAGTTCAATGGGAATTTTGGAGAATTCCTGGAGGAGTTTGAGATAAAATGAGTCACATGTGACTGTACTCAGACTGAGTACAATTATTATCAGTGTAAAAAAAACACGGAAAGAAAATAGAAAATAAAGTGAAGTTGGCTGCATTCGACCAGCTGTTTCCGGAGTTGGAAGTTTTTTCGGTTTTTCGCGTAGAGCCAGGAAAAATGGCGTCGGGGCAGTGCGATTTGGATGCAAAAACACGGGAAAGACTGCTGGAGAGGCAGAAATTCCGATTGGCGATGCGAGAGGAGTACCTGAAGCAGGCGACAAATCCACACAGGGTTGCCGGCGGTGGCTCAGTCGTGAGTAGATGCAATTCTCCCTGCGCTTTAACCTCTATTGGTTACATCACACTGTTTTTTTCACGCTCTTCTGCGCCTTCTCCGGGAGCAGTTTGACCAGGGACTCCAGAGATTCGCAGCCGCTCGGGTGACGCAGTACGATCACTTCAAGCCCAACTTCAAGACGACGCGAAAGGGCTTCTTCCTGGTGGTGCTACCGATCTTCTTTACTGCCTGGCTGTTCAAGTCGGACCGTGACCGCAAGGAGCACCAATATCGCACTGGGCAGGTGTCCTACCGCGACCGCCAATTCAAATTCGTTTAAATTATAGATCAGTGTATTAGAGTGCCTAGTAAATGTTCACTTCTCCTCAAGCTGCTTATCCCTGGCGATGACATGATCCTCAAACTTCACCATGTACGTGGTGCCTTTGTGCCAGTGCGCGGACACTTTGCACGGGAAGCCACAGTTGGTGAGGACGGCCTCAATGATGCCCGCCGTGAAGGTGGCACAGTTGAGAGAGCCCTTATCCTTGGGCACACTGATGAACTTGTTCACCAGTGGCTCCTTCTCGATGATATAGTACGTCCTCTCGTCGTCGTTCGCGTGCTCCAGCTTGTCCGCCTCCCTGCCGAACAGACACTTCCAGCACGTTGTCTTGATGAACAGCAGCATGTTGATCAGCTTGGTCTCCCGCTTGGAGTTGCGCTCGCGCACAAAGTACAGATCTATTATTCGCACCCCGACATCCTGGCCCAGGTCATGAAGGCGATTCTGGAGCTCCGCCACCGTGTAGACGCGACTCTGTGAATACTGCACCAGCTCGGAAAACAGCAATGCGAAGCAGTTGAGGGACACTTCGCCCTTCCCACGCGACAGTGGCTTGTCCAGGATGCTCGTCCGCGGACGATTGGAGGCAATGTTGATGCTCATCTCTGGGAATCAGACGACTTTCCACAGGAGCCTCACGAAAAATCCACTTTTGACTATCAAAACACAGGCGCGCGCAGTGCCATCTGGTGGTGTCATACTTTGATTTTGCAAAAGAGCGGGAATTTCATCTACACTTTTCAACTCCACGCACTTTATTCTAGCCAGAGAATCTCTGATCTGTCCTCCTCCTTTGTTAGCTGACTCTGAGATCATTCGCCACTCGTGATGTGTACACATCATAGCCCAGAGAGATGGTATTGTCGTACAGCACACGGTATTTCGGCGACAGCCACAGGAAGTTGATGATCTGCGCCGGTGGCCAAACAATCCACTCTGCCGTGTACAGCCTTATGAATTTCTGCTTCATCTCCTCTATTATCTCCTCGCCGGAGTGTCCCTCGAGCGCTCCGAGAGTGATGAACAGCGTGGAGATGACCAGAGGAGAGCCAATGATCTGATCCAGCACCACCTTCTTCAACACCATTCGCAGTGTGCGACCCGGCAGGAAGCCATCGATGAAGTTGTACCAATAGTGACACACCACACCTACTGTGATGCCTGTGACTCCCATCCGGACACTCCGTCGACGATCCCACGCCGGATGCTGGCCAAACTTCTTCTGGTAGTGCTGCTCCAGCACATCTCCGACGCCCGAGAGTGTCATGGAGATGGCGACATTTGTGAACACCAGATATCTTATGCTGAACGCCTTGCGATGAATGGCTGATAGTCTCTGCAGCGCTGGGGCGCGTGAGAGCGCCTTCACTGCCTCCCGCAACATTATCTGCACGTGATGTAACCCAACTTCATGCGGTGTCTGCAAGAAATACCCACAAAATCGCAGTGTTTACTTATCATTTCACGTAACTCTCCCAGCAGAGAACCAACAGATTCTATTTGCAGAGCAAATTCTCCTTAAAGAGTCTTATTTTCGCGGAAAAATCCATAAGAATATCGAGGGCAGCAAAAACTTGCGGAAACCTGAGAACGTCAAAGTAAAACTAACCTCACTTTATTCAGTGACAACGCGCACGGAAAATCCTCGTGAAAATGCACAGCCTGAGGAATATCTCGAGAATCAGCTACTCCAGCTGGCGCAGTGTCATCCACGGATGTCGACTGAGCAGTGCAGCGGCCGCGCCAGAGGTGGAAAGAGTGGTGAAAATGCAATTGCCGCCACAGGAAGGTTCCAATGCACCGGAGAATCCCAAACTCGTGAAGCTGGTGAACGAGATTGCTGCCCTCAATCTGCTAGAGGTCTCCGAGCTCAGTGGGCTGCTGAAGACGAAGCTCAACCTGCCGGACGCCTCGTTCATGCCGATGGCAGGTGTGGGAGTGGCCGCAGCGGCGCCGGCTGACGAGGAGGAAGTGGCCACCAAGGTTGTCCAGACGGCGTTCAAAGTGAAGCTGATGAAGTTCGACGAAAAGCAGAAAGTGGCCCTCATCAAGGAGGTGAAGAACCTGCTGGAGGGCATGAATCTGGTGCAGGCGAAGAAGTTCGTCGAGAGCGCTCCGGCGCTGGTGAAGGAGGATATCCCCAAAGATGAGGCGGAGAAGCTCAAGGAAGCCTTAACGAAGGTGGGCGCAGAGATTGTAATTGAGTAATTTGGACTTATTGCACTAGAAATAAAGGATATTTAGTCATTTGTACAGCGACTGTCTTGCTATCCGGAAAGGCCAAAAGCGAGCATTTGCGATTTTTCCACAAATGTTTAAAGGGACTTTTCTCTGTATTTCAGCGATTTCTGCTCTGTTTTCATATTGTGATAAAATATCCTTGTGGCTCTAAACAAAAGACAGTCACTGTATTTTTTTCTTCATTCATCTGCATCTTAGCCAAGACACAAATACGTTTTCTGATGAGAATTTGACTGTTCAAATTGGATAAATCGAAGGATCCTATGAGAAACAAATAGATCCCAGTGGAATAATTTTCACTCTCGACATCAATAAGCAACATTTTTACTACAATTTCTCGCTCATTTTGATAAAAAAGTACGTCTAGATATTTTGCAACGGTCTAACGGTCTTCGGAAGTCTAGCGGAATTCGCCATTGATTGAGCTGCAAAAACTCCCTCTTCCGGAGCGGCATTTTTCGTTCACTTTTCGTCCATTTGTCACGACTGCGGAGAGAGCGTCGCCGATTTCTCGAGGTAAGATCAACAATTTACCCCACATTTTCCACCCCAATGGGGCACCTCTGTGTGCCCCAGTGCTGCCCTGGGATGTCTGGCACAGGTGATGCGTGAAGATTCGCGTGGAATTTGCCCCGCGCTGGGGTTTTTGACCCTCTTTCGTGACCCCTTCTTGGCACACACACCAACCGACATGTGCTTGGCATCCCAGCAATTTAATTGCGCACTTTGCTTTCCTCAGCTTTCTGGGTGGGATTCCGTTCGGATCGTGTTGCATGAGACTGCTCAGGAGTGTGACGGAGTGATTCACGTGAGTGTGTGATTGTGTCTCTTTGCAGATTTGGTCAGGAAGAGAAAAGGACTCATTGCTGTGCAGAAATCATGTCTGAGGAGAATCAGGACAAATCACTCGTGGATGCGGGTGCGGAGTCTGATGGGGAGACAGAGGAGAAGGGTGGCTTCAACAGCTTCGTGAATTCGTGAGTAACACATTAAGGGTGGTTGCAAAATGCGGTACAGATGACATAACCTCACTCACTCTTTTCCGGACACAGACCGGCCTTTCTCTCGGGCATCATGCGTCGCCAAGTGTTGCAGGTGATGGTGAAATCCCTGCCGGAGAATGTCCAGAAGCGCGTGAAGGCGCTGAAGAATCTGCAGCTGGAGTATTTTGACATCGAGACGAAGTTCTACGAGGAAGTGTATGAGCTGGAGAAAAAGTATCAGGCGCTCTACACGCCAATTCTGGACAAGCGACGAGACATTGTCATGGGCACGTATGAGCCGTCGGGGAAGGAGGTGGAATTTGCGTCGGATCACGAGGATGACGATGATCTGGCGGAGAAGATGAAGGAGTTGAGTTCGGACATGAAGGAGACGAAGAATGACTATCCGGCCGATGTCAAGGGCATTCCAGACTTCTGGCTGAAGATCTTCCGCAATGTCACACTGATTTCGGACATGGTGCAGGAGCACGATGAGGTGTTGCTGCGGAAGTTGCGCGATGTGAACATCAAGTATGCGGATGAGGGCATGAGTTATATCCTGGAGTTCTTCTTTGAGCCCAATGAGCACTTCACCAATGAGGTGCTGACGAAGCAGTACTTCCTCAAGGCGGCCATCGAGAAAGATGACCCGTTCAGCTTCGAGGGCACGGAGATCTACAAGTGCGTGGGCTGCGTGATAAATTGGAACAAGGGCATGAACCTCACGGTGAAGACGATTCGCAAGAAGCAGAAGCACAAGGCGCGCGGCGCCGTGCGAACCATCACCAAGCAGGTGCCCAATGACTCATTCTTCAACTTCTTCACGCCACCCGAGGTGCCCGAGGACGAGTCGAAGATCGATTCGGAGAATGAGAATCTGCTGGCCAGTGATTTCGAGATTGGTCACTTCCTGCGCTCGCGCGTCATCCCCAAGGCCGTGCTGTACTTCACCGGCGACGTGGTGGACGAGGATGAGGATGATCTGGAGGAGGAGGAGGAGGAAGAGGGCGAGGAGGATGACGAGATGGAGGGCGAGTGTGACAAATATATGGACAAAATTGGCGGCGGCAAGAAGGAACATCCGCCGGAATGCAAGCAACAGTAGACATGCTGCTGAAGCTTATCCCAGCTCTTCTTCATCTTTTTCGGGGAAATTGTGGGTCGTCTGAAGAAAATTAAACGCGTCTTTTCTTTGCCAACATCACACAACCACACACACACACACACATTCCTGACCATCTCGGAAGGTAAATCGCGATCCTTTTCAATCTTTGGCCATCTGTCTCTCTCATATCACTTGGATTCAACAATTGTAATTGTCATTGTTCGAAGAAATTTCATTTTGTGAATAAATATCGGTTTCCGAAATGAATTTGGCGCAAAAAGTTTGCTTTTTCATTAGGTTTGAGAACAGTTTTCTGCATCGCCGCTGCATTTTCACCATTTCACGCTGACTTGCGGAGCGATTTGGTAAATATTGGTAAAACTGGTAAATAAACATTCATCTTAGTATTTCATTAATTCTTATTCTCCAATAAAAATTGTGAGATATGCTTGGCAAAACGGAAATAACAAGGAAAATTCTTGCAATTTTACAAATTAATTAAAGAGTTACCAATTAAAATCAATCATTTTTTCTCAGTGTGAACACATTTCGGACCAGAAAAATCAAGCATGTTGAAGACTTCGAAGTATTTGTGCAGAATTTCTCCAAATTACTTGAGGTAAGTTGCTGCAATCCTTCTAGAGATCAAGCAAAGATGTTTCCACGGTGGTTTTCGTTGGAAAATCTCTTCGCAGAGTGGCCGGAATGAGTCAATTGGGTGATTTGGGCAGTGGAGCTGGAAAAGGTGGCGGTGGCGGCGGAAGTATCAGAGAAGCGGGAGGATCTCTTGGGAAGATGGAAGCTGCCAAGGAAGAAGAGTATTTCTACAGAAAAGTATGTCTCTTATTCAAATTATCACACAATGGAAATTGTCGTCTGAGGAAAATTTGTGTGTTATTTTCAGCAACGGGAACAGTTGCAAAAGGTCAAGGAGGCTCAGGTCAAAGAGGAAGGCCATCGCGATGGAAGTCCTGGCAAGACATCCAAGTAGAGGAGGACTGATGACAACCGTCACGCAATCATAGCATTTTAGGAAAATTGTAGGCTTTTCATATATTTGCTATTTTCTCCCATAAATTTCACACATTTCACAAAGTGCGGTTATGTTTGGTGGTTTTCAATTTTCGCGCCATCTGCATTCGTTAAGTTTTTTTTGTGGCTCTGCGACGCGGTGACGGCAGAAATGGAAATTTTGTGAAAGTCACCACCAGAAGCCCTCTTCACTCCATTCCCTACTGCTTCCTGTTCATTTACGTTGTTGCTTTTGTTGCTATTGGGTGCCTCAACATGCCCCGCAGACGGGAAACAGCTCAGAATCAGGTGAGAAGGCGGTGTTTATGGGCGATGAATGGCGAGGAAACAAAACACTCTCGTGACTTCTTCGATTCCAGGGCAAGGCCGGAGAGATTTTCCGCGGCATTGCGTGGGGCATCTTCACACAGATCATCATCATACTGCACATTCTCATCGATAAGGTGCTGGAGACGGTGCTGGAGTGGTATTGGAAGGAGAAGAAGACGTGCAGCTCGCTGAGGGAGAACTTCTTCGTCAGCAAGAGCGCCACTGAGATTGCCAATCTTATCCGGAACGGTGAATTGACATCATATCAAGTCGTTAAGGCCTATATTGATCGCATGAGAGAGGTGAGTTTATTGGGCAATTTGACCTCTCTGTGCTGGATTTGTTGGCAAACCCGTTAGCGCAGTTCCGTTCCGAAAATAGTGAATCACTTCGTGAAGCAATTACAGCAATTCTCTGTCACTTTTTCTTCGCGTAGGTGAATCCGCAGATAAATGCCGTTGCGGATGGTCCCTTCGAGAGTGCCCTCGCGGAGGCGCAGCAGATTGATGAGCGACTGGAGAAGGGCGAAGTGACGGCCAAGGAGTTCTCTGAGAAGCCCTTCCTGGGCGTTCCCTTCACCACCAAGGACAGCACTGCCGTGGAGGGCGCCCTGCACACTCTGGGACTCATCTCAAGGCGCACCGCCAGGGCGACGGAAGACGCCGAGTGTGTGAGACTGATGAGAGAGGCCGGAGCTGTGATGATCGCCACAACGACTGTCCCGGAGGTGAACAGGTGGCAAGAGACGCGCAACAATGTCACGGGCATTACGAATAATCCCTACGACCTGCGCCGCACCGTGGGCGGCTCGTCAGGCGGCGAGGCTGCAGTGATCAGCGCCTGTGGAAGTGCCTTTGGAATAGGTTTAACACTCTTTCTTATCAACTGTGCCCCGTAACGTCCATCCGGTTCTCTTCCACACGCACACACACACACACTATCTCTAGTCCCTTTCGCTGTCCAATCCCTCGCGGGATGCGTCAATTTCTCAGTACTTACAAATGCCTTAATATTAATCAAAGTGTGATTGTTAACTGAGCACAAAATGTTGTGCAATAAATTCTCTATTACATTTGCAAAAAAAAAGTTTCTCTTTCCGTTGACACTCTGGCTTATGTTTGTATCTTGCAGGAACTGATATTGGCGGATCCATTCGCATGCCGGCCTTCTACTGTGGCATCTACGGACACAAGCCCACTTCGGGACTGGTAAACATGCGCGGATGCACCTTTAGGACGGGCAAAGAGCGATCCACTATGGTTGTGGCGGGACCAATGACGAGATACGCTAAGGATTTGCTGTCCATCTTCAAGGTGTGGTGTCTCTTGGCATGATATTTCGTCTCGGATCTCACCATCTTCCCTTGACTCTCTTTGCAGGTTCTCGTTGGACCCAAGCTCACATCCACGCTGGAGCTCAATGTGAAGGTGAATGTGAAGAAGCTGCGGTACTTCTATTGCTCGTCAATTGAGGATCTCAAGGTGGCGAGAGTGAATGGTGAGATGATGGGTGCACTGAGGCGGGCGATCAATCACCTGGACAGTGTCGGTGAGCGTCCCTGCACGCAAATCACTATTCCGCACACGGAGATGGCAACGAAGCTGTGGCGCTATTGGATGCGCAAGGAGCCGCAGGGCTTCGACATGCTCCTGGGAAATGGCACACAAGTGAACGGAGTGGTTGAGCTGGTGAAGAAGATCCTCGGACAGAGTGACTTCACGCTGGCGTCGATTTACTCTCTGCTGGATGGAATGTTGCCGGCGGGGAATCAGGCAAAGCTGGAGGGCATCACGAGGACAATCATCAGTCACTTGAAGGATCTCCTTGGGTATGATGGAGTGCTGCTGGTGCCCAGTGCTCCCAGCACGGCCGGCTTCCACTACTCCGCCCTCGTGCAGGTGTACAAGTTCAGCTACTGGAGCCTCTTCAACTCCCTCCATCTGCCCACCACGCAAGTGCCGCTGGGCATGGATTCCAAGGCGCTGCCGCTGGGACTGCAGATCGTGGCAGCGCCCAACTGTGACCGGCTGTGCTTAGCCGTAGCGGAGGAGCTGGAGACTGCCCTGGGCGGTTGGACGGCGCCCTTCACGGCGGCCTCTTAAGCATTCCTACGAAATGGTGATGGTATTAACACTGTAGAATGATCGTGCTTGATCGGCATTTATTGCTTCAACAGGGATTTAAAATAAATAGCCTCTTCCATGCAGTTGCTCTACTGAATTGTCCGATGATTTTCAACCTCTCTGGCGCGCCTCCTCGCTCTGGTGGCTCACGAGGGCGTAGTAGAGTCCCCGCTTGGCCGTGAGCTGCTCGTGCGTGCCCATCTCAACGATACGCCCGTGATTTAGCACCACAATCAGATCGGCATTGCGAATGGTGGACAATCTGTGGGCAATGACGAGAGTCGTGCGATTCTGCACCGCCTGATCGAGAGCCTTCTGCACCTCAGCCTCACTCGTGGCGTCCAGGGCGCTCGTGGCCTCGTCCAGAATCAGCACCGTGGGCTTCTTCAGAAGCGCCCGCGCAATGGCGATCCTCTGGCGCTGACCACCGCTCAACTGCACGCCGCGTTCGCCCACGTGCGTGTCATAGCTGTCCGGCAGGTCGCGGATGAAGTCATGGCACTGCGCCAGGCGCGCCGCCTCGAATACCTCGTCGTCCGTGGCGTCGGGGCGGCCGTACTTGATGTTGTCGAAGATGCTGGTGGCGAAGAGGATGGGCTGCTGCTCGATGAAGCCGATCACGTGGCCGCGTAACCACATGGGCGAAATGTCGGAGAGCTGGAAGCCGTCCAGCTCAATGGTGCCGCTGCTGGGCTCGTAGAAGCGCTCCAGCAGAGCAGCCACGGTGGACTTTCCAGATCCACTGGCGCCCACGAGAGCCACAGTCTTGCCGGGCTCGAGTGTGAGGCAGAAGTCCTTGAGAACCGTCTGCTCTGCGCGCGTGGGATAGGCAAAGGAGACGCCGTGGAAGCGAATGTGGCCCTTGAGCACATCCGACGGGATGCTGAGGCCGCGCTCCAGGTGCACCTGAGGAGAGATGGCCAGGTAGTCGAACACACGCGTGCCGGCGGCCATGCCGCGGATCACGGAGCCCAGCAGAAGGGAGCCCTGCGTCAGGGATCGCTGCACACCTTGGGCAGCCACGAGAAAGGCCATCAGCTGGCCGGCAGTTAGTTGATTCGTGGACATGAGATAGCCGCCGCACAGCAGAGTCGATGCCACCATGCCGTTGAGCATGAAGTTGGTCAGAGCCTGGAAGACGGCGATACCAGAGCCGAGATTCTGCGCCAGTGTCGCCGCCTCATTCGTCTCACGCTCAAACACCTCCGCCTCCTGATACTCTGACGCATTGGAGCGCACCGTCCGGATGTTGGACAGCGCTTCCTCGCACACGGCGGTGGCCTTCTCCGTCTGTGCCAGTGTCTTCTTGCTGAGGGCGCGCAGCGACTGGCCCAGCATGGAGAACATGAGCACGACGGAGGGCACAGAGATCAGCGCCACGCCCGCCATGTGGGGCGATATGGCGACAAGGGATATTCCGCCGCCGATCAGCTGGGCGGCGCAGCGCAGTCCCTGCGAGATGCACTGCTTGAAGGAGGATTTGAAGTCATGCACGTCCGTCGTGAGGCGATTCACGAGTTCTCCCGTGCGATTGCGATCGAAGAAGGCCAAGTCCTGGACAATGATCTGCCGATAGAGATCTTGCTTTATTTGGGCGGCCATATCTTCGCCAATCTGACTCAGCAGGATGATGTAGAAGAAGGTGAAAAGTGACTGGAGGCCGTACAGGCTGAAGAGATGGAAGCCAGGACGGCGAATATCGGCAAGGAATTCACCCAGGGTTGTTTTCACTGTGGCGCCACCGATTCCAGCGTACTTGGACAGCGTGTTGACGAACACACCCAGGAAGATGGGGATCTTGATGTTGAGATATGCCACAACTATGGCGGATATCACAGCGCCCAGGAGCTTGAGGAAGTGCGGCCTGAGATAGCTCCAGAGTCGTCTCCAGTCAAACTGGTGCGGGATTTGCTGGACCGGCGCCGCGGCCTGGCATTTGACATTGACCTGGCCAGTGCGGAGACAGTGCAGGGATAGGAATGTACCTCCGCCAAGGGTGACACCGTACGCAAGGCGTGGGATGGAGGATTTCTCCGCAGCGCGTGTCTTCTTGCAGAGATTCACTCTGGATCGCAAGAGTGTGGTTCTATTGAAGTGGAATGTGTGCATTAGACATCGTTCAGGAATTGTGCAGGACTGACAGCACTCACCTGAGGCTCTTTATCTCCCGACAGAGGGAATTCCTGAGGAGGAGGTACATTTTCCTGACCTCTTCCTGGCCACTTGACGAAGACACTGAACGAAAGTGTCACTCGTCAGTCACGCATAACCTCACATTGTGAGATCAAAACAAGAAAGTTTTCTCCGTGATTTTTGTGCATTTTCTTGGGATTTCCGTCACTGCTGAGACATGCCAAAGATTCGACGGAGTCGCAAACAGCCCCCAGATGGATGGGAGTTGATTGAGCCCACGCTGGAGGAGCTGGAACAGAAGATGCGCGAAGCGGAAACGGAGCCACACGAAGGGAAGCGCATCAATGAGAGTCTGTGGCCCATCTTTAAGATCCACCACCAGAAGTCCCGCTACATCTATGACCTCTTCTACCGGCGGAAGGCCATCAGCAGAGAGTTGTACGAGTACTGCCTGAAGGAGAAGATCGCCGATGGGAATCTCATTGCCAAGTGGAAGAAGTCCGGCTATGAGAATCTCTGCTGCCTGCGCTGCATCCAGACGAGGGACACCAACTTTGGCACCAACTGCATCTGCCGCGTGCCCAAATCGAAGCTGGAGGAGGGCCGAGTGGTGGAGTGCGTCCATTGCGGCTGTCGCGGCTGCTCCGGATAATGCTGTCCAGCCGTCAGGCGCTGGGGATCACAATAAAGACGCAAAGGATGAGGATAAAGCGTTTATTTATAGAGGAAGACATTCCCAGAATTTGGATTAATGTAAGTACACTTGTTTTTTTTCTTTTAATTTTCAACCATTTGATGGCACTTGATCACTCCTCCTCCTCCTTCTCTGCATCCAAATATCCTGTGTTTGTGTCTTATTGGCCAGCGATCTGAAATGAAGATCAAAGAGTGCGTTGGAAGGATTCTCTGGGGACTTTTTGGGATTAGTTTCTCACCACAAGCAGATTTCCACTCTTGGCTTTGGTAATACTCGGTTGAGGACCCGTTTGGATCTCGATTGTTCCTGTTTTGCCCCTTATCAGATTGTGCATGATCCTATATGAGAGTGGGAAAAAAGCAATTCAGCATAAAATTATTGGGAAAAATGAATGGAATTCCTTGGCGCTTCATCGGCCAAATAAATTGAAATGTTATGCGTGATTTGCGCGCGCGCTTAGTGAAATTTCTGGGTCATTGAATAAAGCACAGACGGTGCATTTCCACCTGAACTCCAGGTTGCAAATTGACTGGGAATATATCGCGATGGTGTATTGTTTGCAAAATATAATAATAACTCACGATCCCGTGTCCACAATGGTGAGGATTTGGCGCCTCTTCGTCACGTCCAAGATCCAAATGCAACACTCAATGATCTCTGGCACAGTGACAATCAGGTCACCCTTGTCCTTCTTCATCTCCGGCGGAATGCGGACAATCAGGACGTTATCAGCCTCATTGGACACGCAAAAATCAATCTTATCCAATGGCAATCGGTGCTTCTGCTTGTACGACTTGCTGTCCAGGACGTAGAGGGCTTTCTCGCTCAGCAGAAATATCCTATCGCGCGGCTTGTAGCCGCGACGGTCGTACTTCACCACTGCCGTGACATATCTCAGTGTCTCCGAGCCGAAGTGCATCGTGACGAAGTTGTTCACCTGCGTCATGTGCTCCTTCCCAATTCGCTCGTCCACAAACCAATTCCCCACGCTGCTCCTGTAGTTCTTCTTGTGCCCCTTGAACACACTCTCGGCGAGAACCTTCAGCTCCAGCTGGCGCTTTCGCTCCTTGCTCAGCGACAGCCTGTAGACTCTGGCCAGGTGCAGGCGATGCATCTTGCGCAGCAGATGCGACCCTTCGGCACAGTGTGTCGGATAGGTTGGCCAGGTGTGGTGCAGAAGCTCCTCCGGGAGGCTTTTGGCCAGGCGCAGCAGCCATTGACGCTTGGCGTGCGCAATGAAGGATTCATTGAAGGAATTTGGTGGTCCATTGCGCGTGATGAAGCCATGAATGAAGGCTCTGATCTTCTGTGCCGCCTCACGACGTCGCTGGACCTTCTTGATGGCCAGATAGCGCCTGATGTACTTCTGTATGCCAATTGTCTGCTGGCGCAGCTTCAGATACGCCTTCCTCTGTTGCCTGCCCTTCCAGCGGGCCTGAATGATGGCCGCCAGATTGTGCTTCTGTGCCTGGAAGGCGTCCTCGGTGGCGAACAATGTGGCTGGATAGCGGATAAATATCTTCGTCTTGCCCATGCGGAATTCGTCGGGCTTGTAGCCGAGCGTGTTAACGAGAATCTGCACGCCATCCTTGGCGGCACCACGATAGTGTGGCCACGTGTCACGACTGAGACATTTGTAGCGCTCCAGGAACATCTCATAGCGTCGTCGATAGGCGAAGCCGGCTCGTCTCACACGGAGATTCTCCATGAGGCCCAAATACTTCACCTGATGACGCACCAGCTCATCGTCAAACTGCCCAGACGTCTGCAGGTCGTTGGGCTTGATGCAGCGAATGTACGATGGCTCCTTCACCATGAGAATGTCCATGAGGTTGTTGAGGCTGTTCTTGAACTGCGTCACCGCTGTGTCTGGTCGCTTCTTGCTCCTGAACTCAGACTCTGGGAAGCATTTTCTATACAAATGGAAAAGGAAAACACGATCTATAAAACACCTTATCTTTGTCACTGTGATAAAGTCTCTGCTCTCTCTCACCTGGTGATACTATTTGTCGTCTCGGCCATGACCTCCTTCAGATCCCTGAACAGCAGATCATTGTTCTTGTCCAGGAAGCCCGTGACGTTGTACGTGACATCGCCGGCATAGTGAATGAGACGGAACTCATCTCTGCCCATGATCTTCTGCACAGCCACGGAGGCTTTGTTGTGACAGAGATAGTGCGGATGATCACCCAGTTGATTGTTTGTCTTGGCCAGGAAGCTGAGATCCGTCGGATCGCCAGGACGAAGGCACTCTTCATCCATCAGTGCAATAATGCCTTTGTGCTTCTCCTCGATCAAATTGCAGATGATGCGATTGTCAAAGTACTCCACAGGTTCCCATTCGATGCCCTCCTTGAAGTACTCCTCCTGTTCGGACTTTAGTGTCAGCTCAATGAAGAGTTGCTGCAGCTTCTCATTGCAGAAGTTGATGCAGAACTGCTCAAAGCTATTCCTCTTGAAGATTTCAAAGCCATAGATGTCCAGGATGCCCATGACATTATTCTTCCGACTGCTCTGGCCACTCTTGAGGGACTCATTGATGCGCAAGACGAGCCAGGTGAAGAGACGATCGTACACCGCCTTGGCCAGCGCGTCACGCGCATAAATGGCCATCTCGCGACTCAGTGGACTCGTGACAACGTCTCCTTGGGCGTCAATTGTCCTGTGTGTCAGCGCATGTGCGAGTTTCTCCTCCGGACAGCCGAGGAGCTTCGACACGGCCGCCACGGACTTGGGCTTGAGGATTGTGGCCTTGCCCTCCTCCTCGGTGAAGCCAACATTGCCCAGATGCAGCACACTGGCCACAATGTTGAGGATCTCACGCTGCTCCACATCAGAGATCTCCATCACAGCCATGGCGCGACGGATTTGGCTGAAGTTCTCGCCATCTCTGATCCTATCCACGATACCCTTGGCGCCATCCGTGAGGTAGTAGTACGTGTCCAGGTCACGCTTCAGCTCCAGCTCGCGCAGCAAATTCTCATCGCTGCCGGCGAGGAGTTGATAGAAGATGTGGAAGTTCCTTTCGCCGGCACTCTGGTGGATCACGCGTGACTTCTCCAGCAAGTAGTTGAGAATATTTCCACCCTCTGGGGCGCCCATGAAGTTGAACTGCACATCCATGTACTTCCCAAAGCGACTGGAGTTGTCATTCCTGTTGGTCTTGGCGTTGCCAAAGGCTTCCAGCACAGGATTGCTCTGCAGCAACTTATCCCGCACACTGTCCACCGTTGAGACATGACCCGAAGCGGCAGCAATGAATTGCAGGACCTTCTTCGACGCTTCTGTTTTGCCAGATCCACTTTCACCTGATCGACGAGAGAAACAGAGAGAGAGAGAGAGAATCGATGCGTGATTAGTGGTTTTAGCCCAGTTTTTGTGGCCTAAAAGTGCCAATAAAGATATGCTCAATTTGCTAACAATCTCGAGAGCGAGGGAGAGAAAGAGACTCACGCGAAGTGAACGGTGATAAGCAATCATTTTACAATCAATTGCATAATAAATTTAATTACTTGTAATAGAAGAGCGCCAAGATCGATATCAAGTCTTGAGAGTGAGATAGTAAAGTGGTCTCTTGAGAGTCTTTCCTTGAACTCACGCGGATTCTCATAGGCAAGCAAGCACACAAAAAACAAGGCATTCTCGAGAAGATCATTAGTCAGTAATTTTGCCGAGTTGCCTCTTAAAGAGAGGCGGCAAAGACAGAAAGAAAAAAAATCAGCAAAGAAGCGAAATGTGGATAAAAATGCGAGACTTCAGGATGATTTTTAGTTTGGAGATCATTGGGATCTTTGCCTCAATCGCTTCGGTTTGCTTCGGTAAATTCTCACCACTGTTTCCAAAGAATCTTTATCAGGTGAACAACATTGGTGATAAACTCTCCTCAAGTGTCTCAATAATATTACACAACAAGTGCCATTGAATTTATCTCGATTGTATTTGATAAAAAGTGGGTTTTGTTGATAAAATGGAGTGAAAAGTAGAAGTCTTACCTGAAATTAATATGCATTGCGCTCTGTTTTCACCCGTGAGCGATCTGTAGGCATTGTCACTGATTGCAAATCTGTGAAAAGAGACGCAAGTGAACAGGTATTTAGCACATCTCTAAAAGGCCTGCAAATAAAACATCATGACACATCATTGAAAATCCCATTGAAAGTCTTCGTCATTTAGTCATAAAACAACAATCTCTCAAAAGCGTCGATGATGCAAGGCAAAGAGTGATGTGCGCGAAAAGAAATGCTCTCACTGTAGAAGTATTTCTTTTAATTCACCAGCTCTTTTCCTCCTTGTTGATCGTGATAAAATTCCTACACTTTTATCTGTCCTCTTATGTTGTGTGTTGTGTTGTGTGATAAAATATATCACACACTTGCGCGCATTGGTCATATTGAGGGAACCAAGCAACTCTTTAATTCAATCCTCTCTCACCAACTGATAAGATACTGACGGGGGAATTGTTTCATATCAGCAACACACTGAAAAGGTTTTTGCCGTGAGAGCGATAATAAAGAAATCAATAAAACATTCGAAATTGATGCTCGTGGCGTTGAGAAAACCAGAAAAAATACAAGAGTTTCAATTTATAAATCATGAAAAACTTGCTCTCAACTTTTCAAGGTAAGAAGAAGAAGAAGAAGAAAAAAGTAGGTGAGAAATCTCTTTTTATTGGAATGTCTCCATTTGTCTGCGACTGTTCACAAAGTGATTGTTTCAATATTATTTTAATTTCAATCTCTCCACGGGTGAGAAAGTGACGCGCGATCACAATCTTCCGTTCTTTCTTTGGCCATGCGCACAGACACACAAGAAGAATTGACTTTGGGAAGAAAAGTGTGAATTTCATGAGGAGGCGCACTAATGAATGGGATTCTCATGAAATTTTCATCACACTCGCGCTGTTTATTTTAATTACTCAATTTGCTGAATGAATTCTTGTGAATTCTCTATCTCAATAGCGTGAATTTTCAGTTAAGAACATTAAGAATGTCCAGGTTTTGACGTGATTAGAATTGCAAGATTTGGTCCGAAGGGAAGACATTGAGATTTTGTGGTGTACATTATTATTTTTAAGAAGTTTTTCTCAGTTAAAGTCCTTCGATAGTCTGAAAGTTTGTGTGTTTTTATACGCAATATTAATTGAATTAAGTACAATGAGTGGTTTTCAGTACATTCGAAATGGAAGAATTTTAAATTTGTATTAGATTTTGAGTGTATTTTGAGCAACATTTTTATTTATTCAACTTCAGAACAAAGCAAAAAGTGACTTTTCTCAATAATAAAATCTTTCTTTGACAACTCTAATGCACAAAAATCACTATAAAATCCGTAAAGTGTTAAATTGTATGGTAATTGATTTGATAAAGCTTCTTCGCGGTGTACACATGACTTAGAGAGGTGTTTTCCTTGTGATTCTCTCATGAATTAGTTCAAATTCTGCCTAATGTCTTTCGAAAAGCATTTTCAACTGGAGTGATGAATATTTACTCACATGTGCGGCGGAGCCTCGAAGAAGTGCTTCTTCCTGTACTCACTAATCTCCTCCTCGGAGTATATTGGCAGCTCCTTGTAGGGATTGACGGAAATTAATACCTGTCCTATGTACGTCTGCCGAAGGAAAAAAAGGGGTGAGAAATTCAATATGCAATCGATGCTTGAGTGTCTGGGAATTTTGCCTTACATAAATAAGATTCTCTTGGAAGCGCTTCTTCACGTTGTCCAGGAAGGCGTCCTCGCTCTGGTAGTCCTCGAGGAGCACCAGATCCTGCAGGCCCACTTTGTCCCTGTCGTGCAGGCCCTTCTCCATGGTCGGGTAGGCGTAAGATGTTCTGTGCAGATGGAAAGATTGGACTTTAGAAATAGACGATGTAATCTCTCAAAATTACAAAATCACTCCTGTGGCTGATTTATTGATGACAGGGGGTTCAATTTTGTAGATTTTCTGACATAAATTTGTCTCTACTCTAGGCGAGGAAACAACTGTTTCTTCCGTTGTGTGTAAAACATCGCGTTATGAGAATGAATTGCTGCGTTTGAATAGATAAAATTCCAAAGTGTCTCAATAAATTCACACTGAATTGTCTTTCTTCTCCGGGCTTTCTTCTCACCCAGTCTTTTTTCACTCTCAGAGAGTCAGAGGAGAATGAAATAAAAAGGAGAAGAAGCAAAAAAAACGGGAGAAATGCGACGTGTTTTGACTGCAATTATTACTTAAACTGTTAAATTTCTGTGTGCAATGAATGTTTTGGTTGTGAGAGTGTTTGAGGAAGCGAAGCTTGAGGAAGCATTCAATCGTGATTTCTGACTGGAAAATACTTTTCTTTACGCAATTTTCCTGAAATTATCACTCTTTGCACGGGGCATTATGTAATTTGATCAATTGTACTTGTTTGTCTCAAGATCTTCACCCCAAAAAAATGAGGGGAATTCATTTTCGTCTCACATTTATTATCGGTTTCTTGTCGCGCGCGCGATTCAATCATTTTCATTTTTTTGCAATCTAACCCACTCAAAATATGACTCTTGAGTCGATGTAGATCTTGATTAGTCCACTCGCCTACCTATCCATCGTGATGGGCTTGCGAAGAAGTGGCGAGAGAAGATGAATTTCGGACAGATGGGAAAATCACGAGAGTCTCACTGTCACTGTGAATGCCTTTGAGGCCTCAAACTCACTAACTGCAGTCTCTGTCTGTAGAATATCGGGCTTCACAGCACGACAGGAATTATCAATAAATTTTGCCGATAAAGTTGGGTGACACAAAAAATTGCCTTGTAAAAGTGTTTGAATGTTTCAAAGACAATTCTCTCTCTCTGGCTCTACAGAGACACTTTTACCATAAGTGTACAGTGACTGTCAATTAAATAGGACAGCCTTATTCACGGTTCTTCATTTTGTAGCTTTGGATTGAATCTTAGTTAGGCGTCGTTGCAAATTTACGTTCATAACATTTTAAATAAACTGTCAAAACAATTAATTCGTATTTGAAATGCTTCAATAGCCGGAAAATTCACGTGACATCCGTGAAAATAGACTCTAGTTTTAAAACAGCCAAATTCTTGTGCTCTATTTAATTGGCGACAACTGTATATGGACACTTTTATGGAGCAAATAAATAGTGTGTGGATTTTACAGCAGATGTACTTGAGAATACAATTGATGAATGGCACTATCGCTCTACTTTTCGCGATAGCACAGCGCGAGTTTGCTGACAAATTAAATGTGGGGAAGAATTTATTTATAAATTCTGTTTGGTTGTGCTGAAAATTTGTTTAGGAAAATGTTTATGATGCAAGACAAATACTGTCATTTTTTCCACCATTGCACAACGCTGTTAAAGTTTGACATTAAAAATTTTGAGAGAAATGCGCGATTAAGCCATGATTCTTATTTAATAAAGACGACAACGAGATTTTATATTTGGTTGGGGTTTTGCGCAATAATCACGATCGTCGTGCTCAAGTTCAAAGCGGTTTATTGGGTGCATGAACTTCCTGATGGGCGGACGGACGACGCACGCGGAGTTATTTTGGGCGGCACTAAAGCTAAGCGTGGCTTCCTGTCGACTTTTTGCAGAGCGCAGAAGCCATTCCAGATGGATCTCTTGAGGGATCTTTCTCGGGTTCGCACCCACTTGAGCGATTATCGCGCTTCGTGGGTGACTTTTTGAGTCCGCGTGATCGGAAGATAAGCGCAAATGATTTACGTTCAAAAATTCACTTGAGACAATCGAATTGGAGTGTCGACAGCTTTGAGGATGCCACGAAAACCTATGGGATTAGAGGGAATGGCGGAAAATTGATGGTCATTGCAAATACAATAAGATTAACTCATTAACAGGCCTATTTTATTTATTGGGAGGAATTAATGTTGTGCCATCAGTGGAGATCCTGCGTGAGATTATTGATATGTGGGCGTGGCTTCCGAATGGGCGGAGCATAAGAATTTCTTTTAAAAGCTTTTCTAGTTCAATATCAATCTCTGAATTATCTTCTTTTTCTAAAAATATTTTTTTGTGATGGATAAAACAGTGTCAAAGACATAATAAGAATTATATAAATAAAAAAATGTGTTTGATTCTCAAAATAATAAGTCAAATTAATGTGAAAAAGTTCACCTATTCTCTGTATTATGAAATTGCCTTACAACTGAACCACTTCATGAATTAAATTAGTTTCATGACATGATGTTTTATGGATTTAAGAGCACTTGTGGCGTTTTATACGCTGCTTAAATCGACTTTAATGCTAATGACGGGCCACTTTTTATCGGAACTCAGAGGAAATTGCGCGCGCGCAAGCTTCTGAAAATACCGATATAAGAATTATGATATTATATTTTGCAAGAATTCCCCCAGTTTTCGCTTAAGAATTGCTCACCCTCGCTCTCTAATTGCTCCTTCGTGTGTTGGTGAAAATTTTTGCAATTTCTCGCCAATTGCTCAAACAAGATTCTCGCGAGGCGGACAACAAAAGAGGAGTAAAAAAAAATGAAAGAATACCAGAAATTTTTCACCAACCCAGAGAAGGTTACATCGAATGCGTGAAAGTGTTATTAAATCATCATGAAAATGATTGGAGCATAAATTGCTGGAAAATTGCAAATTTACTAAATTTGTGCAGTGAATGAAAATTGTTTTCTGTTACTCAACACTTGAATTGTTTGTGTTTGTTATTTGGGTAACCAGAAATTAAGATGTTATTCACCCCCTTTTTTCCTCTGGATACAAATTTGCGCCTTTATGCAAATTCTTCGCGCATTTTTGTGAGGAGAACATCTTTTCCAGGTGGTATTTTTCTGTTTCTTCGTCCATTGCAAAGGGAAAGCATAAGTGGTGTGAAAGAGGCGAGAAATGTAACTGAAAACCTTGAACAAGGTGCAAGAGTGGCACGAAAAAAAAAGACGACACGCGAGTCGAGACGGTCAAATTTCACAATTTCCGCTGAGGGAAGGAAAATGCTTCAATTCTCTGTGTTGTGTTGTGTGGGGAAAATGTGCGAATGATGCTCGGTGAGATGTAAATAAGAATGAGCGCCTTTGAGATTGTGCTTAAGCATGTCAATGGATTGGATTGTTGAGATATTTAATTGAGCCAGAGAGAAAATTACATTAGGATGCACTGAAAATTGTGTCAGATTCACTTTTGATGCTCCGCGTTGTGACTTTGGAATCGTCCAGGAAATTTTATATCATCCAAAAATTGTGATTGACTGTCTGTTGAGTCATCATATTGATTTCCTTCCCCTCCTGGCGTGCGCGTCCGGAACGCACCCAAAAGAGCTCCCCAAAGGAATATCATTGGCTTTAGCATTGAGGATTAGTCATCTTATCTGAGCAAATGTGGGGGTCAGAAGTGTCTCTGTTGGATTTTTACGACTGTTTTCTTCATTCTCTCTCTCTCTCTCTTGCCGCTCATGACGTGAATCAGAAATCCATGTTTTCAATATGCAAATTTTCCTCCATCTGCCAATTCTCATTATATTTCATTGCTGAGCCGACGAACGCAATTTGCTCACTTGTCGCGCACGGTGGCCAAAAAAGAAGTTGAGCACAAATTCTTCACCCGAAAATCAGCAATTCAAGATCATGTGTGTGTTTTTTTGTGTGTGATGGAAATTGCACTGGAATTGACGATTAATTGGTCAATAAATCACTTTCTTGATGGCTTTCTTCAAGTGACACGCGCTGAAAACTACAAAATTTTGCCCTCTTGAGATGTCTGACAAGTTTCAAAGACTTCGAATTGGTTTTTATCATCTTCAAAAATGGAAGAAAAAATTGCAACTTCTTTAAAACTCACTTAACTCAGAGAAAGAGAAAAAAAAACCCGCCAAGAAGCGAATTTTTGTGTGACTTATAGTCAAATTTCATGAATTTCATGCTTCTTAATCTTGGCGAAGCTGCGATTTCTCAAGAATATGTGCCAAAGACCAGAGTCTCAAATGTGTGCTTTAAGAGGAAGTTTGTAATCGTCAATCATCAAAGGCACGCGCGATTATTATAGAGGGAAAGAAGGAAAATGCATTTTTTGTGCCTCATTAGTGTGTTGGAAGTTGTTGTGTTCTCAAGTGTGTTGCTCAAGAGAGTGAATTTGGGCCAGTTCTCTCGTGGCCAAAAATGACTCACCTGGGACGCCAAACAATGGACGAAGGAGAGTGAACGACCTCTTTTTATTTGCCTCCTTTTTTTCTCACTCGAAACACAACTCTTCACTTTTGAGTCGCGGCCACAAATCCAATCGAAGAGTGCGCGTTGCTCAATTCACTGCGGGTTTAATTTCGGCTAAACAACCGCCAAGGAGTTTTGGTTCAAGACAACAAAAAAAAGTGGGTTCCGGGCGTTGCAATTTTCACACAATCTCTTCCTGGTTGTTCCAACTCTCTGTGTCCCGAACGGACTGTTCAGCAATTCCCTTCTCCTCTTCTGAGACACACACAATTTTAGTATAGATTTTATTTATAAAACCCGCTCTTCGGCGTCTCTTTCCGTTCTTCTCGTGTGCCTCCTCGCACACACAAGTGTCTTCGCGGCGGTGAAAGAGCGGCGGAGATGCTGTGCGACTGAATTGGCTGTTGAAACGAAACTGGACGGCGCGGATGGCCTGCAGAAGGCAGAAAGTCATGATGTGTATAGAGGAAAGGCAAACACACCGCGCGCGCGATATTCAACACAAGCGCATCGCGCGAGGGGCTTTTTCTGCTGTGTGCGCGCTCGCGAAATGCGGGCTTAGCGGTGTTTATCACCCACTCGAGAGGGGAATTGGAAGGAGGTCCTGCTGAAGATCCTGAGCGCGATAAGTGGAGAGAATGCCAATATCACCCAACAGTAGGATAAGATAAAAAGTTGCTTTTATGAGTCGCTAATCGCTGCTTTTTCTCCCTTCTATTTGCAGACTTTGCTGATTTTGATATCCCGCGTCGGTGATTCAGGGTGAAAGCGGACTAAAATCTAAGGATTTTGATGAGTTACTGAATTTAGGACTTTTTATGTAAAAAAAAAATTGATTAAAGAAGTGCGACTTGAGAAATCGTTTTCTTTGGCTGTTTGAATTGTCTCAACTTTGCATACTTCCCGGCGTGACTCACGAGCCTCAAGACATCTGGTGGCAGACCGTCAAAATACACACTTCCCAGAAAGAAAAAACTCGAGAAAATTCACTTCGTCTTGCCTTTTATTCCTCTCTTGCGGATATCTTCACAGAATCCCCCGCACAGCTCTTCACTTGCGGTTCTGGTTCTGTGGCCTGGCGTTGTCGCCGCGTGGGAAGGATCGCTGAGGAGGTGTGCGGATGCGCCGGGCCTCCTTGGATCTGTTGCGCACGACCTTGCTGTGGATGGCGCACGAGACGCAGTAGTGCAGCTTGGCGTACAGCTTCGGCAGCATGTAGCTGGTGTACACGGACGCCTCGCTGATGTCCCTCACGGCGGCGGCCTCCACAATGTTCCGGATCACGAACTTCTTAATCGCCTTGTCCTTGGGCACACATCGGGCACAGTTGGTGCACCGCACCGGCTTCACGTGGCCACGATTGTGCTTGCAGCGTCCTCCGTTGCGCCTCTTCTTGGTCTGCAAAGAGAGAAATTTTCCGGGTAAGACAGTACTTTGAGGTTAGGTTGGCAGCAAGGTCGGGAAACCCCGTATGAGAGATGATTCCACAGGAATTAAAGGCAATTGTGGCATGTTGGGATGAAGAAAAACACTCTGTGTATGAGCATGAGGGTGTTTGTGGTGAATTATTAGTAGAAATGCAATGACAAGACAATGCCACATGGAGTGAGCTCAAAACACTACATTTCTTGCTCAAAAATTCCACTTTCCCACATGTTCCACACTATAGAACTCTTCACTGGCTTCGGATACACCGATTTTGAGAGAATTGAAAGAGGAAAATCCATAATTTCCCAGTAAAATAGCCATATTATTGTGCACGTACCATTTTTCAATGTTTCACTTGCAAACAACCGGAAGTAAAAGAACTCCCTGAGCTTCACAGTTTCACCACCAGAGCAGAGCGATTTTCTATGAATTCTATGTTCTTTCGCGCGCGATGAGTTTTGAATGTCACTAAAGTAGCGGAAGCAGCGGAAGAAAATCTTAGTTGTCTGAATATTTATTTTTATATTCATTAAAGTACAGAAATTGTCCTATACAACGAGGATTTTGTTCCACCATTCATTTAATATTAATAAAAAGACATATTTCAATAGGGATATGAAACCATATTTATTGTTCAAATTTAGTGGTTCAGATAATATTCGCCCAACTCATACCAACACTCCTCATCTGAAGAGTCGTCGTCATCGTCATCATACAGATGATTATTCTTGTATTGATCCATTTCCTGGCTCTTCGACTTCAGGTAATCTGCAACAAAACGCAGTTCAGAAAAATCAGATAAGAGAATTTCGAGAATTTCACAATAAAACAATCACTCACTTCCTCAGATAAAGGCGGAAAAGCTTTTCACGTTACAAAATAGCTTGTTAAACTGATAAACAGTCGCAATTGTTCTCACCTTTTTATAGATAAGACATAAGAAATGAAGATGACGGTTACTTTTCGATATGTGCGAACACAGAAAACATCGACAAACGGCCGGTGTGAAGTGCGCTGAGGTTCTCTTTGAGAGCTTCCGGCGGCCATCATGCCTCTTTTCTAGCCGTTCAGTGACCAACGTGGACGTGGACGTCAGTTTTCACGCAAAAGGTAATGATTCTGGGAGTTTTCCAGCTAATTTTCCTATCAGGAAACCTTTGGGAAGTCTTCCCGCGCTGATTGGTGTAGAAATGTTGGTGTTCTTTGGGGTATTTCGTGTGAAAAATGAGGTGTGCAGAGAGAGTGTGACATGTTGGTGTTTATCATGCAGTTTTCCCACTGATTTCCCCATAAAATGCCCACAGGACTGCGTGAAAGGATGAGTGTGGTGTCGTTTCTTTGCCATGCGATAAGCAATGAGTGGATAAAATGCTTATTTTCGGGGAAATTACAAGACGACAAAGCTAACCTAACCTCTATTCGTAGTTGCAGCATGATCGGAAAGGTAATCAAGCCCGGAGGCGGGGAACCAGATGAATTTGAGAAGACCATCGGACAGGCGCTCCTGGAGCTGGAGGCCAATCCAGAGCTGAAGCCCCAGCTCAGGGATTTGCACATTACGCGCGCCAGAGAAATCGAGTGTGACAGCAAGAAGGTGAGTTTTGTGTAATTGAGCAAATCTTTCAGGGCTCATCTCATTGTCATATCTTCCAGGCTATCGTCGTGTACATCCCCATGCCGAAGCAGAAGGCCTTCCAGAAGATCCAGACACGCCTGGTGCGCGAGCTGGAGAAGAAGTTCTCTGGCAAGCAAGTGGTGTTCATCGGCGAGCGGAAGATTCTGCCCAAGCCACAGCGAAAGGCGAGGAATCCGCTGAAGCAGAAGCGACCTCGCTCCAGGACCCTCACGGCTGTGTACGACGCCATCCTGGAGGATCTCGTCTTTCCGGCTGAGATTGTGGGGAAGCGCGTTCGCGTGAAGTTGGACGGCTCACAGCTGATCAAGGTGCATCTGGACAAGAATCAGCAGACAACCATTGAGCACAAGGTGAGTGCAAGCACATAGTGATGGTACTTCGGCTCTTGTGTTATTTGCATTCTGTGCCTCCAAGGAGTGTGAACGTCAAAAAGAGCACAAAGTAGAATTTCCTGGCCGGGAGACTGAAAGTGGGGCGCCTTTGGATGTGTCGAGGCGTCACACCTCCTGGCCGGAGACAGTGAAATCCGTGTGTGTGTCTATAATTCTCATGCGATTGTTGTCTCTCTGCAGGTGGACACCTTCACGTCCGTGTACAAGAAGCTGACGGGACGCGACGTGACTTTTGAATTCCCCGAACCGTACTTGTAAGCGATGCTCTGGAGTTATTAAATTGGAGCCCCATTTCGAGGGGGATTTCCACACACACACTGAAACACGATGCCTTTCAATGAGAACAAAAAAGAGATAAGAATCCCACAGGAATATTTATTATGACAGCCAATCAGCAATGTCTAGATCCTCCACAACATCCAGAACGCCAACTGAGGGTTCATCGTCGATCGGAATCTCCTTCTTCACTGTCGGCTTCTCCTGCTTCAGCGCCTTGACCTTCTTCGCCTTCTTGGGCAGCGGCTTCTCCAGTTCCAGCTCCTCCTCGTCACTGTCCGATGGCAGCAGATCCACAGGACCACTCTCAGCCTCCTTGTCGCCACTCGGCTGACGCCTCTTGAGCGTCGGCAGGCGGAAATCTGAGATTTCATCTGTCTTGTCTGCCTCGCGACGCTTCTTCAGCTCACTGGTCTTCAGCCAATTGGTGTAGAATGTGAGCAGAGGCGTCCCTCGGTTCTGCATTTGTGTCTCCCAGCTGTGGATGAGAGCGGCGTCGCGCAGGGAGAAGGTGATTGTCTTGCGCTCTGCCTCGATCAGCTTGAAGTTCTCCATGGTGAGATCCAGCAGCTGCTTCAGCTTCCTGCCCGTGCTGGCCACGGAGCAGCGCTTGATGTACTGTCGCAACAGAATCACCGTGGGCACCACGAGGTCAGGAAAGGTGAGACTGTAGGACTCACTGGCGAGATACTCGAGCGCCGTGGCGAAGATGTGCTCAGTGATTTGAGTGCGGAAGGAGAGCTCCTCGAGTTGGGGACGCGTGACGCGCAGGATGCAGGTGAAGGGCAGCGCCTTGAGTGACAACTGGCTGTGCTTCTTGTTGAACGTGGCGGACTGAAGCACCTCCAGGATGAACGGCAGCACGGGTATGAAGACGCGCGTGCTGCGCGACAGCGCGATGAGGATGTGGATGCAGTGGAAGCGCAGTGGAAACCACTGAGCCGTGGGGATGAGCTTTATCACACCCTGGATGATGGTCACGAGGGGATAGAGCAGCTGCGGCAGGGCGCCGCCGGACAGCACGTCGCCCCAGAGGCGCAAGGCGTTGATGTACTGCCAGTTGTAGACTGCCTGGTAGCTGTCCTTGCGCTTCAGCGTCACGGCGTTGCGCAGGTGGATAGCCAGCTGGCGAATGTAGAGGAAGGCGTGCTGGTACGCCACCTCGGCGTCCAGGGCGAACATCTCGGCCAGCGAGCGGCGCATGAAATTGATGCCAGGCAGCGTGGTGGGCGAGACAAAGCGTGAGTTGCGCACGTAGGACAGATACATGACCTTCAGGACGATGCTGAGGAACTGTCCTTGCTGCGCTCTGGTCAGCTTCAAGATGCACAGGAAGGCCAGCACGCGCACAGTTTCCTCCTCCGACGAGGACCACAGGGACACGAGTCGCTTGAGCACCGGCTTCGACGCTCCGCTCACGGCCACCACAATTGGCACCATCTGGTGCAGATGCTTCAGCAGAATGGTCAGCACGTCCGGTGAGGACACATTCTCCAGGATGTGCGTTAGATCCGTGGTGTAGGATCGCATGGGATTGCGCATCTTCGACCAACGCTTCAGCTTGTGCACATCGCGAACACTCTTGCGTCCGGACAGGGCCAGGAAGCGCCAGATGGCGGAGTGCAGGTGCAGCACGCACAGCTGAATCACACCATTGAACACTCCGCTGCCCTTCACGCGATACTCCGACGTGGACTTGGCGTCCGGTGAGATGCTGCGCAGGGCGGAATTGAAGGCTTGCACGAGCTTCCGAATCGCCTCGGCGGACACCTTCTCCTCCCGGATGTTCGCCTCGAGACTCTTCAGCATCTTGAGCGTGATCACACCCTCTTGCTCCTCCACCTTCTCCTCGTCCGCCTCCTCGAAGTCACTCTCATCGCTGGCCACCTCGAACTTCTCTCGCTTCTGCACAACGGCCGGCTCCTCATCGGACGCCTCCTCAGCCTCTGGCTCACTGCCCGCATCGCCGCTGATATCGTCAGCATTGAAGTTCAGCAGATCCTTGTCATTCTCCCTAAGATATTCATAGAACTCAGGATCGATCTGCTGAAGCTTCTTCATAGACTCAATATTCTCACTGTCTTCCACCTTTACCGGCTTCTTCCCTTTCTTCACCGCCTTCTTCGGTGCTTCCGGAGCTTCGTCTCCTGACGAATTGTCCATCGTCTCAAGGAAACTATCCATGGTCATTGTGTTCGGGCTCTTCTTTGACTTCTTGGGAAGCTTCTTCTTTCCCATTTTCAGTCGATTTTTCACTTTCCTAAACGACCAGAGAAAAAAGACACAGATTTTTGAGGTTAGACAGGCAATAAGTGAAAAATCAGAGTGTTTCACTTGGATTTTCCAAAAAATCTTTTAGGTAAATCCACCGTGACAATAGTTTTACAATTTCACTTACATTTTCAAAAGATTCACTCACGTTTTCCACCAGAGAAATGTAAAAAACTTCTGCAAAAGCCAGAGATAAACAACAACACGTGAAGTGAAAAAACGGACAACCCAGATGACAAACTCTGCGAATACTTTAGTTACTCAATATGGGAAAAATATGGATATTCGTTAGCAGTGGGATTTTCAAATAAAAAGCCGTTGAATACAACAAATAAATGTACGTGGTGAAAATTTGAGAAAAATACTGAAAATAATAGTAAAATATTAATCTGAAAACTGCATATTTCGTTTGAAAGTTACTTACAACATTGTTTTGGTTTGATTTAAGACATATTTTGCAATAGCTTTAAAACATTTGAAAAGTTTTTAACTTTATAGACCAAAGTAGGTAAAACCAAGGGTAATACAGCAATAAACATTAGATGATATGAAAAAAAGTATGAAAATACGAAATAAACAAGAGTCAAAGGCGTCAAAGGTCAAAAACGGGGAACCTTCGACTTAGAGACTTTTATCCCCATAATTATTTCCCTTATGATTGTTCAAACTGCTTATTTGCGCTACTTTAAGGAATTTAAATCTTATCATAATGTGTCAATTGGTTCTTCTCTTCCCCAAATCTTTCGATTTTAATCATTTTCAATCCAAAATTGTGTTTCAAAAGACACTATTTGGACAAATTAGTAAAACCTTATACAATTTCCTTTGACCTTTTGTCTTGAATCATTGTATTTTAGAAGTAAACCTCAACCCATTTGTTATCATCACCGTAAATTGCGTACATAAATCACGCTTTTAAGATCTTTCTGTGCATCATTTAGTCGATTTTATCGCAATTTCTTTCATTAGTGCATAGTTTATCTCTTCCTTTCTCTTCATTTTCAATGTTTCTGTTCTCTTTGTTCAGATCGAAAGTTCTCAAAACATGGGGTTTAAGATTAGAATAAGTTAACGCACAATAAAATCTAATATTTGCTTCAAAATACGATGAATAATTAGATTTAAATGCAAAAGAATTGTGAGAAGAAAGCGATAAAAAGTGTGTAAAATCAAAAAGGACATCAAATATTTCCCACTGAAATCACTACAATAATCTGCTTCGCCCTCGATTTCGGCGCCTTATCATGGTGAAAAATGTTATGAAACTAAAAATATCCTCGGCATCGTCTTGGCTGTGCATTGAAATCACCCTGAGACGCCAAGCTGGAGAGTTGCAAATGGCACGAAGAAATGAAGTCTCTCTGTGGCAAATTGCGGTCACTGGAGCGCGATTTACAATAATCCCCGAGGGAATCCCAGAGATAATTGGAGGGACGCCGTGGCGGAATGGCCCCATTGACATTTAAGCGCCATTTAGCGCGGAGTGGGTCCGTCTTGGGCCGGAAAATCAATGGCCAGCGCCACTCCCTGATGTGCCGTGTTTGTCCTTTCTCGCCCACACCCCCGCCGCCGAGCAATATCCATCCGCGAAGGTGTGCCGCTGAGGCGCGGAGGCCAGATTTACGAGAGCGGCAAATATTGATAAGGTCCACCAAGACGCTAATTAGGCGCCGATTGCAGCATAAAAGCGCCCAGCGTCGCTGTCACTTTTACGACCGCATCTCCGGGCCATTTGCCTAAAGGGTCATCATGGCCAATTCTCGCCCCAGAATCCCCATCAATTAGAGATATTGGCCGGCTATTGTCGCCCGAGCGCGCCCCACCTTTCTCTGCCACACCTGCCGTATAAAAGCACCGTCGAGGCGTCGCGCTGCCGCCATTCAGCGCCGAGTCGCCCTCGAGGGCACGCCTTTGAATTTTGCTGTTACCTTTTGCTGTCCCGACGAGGTGAGCAAATATTCAGGTGTGTCCGCCGAGGGCAAACAGCAGCGGACCCGCGGGCCAGCCAGTGCACAGTGCGATTGTGTGAACCCATCCCCAGTCCAGAGAGTCTCCGTCAGACTCAAATCCCCCAAATCTCCAGTGATTCTCGTGCGTCCGCAATTAAGGAATCCCCAAAAGCAGTGTCTCAGATTGAAATTTTCCACAATGATTTCTTCCAAATAAATTAATGCCATTTTTCCTGAAAGAAAAGTGTAAATTTTCCACTAATTCCAGCGAGAATCAATTTTAATTTAGGAAAATCGTTCTGGAAATTAACTGAGAAAAAAATCTCTAATCTTCTTGAGACGCAAAAGTGAAGTAGAAATTAATGAGTTTTATCAAATAAAGTCAAAGAAATTGATTTGAAATTCAACTGTGCTTTTCAAAGGACTTTTAAAATCGATTTCAATGGCAAAAATCCATTTTTCAATTTTCTCATAAATTCTGAAACTGCTTTTTGTCGTCAGCTTCAAATAGAATGCAAAATAATATTTTTGGAATAAATCAGAAATTGAAGGAAGAGAAATTGTGTATATTTTTCTTTCAAAATAAGTATCTAATATTGAGGGAAGAGAAATATGAATAGTTCTTGTGAACATTCAAAATGAATCGAAAAATCTATGTAAAAATGATTTCAAAGAATTTGAGATAAATATGAAATAAACCTTCTTGTTAAACCCTGAATAAACGCTCTTATTTCCACACTTTCCCAAAGAAACATGCATAAATCTGTCCAAAGGCGCTTGTATTATTCTCCAGAAAATAAAGGATATCGATCTCAATAGAGTGTTTCTCTCACCAAAACGTCCAAGTCGAGCACATCAGAGTCGAAAGCATCGCGCATTTGAGTTAGGAAAATATTTATTCTCGGGCCGCGCGGGCCTCAAATCACCGTGTGCGGCACCGTGATGAAGTGGACGTGATTGTTGGCCGCGTAATTGCCGTGGTTGGCGTTCTGCTCCAGTCCGCCAAACATGATCAGCTCCCCATTGCCCACTGCCAGCGTCGAGAGGATGGTCTTGAGCGGCGCCCCGGGCAGGATTCCGCCCTCGCGCGTCTCCAGCCACTCGGCGAAGGGTTCCTGAGGGTCCAGGACGTGGGCCAGATCACAGATGAACACCGCCTCGCAGTTCTGGCGCGGTCTCTTGGCCACCGGAGGCTTCGGCGGTGGCCTTTGGATGCCGCGGCGCGCCAGCAGTTCCTGCTCGCGCTTCTGCAGGGCCGACAGACGACGCTCGCGCATCTCCTGTGCAGCGCACGAGTCCCTGAACGCCAGCATTCCGAGGTGGTGCGTGGGAACGCGCGGATGGTGCGCAGAGATGGGCCGCGGCGGCTCAGGAGCCGGATGAGGTTGCTCCTGATGGGGATTCCTCAATCTGTGCGGATCTTGCTGGCGTGGATACTGAATTTGCTGACTCAGCCGAATCTGGGCAGTGATCTGGAGGTCTTTCGGCAGTGAACAGTTCTGGCCGAGCACTATTAGCTTCCCATCGACGTGGCACGAGGGATTTGTCCACATTCTGGCAGCGCTGAACTTCTTCTTCCGCACCGGAATCTCTCGCCACTGCCACACAGCGGAGGTCATCGTCAAGAGCCACATGTCAGTGAAGGGATTGTTCACGCCACCCAATCCGCCCGCGATCAGCAGGTGCTGCTCATCCAGGCGGATTTGGTAGTGATCTATCCGAGGCGCTGGCTTGGGGGACGATGTCTCCTGCAACTTCCACGTGAAGTTGGCCAGATCAAGGATCCACACGTCATGCGAGCACGCCACGTACAGTGGCGTTTCTTGTAGTCCGCCGAAGATGACCATCTGCCGGCCGTGAATCGTCGCCGAGTGTCCAGCCATGGCCGGAGGCCAGTGAGTGGAGATTTTGGGGTACATCCAGTGGCTCTCCTTCAAATTGTACACGTGCAGCTCATCGAAGAGGTTGACTCGCTGGTAGGGCGGATACGAGGGTGGATAGCGCAGTCCGCCGAACACCACCAGTCGATCCTCGTGGCTCACCATCGTCGCCCTGGCCTTTGGCGAGGGATAAGGATGCGCCCCGTGGGAATTACACCGACTCCACTCCCTCGAGGACAAATTGAACGCCCACAGGTCATTGAATGTGGTCACCTCGCTACTTCCGCCCCCGAACACGTACATCACGTCCTTGTACACAGTCGCAGAGTGCGAATATCGTCCGGCGATGACTGGCGTCCGGGGATCTGGAGGCTGCCACTCCTTCCAGCACAGATTCCCCTCAGTCACGGCGCGCTGGAACGAGACGGTCTTCCGGAAACGAACATCTACAAAGCAAGACAGTGCAATGAGCTTGAGATAGCCTTATCAGGAGTCAGAAAAAGCCCAGAAATTACTCACTTCTCACCAGCTGCTCCCATCTTCTGCACACCAATTGGCAGTTTTCCACGTCTCTGTACGGTGGCAGGAGTTCTATTATGAACTCCAGCACCTCATCGGGCAGGTCATTTATCGTTGTCATTGTGTTACCTCATTTGGTTTATCCACAAAGGGTTTTTCACTAAATTTTCTGCAGGAAAACAAATATTCTGAATGACAGCAATGGCCGCACTGGCGATGCTAGAGACGCTCGGTGATGGAGATGAGAACAATTAAGAGGTGAACAACTCATAATTACGAGATAGACTGGGCGCTTTATACATGGCTCAATTTCAATAGCTAGAAGCTAGAAGATGAAACTCTAGCCGAGTGATTATAATAAGACTCAATAATATTTATTCTGGAATATATATTTGCGAGAGAATGGATTTCTTTGCATTGTCCACGATTTTTCATTCGTTTTTCACTTAGTCGAGATACACACCGCGAGTCGGTTGTCCATTTTGACAGACACACTGCGATTCTGTCGCGAGAGATGGCGCACGAAACGACCAAGGAGGAATATCCCCTCCAGTGCATATGTCAGTGCGTGTTTGATGGCGTTTTTGGTGATGTTTTTCTCTGCACGCAATTTCTTTGGTTTTTCCGCAAAAATATCACCCCGATTGTGTGCGTAGCACCCCAAAAAGATGATAAAGTGCACCACGGTGTGACGGACAGTGTGGAGAGCATGTGAAAAACTGCCCAAAAACCGTGTTTAGACTATCTCCCCTTTCTTGGACGTTGACGACGAATGCAGAATAGAAATGGCAGCAGCACTGCTCAGCTCGGATATTTCTCGCAGGAATCCCCAGAACGAGTACGAGTTGATCCAGAAGATCGGCTCCGGCACCTACGGGGATGTGTACAAGGTGAGTCCCGCGTGCAGCGTGGCTGTGCGGTGGGTGGATGTGGCGTGTGTGTTGAAAAAAAGGGGCGAGTCTTGGCGCATCTGTCACATTTCTTGGGAACACACACTTCTCCTCCTCAAGAAAACCCTCCCCCGGACCTCAAGGTCCCCAACCACTCCAGCCGCGAGTGGCACTTGCGGACTTGCTGGCGCTGGAGAGTCCCACGATGCGACTCTCCAGCCTTGGCACCCTCTTATCATCTCTGCCTCATTCTCCGGGCGCCTCTTATCGCGGCCCAGCTTAATTGATTTCCAACGCATACATTTTCTCGGCTCCGCCAGAAAGTCACTGATGGTTTTTGCAAGAGAGAAAATCACTTTCCCTCGCGCGCGTCTGGAAAATTCTCAATGACCGGAAAGTACATGATTCGCTTCTGCGGGCTTGTCTGAGCATTCTTCTATAATTGGACGACCAGCTCTCTTGACTCCACGCTTGGGATGATCTGTGAAGTTGCGATTGTTAACGCGATGATCCATTGTGAGATACTCTGGCGCGCCTGAGAGGGAAGAGTGTCTCTCCTCACCATGTGACGTGCAATTCTCTCGTTCGGGGGCTGTTCGCTGCCCATGGGCTTGATGGCTTTCAGCCACAACATTCTGTTTCTTCGTTCTAGAGAAACTTCTGAAAGATCTCAAAGTCTTGTGTTTCTGACTAGGCAAATGTGTGGAGATTTGAGCTGAAGAAAGCACGAACAGATTCATCACAGGCGCAATTCTTTCACTGAGAATTTCAAAGTTTTCTGTAAAATTGAGAGTTTTCGTTAATCTTGCTAACCAAACTATTTTCATCTGAAAAATTGAAATTTCTATTCAAATTTCATGAATGTCACAAAATGGAAAATACATGAATTAGCATATAAAGTTGATTGGAAGTTCAGGAATTCTTATCAATCTGCAAATTGACACTTTTTCCTCAATTCCTCAATTGATGAACTCTTTTCTCGGGCATTTCCCAGGCGAAACGTCTGCAAAGCAATGACTTGGCTGCAATTAAGGTCATCAAGCTGGAACCCGGCGATGATATCCAGATCATCCAACAGGAGATCATCATGATGCGCGACTGCCGACATCCCAACATCATTGCGTACTACGGCAGCTATTTGCGGCGCGACAAACTGTGGATTTGCATGGAATATTGCGGCGGTGGAAGTCTTCAGGACATCTATCAAGGTATATATGGTGTTTCTATCTCTGTTTCTTGTGTCTTAACTGGTGAATTTCTGACTGAATCTCGTGCAGTGACGGGACCCTTGACGGAGCAACAGATCGCCTACATGTGCCGCGAAACACTCAAGGGTCTGGCGTATCTGCACTCGCGCGGAAAGATGCACAGGGACATCAAAGGCGCAAATATCCTCCTGACCGAGAGTGGAGATGTGAAGTTGGCCGATTTCGGCGTATCGGCACAAATCACTGCCACAATCAACAAGAGACGCAGCTTTATTGGTGAGTTTCCTTTCTTACAGCAAAAAAGTCTACAAAATTGGGGAAAAAGCTATTAAAATATCCAATCAATAACATTTTGATTGATTTCTCACTAAAATAGACTGATTCTGTAAGGAAAATTTAAAAAATTCAACAGAAAACATTATTGCATTTAATTTTTAATCGTATTTTCCATCGCCTTTTGACGAAGAATCATACTCTGCCAGAGAGCAGAGATGTCAAATTAGCAATGTGCATGAGAAACATGTGGAAAAAGCATAATAAAATGATTCTTTGCACAAAACCATCAATCAGTGAAGCGCCACTGAAGTGTTTGTGAACTTCTTCGTGTCACAAGTACCATTGCAACAATGTATTTGTGGATTTTTTCATTAAAAAAAAAATGAAATCTTATAAAATAGCAATGGATTGCAATGAAAAAGTGATGATGAATTGAGTCACACAGCATGGCATGAAATGTGTGAATTGAATCATGAAGAATATCTTTGAATGTTTGCATAATTGCGCATCAAGTGATAAGAAAGATAAATCACTGACTTCCTGTATTGATAAATAGGCCAATTTTTCTTGTGGATTTCAAGTGACTTTTTTTAGGGTGAGGAGCGATAAGATTGTGATTTTGAATTTCTCTTGCACAGGAACTCCATACTGGATGGCCCCTGAAGTGGCCGCTGTGGAGCGGAAAGGTGGTTACAATCAACTCTGTGATATTTGGGCATGTGGTATAACGGCAATTGGTGAGGATGTTGTGTGTTTTTCGCCACCTTTCTCCCCTTATCTCCTAATCCTTTTGTGTGTTTTTCTTTCCCATGAAACAGAACTGGCTGAGCTTCAGCCGCCGATGTTTGACTTGCATCCAATGCGAGCACTCTTCCTGATGTCCAAGAGTGGCTTCAAGCCGCCCACGCTGAAGGAGAAGGAGAAGTGGTCGCCGACATTTCACTCATTCATCAAGACGGCACTGACGAAGAATCCCAAGAAGCGACCAACGGCGGAGCGTCTGCTGCAGCATCAGTTTGTGGAGAGTGAGATGCCGCTGAGGGTGGCGCAGGAGTTGCTGCAGAAGTACTACAGTCCCAATCAGTTCTACTTCTACTCGGATGGCGATGAGGAGGGCGCTGTGGCGAGTGTTCCGCAGCGGATTGCCAGCAAGATGACATCGAGATCCAATGGTATTCCAGGTGGACAGAATCATACACTTAAAGCTAGTAATTATTTCGATTCTTTCTCATCTTTCATAATGTCAATGGTGATTTTCTAAACTTGTCTTATAACACTTCAATGTGTCTCTCTTTTGCTGTTTCACACTCAGATCCACCTACTCAATGGAACGCTGATCGCTCTTCGAGTCCTGAGACGTTACCAAGTGATATGTAAGTTTCTTTTTCTCTCTCTCACTGTGCTTCTTGTCACACACACACTTTCTGTGTCTTTCTCTTCACGAAGAAATAAAAGAAGAAAACCATTTTGCATCATTTTATGTTCATTCGATTTTTATTTCACGCGTCAATTTACAATGTTTTTATCCACACAATTTGTGTAATTCTAAACGGGTGGGTGAGGGGTTTCCCTGATAAAGTTTGGGGGTTTTCCCAATAACTATAATTGACTTTATATTTGTTTTTATCTTCTCCATATACAGAAAATTGTTTGGGCGCCCCAAATTGACTGGGACAATGATAATGAACATGTCATTGAGGTCAGAGTGATATTGAAAAAAGAGGCAAAAGGAGAGGAAGAAAAACTCTCTATATAAATTTTATTTAACATGCGTTTCCTGCACTTTTTACGGTTCTTCTCGCCGCTCATGTGTGTTTTTTATGTGCGACCCGCAATTAAATGCTTCAATTCTAACAGCTCGAAATCAATTTTGCTGCAAATACACAAAAAAAAGCGGGCAATTTATTGACCATCAGAGAGTCCAACAGTATGAAAAGCTTTCAAGGGCATAATTTAGCTGGAAAATTGCCACAGTTAAAGAGAAAATTGACTTTTCTCCTAACAATGTGCATCGTATTGATGCGTGTCGCTGGAGAAATTGAGCAAATATAGAGCATATAATCAGCTGTCCTAATGTGGGTGTTAACAAAGGCAGCTTAATTTACAACATCAAAACTTTAAACTGAGAATTCCGGCAAATTGTGAGAAGGAATTTCCAGTGTCTACTTTGTTTATTTAAACCAATTGCATTGCAATGTGAAGACAAAAAAAATGTCGTTTTTCTCGTTATGCATTTTTATAGTCTATTTATTAACATCGTGTGATTGCGTAGATGTGAAATCATCCCGAAAATGGTTTAGCGTGGAAATTAATAAGGAAAAGGCAAATTTGTATAAGAAACTTATGAAAAATTGGGACATTTGCAAATCATTTCGGGAGATTCTATAAATTATTCTCTCTCGCTCTCTTTAGATTTTTTTTAAAATTTTTCTTCTATAAGACAAATAATAACAAAATTGTTGTGTGGAATGCTGCAAGCGTGTTTCACGAGTTTTCAGTTTGCGTTTTCCATGATTTTGATTTTCATTGTTTATATAAGTTGTTTCTGGATTTTTTTTTATTTTGTTCCACTCGCAGTGTTTTGATTTTTTTTCTCTTCTCACTTTCTATTGCTGTTCTGTGCGAGAATAGTAAGAACAATAATTGAAATCAATTGATGATGAAGTTGAGAAGAGGATGAAAGAAAATGCAGCTTTTTAATTTATAACTCAATTTAGGCTGAAAAGCGTAACACTTGTGGAAATAATTATGTGGACATAAATGAGTGTTGAAGAATGTCTATTTCGATGCAAATGCAAAAATTTACTATGTGGAATCGTCAATATTTCCACGAGTGTAGAAACAGAAGAAATGCACATACAGTGAAGGTCAAAATGTATGATCAAATCTTATATCAATATTAAGATTAGAGTTCTGTGAGAAAAATTTATTGAGAATTGTGTATAAATTAATATTACTTCTCAATTTTGCTTGTCTTATGAAAATTCATGAGATATTCTCAAGTTATTCCAAGAAAAGAAAAAAAAAATTGTGTGAAAGAAATTGTTATGAATATTTCCGTTTGATCGTACAATTGTGATCTGCACTGTTTTTTTTCTAAATGAATGACTTGGAAAGAGAAACATTTTTTCTATTATTGTTAATTTTGATTTTGTAGGAGTCTATTGCAATATATTGATGAGGAACTGAAATTAAGGTAAAGCAAAAGTAATTTAGCAGTTTTTAAATTCCCTTTTATAGATCCTGTTCTTTTATTTCCCACATTTTCTTTCCTATGACAAATCTTACTATGAATTTTTTACAATTTTGGCGAATGAAAAAGGAGAATTTAAGAAAAAATAGAATGTCTCTATTGTTGAGTTTTTTTTTAATCAAAAAATCAACCATATTTGCATAGACTTTTCCTTGTTTTTGTCAATGGTTTGCCTCTAAATTATGTTGGTGAAAAAGAAGCATTGAAAGTAAATTTTGTATCGCATGCACACATTGTTGAAAAAGTTGTTTTTGCTCTTGTGTAAATAGGATGAAAAGTTATATGAAAAGAAAAAAAATCATTTCAGCTTCACATCTCTTCACATTTACTTGCTCTCTTCTTCATTGCACCGTGCATTTAGAGTGAATTGGCATGAAAATAATATTGTGTATCATTTTCTTGGTCTCGCCAGTCAAAGTGTGTAAATATGAGAAAGCGCCTTTGCAGAGCAATTTGAGATTGATGAATGGAGAAGCGATAAAAAGAGCGAATTGATTGTTTGTCTGATTTACTGACGTTGAGATTTCTCTTCTTTTCTTGCTCCTCCTTTGCGAAGAGCGACGCTGCCGCTGATGGACAAGGATGGAGGACTGGTGGCCGCGGAGTGTGCGTGTTCGCATGCAATTGCCGCGAGTAACCACAATGGTGGAGCGGCTCAGGGTGTGCCGGCGGCACAGATGATGGCGCCACTCAGGGAGACGGCGCTCGTGGCGACGACGGACGCCGTGGATCAGAATCAGACGAACCAGAATGGCGGCATGGACAGTCCGCGGCGCCACAGCTCGATGGATCAGCTCATGGGATTGCTGAACGAGATGGGCGTGTCGACGCGACACAGAAGCTTGAGCGACAGTGGCGAGCCGACGGAGGATGCTGTGGAGCGGACGGAGGCGCAGCAGCCGGATTTGCTGAATAACACGCCGCCAGTGCCGCCGAAGCGATCGCACAGGCGCCGCCACACACCGCCGCGGCCCACGTCCAACGGACTGCCGCCCACGCCAAAGGTGCACATGGGCGCGTGCTTCAGCAAGATCTTCAACGGCTGCCCGCTGAGCATCAACTGTACGGCATCGTGGATTCATCCGGAGACGCGTGATCAGCATCTGCTGATTGGCGCCGAGGAGGGCATCTTCAATCTCAACATGAACGAGCTGCACGATGCCGTGATCGATCAGGTGTTCCCGCGACGCACCACGTGGCTGTATGTGATCAAGGATGTGTTGATGTCGCTGTCGGGCAAGAGTTCGCAACTCTATCGGCACGACTTGATAGCACTGCACTCAAAGCAGACGCACAGATTCTCGCTGCACATGAATCGAATACCGGAGAAGTTGGTGCCCAGGAAGTTTGCACTGACCACAAAGGTGCCGGACACCAAAGGATGCACTCAGTGCTGCGTCACGAGGAATCCCTACAATGGGTGAGTGGCTTTTGTGTGATTTGCAAGATAAGTTTAAGCAAAAGTTACTGATTTCTATTCCTCTTTCCACATTTCCCCGCAGATACAAATACCTGTGCGGCGCGCAGCCGTCTGGCATCTTCCTCATGCAATGGTACGATCCGCTGAACAAGTTCATGCTGCTGAAGCAGTGCGAGTGGCCGTCGGCCGGCGTGACGCCGCACACGCCGGTGTTTGAGATGCTGATCACGCCTGAGCTGGAGTATCCGCTCGTGTGTGTGGCCATCAAGAAGGCCGTGGGGATGAGTCACAGCATCGTGAAGCTGGACTTGATCAACATGAACAGCGGCGCCAGTTGGTTCCACTCTGATGAGCTGGAGTGCGACGGCACGGCCACGATGGTGCCGCGCCGCGAGCCGCTGCGCGTGGTGAAAGTGCACCAGCTGGAGAAGGACACAATTCTCGTGTGTCACGGCAATACAATCCAGATTGTCACCATGAGTGGAATGCAGAAGCAGAGCAAGAAGCTCGTGTCGCAGTTGAAGTTTGACTTCAACATTGAGAGTATTGGTGAGTATGATGTTGACGAGGTGTTTTTCTTTGGACAAGAAGCATTTTTTGCAAGAATTTTCAAATTCTTTTGCTGCATAATTTCATGCAGAAAGCGAAGAATTAGAAAATGGGAAGCATAAAAATTCTTTTCGTTGCACAAATTCATTCAATTGAGTATTTGTTGAAGTTGGATTGGCAGCTCTGATGTTAATCCAAGCTTGTTTTCGTTGCAGTTTGTCTGAATGACAGTGTCTTAGCATTTCATAAGCACGGCATGCAAGGAAGATCCCTCAGGAATGGCGAGATAACTCAGGAAATCACGGATATGAGCCGCACATATCGGCTTTTGGGGAGCGATAAGTAAGCATTCTTTTCAGTCCATTTTGCCTTACTAACAATGATTAATTGGTTGTAATTTGATTTGATTTACCTTGACAACAGAGTTGTTGCGCTGGAGAGTCAATTGCTGCGGACTGGATCACTTGGGAGTGAAGAGGGACACGATTTGTACATCTTAGCTGGACACGAGGCGAGTTATTGAAGCATGCTTCAACACATTCTTTCATCGCCACACTTTCCATGGAAAAAAATCACTATTTTCACATTATTTCAAACGAAAATTAAGTGTTAAGAAATTAAGAAGAAGAAAAAAAAATTATTCCCCCTCCAGAAAACATTGTGAATTGCAATTTATTAATAGAAGCACAGAAAGAGAGAGAGAGAAACTTTAATAACATTTAACTATGATGTGTTTTGGTGGGTTGACAATGAGTGATGATGATATTAAATGCTGTAAAAGAAGATTGATGCCACAAAGCAACTTTTGCGACAGTCTCACTGGGCGAAAATGTTGTGAAAAGAGTTTTTTCTTGTAAATAAGGCGGGGAAACAAATTTATTCCCATGAGATTTATTCGTTATCCTTTTTTTATAATTTAAATTTATTAATCTCGAGTCATCGTTCGATATTTTGTATATTTTATATTAAAAGATAAATTGAAGGGGTTGAAGTGGGGTGGGCAATTTGAGTAAGAGAGAAGCAAAAGTATAAATGTATTGATGTTTGTTTGTTTTACACACACAATGAAGAAAGATGAGCGAAAGCGAGCATGAAGAGAAGAAGTTCAATTTTGTAAAGTTGTTGTGTCTCAAGTTTTTTTCAAGAAGGAAAAGAAGAGAAAAGATTCTAATAAAAATATATTAATCACTAAAAAAAGACCATTAAACGTAAACATACAAAAAAGCAACTAAAACACAATGAAGAGAATAATATTTTATTCAATAGAGCGAACATTATTAAGTCACTATCGAGTAATTCGTTAAATAAACTGTATGTTTTTTCTGAGAGTCACACATGTAAACATGATGAGATAAATAAGTGTAAAAGCTCCCAATTAAAAAAAAAACACAAATGAAAGTATTTACTAAAAACAATTGACAGCATAGATAAAGCATTAGTCGAAGGAGAAAATCTTACTAAATATATTTTACGAGAGTATTATGAAAGAAAGAAAAAAAATCTATACACATTACCAAACACAATCTAAACGACAAAAAGCATATTTTACAATATTTAGACGTTTAAAATAAAATTAGTGGTGAAAATGAGAAAAATATCATGATTTATTAAAAATTCAACAAGTGCAGATTTTTCTCAGAGCTGGGAAATTAACGACGATAAAAGAAAATGAATAGTAAAAAAAAAATTGTGAAATCTTCAATTGAGGAAATGTACAATTTCACGTATCAAAGCATAAATAATGAAAGAGAAAAAGAAAAATTTTATTGAAGAGTTGTGTTTATGAACCAAAAAATGATGATGAACAAGAAATAATAGAGAAATATTTTTCCTAGCAAGTAGGATTAATAGTTGATTTGAGGAAAATATCAAGTGAAAAAATAGCGGACAAATACAAGAAAAATGTATGATTTTATTTTCATCACATCGGACAATTCTGGCGACACTTCGGCGGAACGTCGGAAAGGAGTGTTGTGTTGTTGATTCCTCGACAGTTTTGCATTTGACTTTTTCGGAACAACTTTCAAAGGGCCGATGAAGCGCGCTTTTGAAGCTCATTTTGATGGATGATCCAGAATTCCAGAGTAGTGTTGAATTTATTTTGCAAAAATACAAAGTGAGAGTGAGTAGAACGCGCGAATTACTTCTTGAGCTTCACGAAGTTTGACTGGAATTCGTAGACGCCAACAGAGACACTGTTCTTCGTGTCGTAATCCGTCCAGTCGTCATCATCGAAGCCCACGTCGTCCTGGAAAGTTGGACCTCCGTCGGCAGCCTTCACGATCCATCCGCTCTTGGGCAGGAACTCAGTGGGCTCCAGACCGCGACAGTCCAGAGTGACGATTGTCTTGAACTTCCCGGAATCCTCCGCCAAGTACGACGCTGGAAAGACACACAACAAACGTGAGTATGCACAGATCCTTTCCCACCCTTCTCCAACTCACCATTGCTGCCCTCCACGATGTCCACGGTGTTCTCGCGGCTGCACAGCTTGCACTTGGCATAGAAATTATAGCCACGCGGGCATCGTGAGTCCACATTCACCGTTTCCGCCTCCGTGAGATCGTGAAACTTGTCCGACGACTCGCCGCAATTGTTGCAGCGGAACTTGAAGAAGAATGCATAATGCGGATGCGTTGTCTTCAATTCCTCCACATTCTCTAGCGTGGCACAAATCTGAATGCCTATCTTCACCATTTTCACTGTGTTATCGCCTCCCGGGAGCCCCAAAAGTCAACACAGTGATAAACAAATTCAGAGGTTAGCGCTTTTCGGATTCCGGAAGAGGCGAACGATGAGAAAATCTAGTTGCGTGAAACACTGGTGAAACACACTTTTTGCCGCTTTATCGTAGAATTTCTCTTAAGAGAATTACCGAAACGAATTTATTGAATCCTTTGAAAATTGGATGATTTTATCACAGACACGTTTCTCTAATCGCAATGAAATCATATCCTATCTTCATATTGAAAAACATTAGTTAGTTTCTCGGTGAAAAACACAAATTTTTACTGCTTATGTAAATCTTTATTTACACCTAAACATTTATACGTAGCAAATTGCAACACAAAATCCATCACAAGATATCGTTTGGTTATTGTCTTTTTTTGTGGAGAAAAAAAAATTACTAGAAAACATTGTGACTACATATATGGCTAGAGTTCTTTGGAAGACGTTTTCTCAGTTGGTCGATCCTCTAAAATAATCGGCAATCTCGTCGAAGGACTTGCCAAAGGTCTCTGGCAAGAGGATATAGATGTAAATCACACCCAGGAAGCTCGTGAGCGCGAAGATGTAGAAGAGTCCTTGAGCGCCCAGCCAGTCAATTGTGTAGGGAAAGGCCTTGACGACACCAAACATCATGACATAGGCGGCGGAGATGACAATTCCGCCCAGCTTTCCCTTCACCTCGGTGGGCAGAATCTCACCAATCAGTGTCCAGGGAATGACGAGGTAACCGAGAGCGCTGAACGAGACATATCCCAGAATGCAGACGAGCAGGAGCTTCCCGTCCAGCTGATGTGCCGCCGGAGCGATTGTCGTGACGGCGCCGGTGTCTGTGAACACTGAGGCCTCCTTGAGATTGCTGAAGTCAATGTAGAGGCCAGCAATGAGAGTGCAAAAAGCCATTCCACATCCCGAAATGCACATCAGAGATCTTCGGCCGAATTTTCGAGACAGTCTACAAAGAAGGATTCAGAGGAGTTTTGAACTCTAATTTCACTGTTTCAGCAATAATAAGTTCCACTGTTCTCTTAGAGAACAGATTCCAGAAGCCCCGCCCTCTCAAATGCCACGCCCATTAGCATTAGTTGAATTTAGAAAAAAAAAGTCTACAATTTATAGTTATTCTAATTATTGCAGTCTTTAATACACTTGCACACGATTGTAATAATGCAAAATTGAGAGATTCAAGCGAAAAATGCCCAAAAGTATAGAAAATGAAAGAATATTTACCCGGAACTGAGGCAGGACATGATGAATCTGATCAATCCAAGAAGCATAAGAGCGCCATATTCATTGATCAGATCGCCAAATTGACCACCAATTTTCAAGAAGAGATTAACAGCGTAGAAGATGATCACGTATGCGCCTGAGAGTTGTTGAAAGACAAAGAGAATGAGCAGGACAACGAAGGGCTTGTACACGTGCTTCTGCCGGCAGATTGAGAGAAAGTCCTTCAGTGTCTGATGCGACTCTTCAGTGTGTCTCATGTAGTTTCTCACGGTGAGTTCCTGTGCCTGAGATTCGTAAGTCTGTCAAAGAAAGAGAGAGAGAGAGAGAGAGAGAAATAATAGCTTTATAGAATTGGCCGCGATAACGACACAATCTCTTTTCAGTCTCGATGACTTGACACTGTAATCTCAATTCCGCCTTTCTTCCCGCGGCCTTAAAGACTCGATAAACCTGAATATCTGGAGGCTCGCGCACAAAAAAACCACCAGCGATAAATCCAACATCCTCTCTTGGTGCGCTTATCGACACTCACACTTGGTTTCCTGTACAGCCATCGGAGGGATGATCGCGCCTCGGCTATCCTGCGCGGGCGGAATGTGGTGATCCAGTGGCTGGACTCAGGTACGATGAGGATCACGCAGAGCGTGAGGAAGCTCAGGCCGCCGAAGATGCACGCGATGGTGCGCCAGTCGAAGAAGAGGCCCAGGAAGCACGTCAACAGGATGCCCAGCGACACGAAGACACTGTTGAGGCCCAGCAGCATTGGCCTGAAGGTGGGATGACTGATCTCGGACACGTACACAAGGGCCACCGTGGTCAGGCCGCCGGCCATTCCGGCCAGGATGCGCGCCGCGTAGATTGTGGCCACGTGCTCGGCGCTGGCGATGAGGATCCAGGCCAGCATGAAGGGGAAGCAGCAGTACAGCGACAGTCTCTTGCGCCCCACCGCGTCCATGATGGGACCGGCCGCCAGTGAGCCGATGGGCAGCGAAATGGTCACCAGACTGGCGATCCACGACGCTTCGCCCTTCGTGATGCTGATCGTGCTGTCGGGCTGCGAGAGTTGCGGCAGCAGAATTGCCGAGTAGGCCATATTGATGCCCGCCTGGATCACAGTGAAGTACACCAGGCAGCTGGCCAGGATCTGTGGCAAAGCCTCTCGCCATGAGATGGGCTTCGGCGGGTGTGTCTGCGCGCGAGAGAATGAGAAGAAAAATGTCACTTCATTGTGAATTTAATTTCCGCAAGTGTGTGATGGTCATTAGTCGTGAATTGAAGATAGAAAAACCCCCGAAAAGCACGATAAGCACTGTGAATAAGAAGTGCACTTGAGTTTTTAAGCTGTTGCGCAGCATGAGCCAAAAATTGGCGCAAATTGTAAAGGGGAAAAAGGGGAAAGACGTCCGTAATCAGTTTGTAACACAGCAAAGAACTAAGGAAAACAACACTAATGGAACTTCTCATGGAATTAATGAACTTTTGAATAAACAGAAGAGAAAAATTGAAAAGCGCTGGACAAGAATTTCCTTCCGCGGATCTGGTCAATTCGGCCAATCCTAATATCAGCTAAAGGTGTTCGAAAATCTGCCAAATGAAGTTGTTAATTAGTTATCAACTGGTATTCAGAGTGATAACACTGATAATGATAAGATATTCACCAGGATGTGTGAGCTTTTTATTTATCTCATCCAGACGAACTGCCAATGGCCAACTGAGAGCCAAATTGAAGCTTTGGATTAATCGATTCAAAATTGCGCCCAAAATTCACACAACGCCACTGTGATTTCTGGATTCTCTACTGCGATGTTATGTAATGAATGGCACATCTCTGATGTAAATCTCTCGCCCGGAGGTCGCTTTGTTTGTGTTACCTTTGTGTTGAGACTGAGCGGTTCGCTGGTGACAGTTTGCAGGAGATTCTCCTCGCCTGGCTCACTCGGCGCCTCTCGCGGTGGCACAAAGTGCGTCCTTGTCACTTCCAGGCTGTTCATCTGGTGGGTGGGCGTCAATTCGGTCTGATCTTGTGCGGTCAACAATCTTCTCGCGCGCGCACGACACTCGCCCGAAACTCTATGGCAGGCAAGAAGGCCACATGAATGGCTCTCTCTACTGTCGGCTGTTGACTGAAGCACGGCGTCGTGATATCAATTAATTCCCGAGCAACTTTTCAACTATGTTGCAATGGTGGAGACAAACAATTGACGACTGAGGGAAGCATTGACTCAAGGAAAGTGTGAAGAACAGAGCGGGTTTTTATTACCAGAGAGAGAGACAGATAAAACGACCGTGTTTCGACTGTATTTTCGCGTGGAGAGTTAGAGTTTTTACGCTCTCTCACATTGTCTGGCACAAAACAAATTCACTCCCGGACCAATAACCGAAATGAAAAAATGCGCTGAAAGGAGAAACAGCTGATTTTTGTAAATAAACATGCGCCTATAACGGGACAGTGCGTGATTATATTGACCCAGCACCGTAAGAGAGCGTCGCGATCGTGAGACATTTGTGTGAATTGTCTAATGAATTGTCTAATTGAATTGTGAATTATTTTTCCCCCTTTTTACAGATCATCACAAGATGATGACAAACTTGCAATCAGTGTCATTGATTGCGTCTGAAGTTCCTTCACATCAGCGGGAAGAGATCAATGCGCATCACGTGTGGAATTGGCGTCTTGGCAGGCGGCGATTGAAGGAGGCTGCAAAGAAGAGGCAGAAGAAGAGCAAAGTATCGCTAAAGAGTTTCATTTGCCAGCGAAATGGCGTGGAATTGGCTGAAGGAGAGATGCTTCACGAGTTGTGGCGCCAATATGCCGAGGATTTTCTCCAAAATCACAAAATTAACGAAGAGGATGCCAGTTTGCGGTCTGATTTGAAGTAATAATAATGTTCCTGAACTTTGTATATGAAATTAATTGTTTTATTTCACATTTTCGTTGCCCTTTCAGGGACATCCTGCCGAAGATGGAGTTGATCGGAGCGAAAATTGAGGTGACAAAGGCAAAATGCTCGTCTATCGTTGGTACACGTGGAATTATCATAATGGACAGCAAAAATATGTTTACTTTGGTTAACATGGACGGCAGAGTGATTCGTAAGAATCCATTTAAGCTCTAAATTCATTTCTACTGAAGTATAATGCAGTATTTCTACTTGCAGATCTTCCAAAGGTCGATTTGGCATTTCAACTCTCCATCGGAAGCATGTCTTTTCTGTACTTCGGGAAGTTCCTGACCATGAGAATAGCAGATAGATGTGTGAAAGCGTACAAAAATGTTCAAAGTCATGAATTATAAGAAAGTTATTTCGCCATTTGATGCTTCAGGATGTTTTATTCAATACTACAAGAGGTTAAATGGGTTAAATACATCACACAATTATAGATAAACTGGGATTTTTTTTCTCGTGTCGTCCTGATCTTCATAACTCCACATCGACCGATCGCAGGGCGTCGATAATCCATTGAGGAACCTCTCTGCCTTCGAAGTGTTCCTTCATGAAGTCCTTCACAAAGTCCGGGAACTTGTCCTGCTGAATCGCCTCGCGAATGTCGCTCATAAGGCGCAGCTGGAAGGCCACGTTGTGCACGGACAGGATGCTGGCGCCCGCGGGCTCCACGGTCACGATGTGGTGCAGGTAGGATCTGGTGTAGGAGCGGCAGGTGGAGCAGGAGCACTGCTCGTCGATGGGCCGGTGATCCTTGGCGAAGATCTTCTGCTTGAGATTGAGCTGCCCAGAGCGCACCAGGGCGCAGCCGAAGCGCGCTGTCCGCGTGGGGAACACGCAATCGAACATGTCAATGCCCAGCGCCACGCACACCACCAGATCGGCGGCGAATCCCACGCCCATGAGATACCGTGGCTTGTCCTCGGGCAGCAGCTGCGCGCACAGCCGAACCACGGGCCAGAACTCGTCCTTGCTCTCGCCTCCGCTCAGGCCGCCCACAGCGAAGCCGCGACAGGGTCGCTGGGTGAGGAGATCCGCACAGGCGCGCCTCAGATCCGGCTCCAGGCCGCCCTGGACGATCGGGAAGATGCTCTGGTCGGCGTTCCGGGAGTGCGCGCCGAGGCAGCGGTCCAGCCAGCGCACTGTGCGGTGCATGGCCTCCTCCACGCGCGGTCCGCGCGTCGTAGTCTTCACCACATCGTCCAGCTGCATGGCGATGTCGGCGCCGATGGCGTTCTGGATCTCAATGGAATGCTCGGGCGTGAGCGTGATCTCGGCATCGTCCGTGTAGGGCGTCTGGAACTTCACGCCGTTCTCCGTGATCTCGGCCAGCTTCAGCAGCGACACCATCTGGAAGCCTCCGGAGTCTGTGAGAAGACTTCTGGTCCAGTTCATGAACTTATGCAGTCCTCCAGCTTTTCGCAGCGTCTCAATGCCCGGCTTCAGGCCCAGATGATACGTGTTGCTCAGCATTATCCGGCAGTCCAGCGCATAGAGTTGCTGCTGGAGGATGCCTTTCATGGATCCCTGCAGAGAGCGACAGTGAATCCAGGGCAGTAAAGCCTTTCCGGACACTGAAAGGACTGAAAGTTACTCACTTTGGTGCCGACCGGCATGAAAACAGGCGTGGAAACATCGCTGTGCGGCAGTGATACCACTCCAACTCTGGCCTTGGTCACACTACACTTGGCCAGGAGCTTGAATCTCAGCGGAGATTTTGTTTTGGAGGACATTCTCTGACCAAAAACAAGGGAGAATCCGAGGGAAACAACAAATCCCACGTGTTTTTCACCACAGTGAAGTTTCACTCATGACAACAATTTGAAATCTGCTAGAAAACAACGGATTTCTCTTATCTTTTTCTTTTTACTGGAAACTCCCCTAAAAAACTCTTATTTGCTCCCTTCGCACCAAAATCACATTTTTTATACAGATGTATAGAAGAGAGCCAAAAGGACCCCAAAAAAGCACGCAAAAACGCGAAAAGGCGTCAATTTGTAACTAAAATCAGTCCACGATTTGCAAGTGCATCTGATTTGTGAGGTATCGCACCACCGTTTGCAGAATCGTCTTCTGAATGTTGGGATTCCCCATCAACAGAGAGACAGCGATCATGGCATCTCCGGCATCGATGTCCTTGATGGCCGCCCGGAGATGATCAACGAGTTCCTGGCGCTGCCTCGATGTCATGTCATGCATTATGATATGGCTTACGGGCCGGAATTTGTCTGAAAAGCAGCGAAAACGCGATAAGGATTCAGTGAGAAAAATGATATAAAAAGTTTCGAGCTGTAATCAATTTTGTACAGAGACGCGTAAAGACTGATAAGCTTTAAATTCTCACCCCGACTCATGTAGGCCGCCGTGCAGGCTCCGGCCGTTCCTCCCACGGCCAGGCCAACAGGGCCGCCCAGAATCCCACCAATGAAGGCTCCCGCGCCGCACACGAGCGCCCCCTTGGCGCTCCCCTTGACAGTCGCCCTTATATTCTGCTGGTCAGCGAGCTCCGCCGCTGCTTCCAGAAGCTCTTGCGTGTGAATCACCATTTCGCGCCTCCTTTCCTGCAACAATGATCAGCAGAATGTCATCAAGAGAACGCTTTTATGTGATGCAATCGCGATGCAAACTCACGGTATTTATCTTGCTAACGCGTGACACGAACTCAAACTAGATTGAACGATTTTCCCAGCTCAGCCCAACTCTTTACGGCATATCGTGAGAATCCACTGGACGGGGAATCACTGAGGAAACATCGAGAAAAGGGCAAGAGATAAGAACTAAAGATGCACAAACATAAATATATATGACACTCGTGTTGCCATATTGAAGCCCGATTGCTAGAAAGTCGATTAAGAGACTGTGCGAGCCCACGAGATTTCGCGGACTGCTCAATTTTTAATCACAATAAGCCTTGCAACAAGCCGAAGGAATGATACATCTAAGGATTCTCTCTGGTGGTTCTGTAGGCAATCTCCAAGGCGCTTGTGACGTTTCTCAGGTCGTTTTCTATGCTTCTGGCCCAGTTTTCCACATCGCCAAGCTCCTTCAGGGCGCTGCTGAAGCCCTCGATCAAGAGAAGCCACTGTTGAGTCTGTTTGGCGAAGTTTGTCGCTCCCACGTGAAGTTGCTTAGCTTCGGCATCGAGCTTCTTCTGATTGAGATAAGCCTGAGCAACACTGCATTGGAATAAGATAGTAAAATTGCAATGATAACAACAGATTTCTTGAGATTATCGAATATCGTACCCAACATTTAGATGATCTACCAGAGCCTGAGTGAGTTCATTTGACGATGCAATAGCAGCTTTTCTTCTCTGATCTGAAAACAATAAGAAAAATTACAAAGAGAATCATAAACACGATGACATAAGATTTTCCCTCAATTTCACTCACCCTGCTCTTCTTTTCTTGCGCCTTGCTTCGCTTGATGCTCTTTCAGCATCGACGAGAGCATTTTCCCACGAAGAAATCACTAGTTTTCTCAAAATACTGAATCAATTCCCCAGAAAATCCTCAATGTTTTGATTTATCCCTCAATCTCGAATGCTCGATGAACTGCTAGAAAAGTATATTTTGTGACACTTCGAAAACCACATTTTCGAGAAATCGTGGGAGAAAAATAGTTTTGCTTGAGGAAAAACTCGCGGAAATCATGTTCAGGCTGGACGCTCTGCCCCAAGTGGACCCCATGGAGGAGCGGCGCAGAGTCAGGGCGGCAGTAAATGCGAATGTTGTGTCATTCGTTGTTCTTTGCGCCACAATTCGATTAGGTTTGCATTTGTTTTGACTCAGAATTGAATTTTTTTCTTACAAAACTTTTTATCTTTTAGCACCTTTCTTTATGAAGCAGATACAAATGAGTATCTAATCTTCCATCTAATTAGCATTTCTAGTCATTCTGTTCTAGAGGAAGAATAATGAAATTAAATGAATTAAAGTTATAAAACGTTTGTATTATTTTATTTTCACATATTGATCCTTTTTCTGTAAATAAATCGTCCGCAAAATAGTCCTATTAATATTCTCTGCTGGACAATCTCATAAATTGCCAGCACAACAGTTCGTAATCCCACTCCAGAGCTCTCGATTGGGTATAGCGTCAACTCAGGGACGCCCGCCACCCTCCCAATCATACCCCCCATCGACGGATTGTCATTGCGCCTGATTGATTTACTGGGCGGCTGCAATTTCCCGAGGAGGGCGTCGAGAGTCCCCCAGAAATCCTCGCACGAGGCGTGACATTGACCTTTCACCTTTGCCAGAATCGCGCGAGGGCGACACGAGGGAGGCTCAAATCGATTTGGAGAGTCTCTCGCTGTGAGGGAATATTAAGTGGGCTCAGGCTGTCTTTTATTGGATTTTTCACTGGGGTCGACGATTCCTTGATGAACTGTGATGAATTATGCAGGGAAATGTCCTGGATTTCCGACAAAAAGCGACTCTGTAATTGCAGCAATTACCATCGACATTATGTCTAACTGAACTGATTGTGCGGAAGAGAAATGTGTGCCAGAATCACATAATTATTATATTTATTTAGTAATATTGTTTTGGCACAGTTTGGAAGAGCCAAAAAGAAATTCCGAGTAGGCAAATCTAGCCATTTCGCATACATCGGCTGCCAGGGGGCGCCGCGAGGCTGTGGTTGCGGAAGGGCGGCCTTCGGAGTGTCGGGCGAGACGCGTGGCGCGGGCGGACGGCGGGAGTGTGGGCGAGAGAGTCTCACCCTCTTGCCAGGGAGCGTTCGTCGACCTTGCAATCTGACGCATGCGTCTTCCTGACCCTCATAACTCAAAAGTCGAACAACCCACCCCCTCCCGCCCAGACAGGGAGAGCGGGGCTCTCATCGTGACGCACTGTCCCTCGCCGCGTCTCACCCGGCGCTTTTCCGCCCAAACACAACTCGCACTCGGCACGAGATTGAGTGGCATTCTGGCCACTCTATCGCCGGAATTGGAATTCATGCCGAAATTATGCATTTTTCACCTCTAAAACCATTTCTGGTGCATTTCCTTTGCGCTCTGCTGCACTTAGTTGCCTCAATTATTCCCCCAAAGTTGGGAAAAAGCGCCATTGTCCACGCAGAAACAGCGTTTTTCCAGTCTGTCGAAATGCAAAAAGGCCATTTTGGGGCTTCCTCACCAATATGTATTCAGCAGCCAAACTTAATGGGTCACTGTTATATTCCGGAAATGAAGGCAGAAACGCGCTGAAATTGCTTCACTTTTACCATCCCAACTTCTAATGGTCAGTCTCTTTTTTTTTTGGACTTTCACAGGGAAACAATGACGTTGCTCACCATCTCAATTTCACACTCAGTGAAGGTCAATAAAAAATAATTCGCTGAATAAAGCGTGGATACAGATGATGTATTAATGGTTAAAAGAAATGTAGAAAGGGAAAACTTACGGCTCGCTTTCATTCCCTTTCGCCCACTTTTTCCACACCAAATCACTCTTGTGAGATGAAAGGGAGATCGAGGCGATAGTATCACCTTGCCATGAGCATGTGATAATTGATTAAAATTTAGTGTAAGACGCAGCGAAAGGGTGAGCAAGATTTCATCGCTGTGCCGCAGAGTTTTAATGGAAATTCACCATCAGAAGTTGCAGAAGACATCGAGTTTACCACTTAATCGCCCTTTGGCGCTTCCCTTCCAATCTCAAGTGGCTTTCCTTTGTGTTTTCCCACTGTCGCGAATGTTTCTTTCACCCCACAGCGAGCCAGACGACGACACTCTTGCCAAGGCAAACGATGCAGCTCATTCACTAGGTTTTCCGCCGAGAAAATCATCTGCAGTGTCTGGAATTTGGACAGACAAAGGGAGGGAGTGCCCGAAATCAAAGATACCCATCGCCAAATTGCCCTTGACCTCGCGAGTGCAGCGCAAAGTGCATTCACATTGGCGCACAATGCAATTCAGTGCATCGCGCCTTTCGCGCCGTTTTTATCCCACATTTCTACACACTCACACCACAATCGCCGCATATGAACATGGAAATGCTTGCTCACGATGCCTCAGTCCGAATTTATCGAGATCTGCCGTTTGGCGGCCTTTGCGGCAATTTTCTGGGTCCCTCAACACTCGACATGGGGCGTTTTTTCTTCTTTTCGGCGCTTCTTGGGCGTCAATTGGGACGCTCGCCGGGCGTCTTTTGCAGCACTTGCGCGCCTCCGCGGAAATCAGTGGGTCGGGAAATTCCTCGTATAGAAGCGCGACGACATAGGGAGCGATAGAGCTCTGCTATATTTGTTAGAAAACGTTGCCCTCCAGCCGCGGTCATTGGCTCTGCTGTATCGCGCGAAGGCTTCGCAGCAAAAGTGAGCCAATTCGCGCCAAATGAACGCCTTTCGTGCCCACAATTCGTTCCACATTTCTGCGTCTCTTTTGGGGCCCTTCTGTCGCCCCTTAGCCCGACTTTTGTGATAATATCATCGGCACTGTGTAGCGTCGCCAAGAGTCTCCTCATTTGCATCGGGCGCGCTAAACTTTTCGAATATTATTGTCACTGCCATTGTCATTGGAGTTGGGAAAACATACACTCTCAAATTCTAGACTATTAATATCCATCAACTGCGTTTCGGAGACTTTCTCTTCCTGCTCTCGACTTCTCCCGGTCGCGCGGCAATTAATCCAATTTCCAAAGAGCGATCGCGCAGACCCACATTCGCTCTAGAGAGGACAGAGTCTCTCCCGCGTCGATCTGCGCTGAGGCCAGATGGCGAAGGCATTCCTGCCGCCGCTCTCCCGAGAGAGGCCAATTATTTCTGGCAACGAGCAGAACTCCAGAGAGATCTAACCTTGACTCGGTCTTGTGCTCGCCGAAGTGGAGCATCGCGCCGAGAGTCGCGCTTCGGCGATCGGCGTCAGGTGATACAACCCGACGGGTGATAACAGGAATATAAATATTTTGACTAATTGATAAGATCACAGAGACGCAAAAAGAAGTTGGATGTCACTCGTGCTTGTCCAGAGATTAATAAAGGCATTCTTTGAATAGTATTAAACAATGAATATCCTTAGAATGCCTAAAAAAAAGATTCAACAACAAATATTTGATCGCTTTTCAGACCAGATTGTGGATGAAAATGTTGGATTTTTGCAGGCCAAAAACTGAATAAAGTCTATTACCCTCGAAAGTTTCCTTATTTATATTTTACAAGTTCTTTTTTCTAGTAAATCCTTGCAGAAATCATAAGAAATTAAATAAATCACGCTTGTCTTCGTTGCTTCAGGGAATTATCACACTATAAGGAAGTTATCGACACTTATCGATACGAATTGCGTTCAATGGTCTTTATTTATATCATTTTTTGTCGAAAAACAGGATTGATATAGACTAAGTATACCTTAGACTGTTGATTTCAACTATTTTTTCCTAAATTTCTGTTAAAACTTGGATAAATTTCATTGTCGATAACTTTACACCGAAAAGAAACATAGTGTGATAAGGCGTTTAGAAACTTCGAAGAGTGATGAATCTTATAGTTAATTCTTTTTTTGTGAAAGATTTCTTTAGCATCGAAGTTTCATTGAGAATTCTGCTTGTCTGAATAAGAATCCTTTGCATTTGCAAAAGAATTTGATTCTTGAAAAGAGTGTATAGTTTCGTGCAGTGACACAGAGGAAAACCCTCCACATAAAGTCGTTTTCAGTCTTGAATGAGGATCTTATTAAAAAGCACCCTCGCCTTAATTTCATCCCCTATGTTTTTTTTTTATCTCAGGAGGGATAAATTCTCCCCTCGTATCTGCAGAGAGCCATCTCTGCACCGTTAAACGTAAGCAATGGGCCACAGAGGCCAAAAGGCTGGTCAAAAGAGTGGAATTTGGACAGGAAGTGGCGGAGTTCAATGGGTCAAAAGGAGACCAATTTCTCAGCACTTGAGCGCCGTGACTCATCCGGGCACCGTGCCGCCCTCCCGGAATGTCATCAACCTCCTTTCGGTGACCCTCCTGCAGACTGCCGGATTTTCCAGGATGCGTCACCATGGCGACGCCGCCCTTCACTCGGCCGTCGCGCCGACACAATGACTGTCAGACCTAAATATCGGCGCCGAGGGGCGTCCGGGGCGCAGGGCGTGCAGCACAATTTCCGTGTTGCCGAGCCGGTGCAGGGGTGCCACCCCCAGAAGCCGCTCGCCTCTCCCAGACACGCGCTACTCCCGCGGGAGAAGCCGAAGGGTGGCTGAGGGTGCCTGACTTTGATGCATGGCAGTGAGAATGTTGCGTGCTCTTGATTTTCCTTGGAAAAGTGCTGCATTTCCGCTAAATCTAATTGGATTTGGACAATTAGTAGTATTTTGAGAGATTCGAAACGATAATTAAATCACTGAGCAAGGTTAATCGCCATCTAAACTTTGCTTTTGATTTTGGGGATTTTCTAGATTTTCTACTTGTTTCTACATTAAAATCACGAAAGAAGTGATGAAGATTTCATGCCCATAAACAGAAAAAATCCAGCGAATCTAGATATGAAGTAGAGATCTACAGATCACCTGTTCTAAAGCACCACAAATGGTTATACTGTTGAATGTTCCAATTGAAACAAACGCTTCAGTGGAATTGTTCACCACTTGTACCACATGATATAAGATAGATTTAGAGAACACGGTCGGCAAATTAATTCTGTTATTGTGAGAATAAAATTGTGTGATCTATTATGAGGGAAAAGAACCTGTCTAAGCGGGTAGGATTTTGATCCCTAGCTCTAAATAATTAATTCAATTGCCAATCATTGCAGAGTAATTGCATCAAAATCAGTGGAAAAACTTGACATTTTAATTGCCAGACTTTGAAGCTCTATAAGTCAACGTTTTTTCCGTCGAGAACCATCATGAAAGGCGTCAATTCCGTGTTGAAAAGCTTTGCACTGAAACGCAGGCAAAAAATGAGAAATTATTCAAATCAAGCCATGGCGACATGAACGCTATTATGCGGATATTT